TTAGGATGTAATAATAGGATCCTTTTAATAAACGCTTAAACTTAATATTATAATATAAATTATATTATTTAAAAATACTAGTTTATATTTATATATTAATATTAATTATATTAATTTAACTATTAATATAAAGAAAATTTAATTATTACTTTAAATTTTATAACTGGATTAAGCTTAATAAATATAATATTATAGCTATACCTTAAGCTATAATAGATCTTAAATTACTTAAAACAAATATAATATATTATAACTTTTAACCAATTATTAACCTTTTATTTATTTTATTTTATCTTTTATATTATTATTAATATTATTAATAGTTATAAGGATTAACCTTAATTATAATTTAAGAAGGGTTATAATAATTAAGCTTTTAGGTTTAGGGTTATTATAATTCTTAAAGCTATAAAAAAACCCTATTTTGTAAAATTTACCGGTTTTTTAAAAAATATACATTATATTAAAAATTGCTTTAATTCCTCTTTCTATTTCTTTTTCTTTTTTATAACTTTATTAATAAAAGGTTATAGGAATTTATATTAATTTATATTTTTATTTTTTTATATTAAAGTTACCTATAGCAATTTTTATAATTTTTAAAGGTATTTATAATATAATTTATATCTTATATAACCTAGCTCCCTTTCTTTAAGAATAAATATAAAACCTTTTTAATAAATCGCTTTAAAAATGTTACCTATTATAGTAATAAATTTTTTAATTTATTTATTATTATTTACTTATAAGTTAAATTAACCATTTAATCTTAATATATAATTAATAATATTTATTATAAAAGATTTTCATAATATAAGTATTAATGTTTTAATATACTTTATTTTAAAAACTTTATATAAGTTAAATAAGTTATTTTAAAAATATTAAACTTAAAGCTTAATAGTTAAGCAATTAAGCTTTAGCTTAATTAAATTAACCATTTATAGAAATTACCTTCCATTAAAACTAATATTAAAATCTATATTATTTAAATAGTAAAGCTTAACACCTGTTATATATTATTTTTAACGCTATATATAAAAGCTTATTCTTAATAAATTAAAAGAAGTAGGGTAATCTAATTAATTAATCTTTATAGGGCAGAATAACTAAAAAGGAAAAAGTTAATTAGGACTTCCTAGCGTTATTAATTAATAAATAATGCTTAATGCTAAACCTTATTAACATTTAATATTAATTAACCTACTTTTAAATCCTCCTTTTAAACAATAGCTATATTTAATTATACTTTATTAGCTTTTAAAGAAATTATTATATTTTATTAAACTTAAGCCCACTTAAAAAAATCCTATTATATAATAAGCTATTAAAATATAACTATTACTTAAATAATTTAAATATATTCTACTTATAACTAATATATACTTTATTTAATTTATGCTTTAACTATTAAATTAAATATATTTAAGCCTTTAATTAAGCTTTAATTATATAAATAACTTTTTAAAAAGTTACTTATATAAAAATAAATGTATAACTAATATATTAATGCTTAAAAGATTAACCTAATATATTAATAGCCTAATAAAGCTTAAGCTTAAAAGGTAGGATAATAAAAATAAAGCTTTATTAAATATTTTATTAATTTATATATTTATTAATATAATTATTATAATTATTAATAATAATATAAATATTATTAATAATATATTAAATATACTTTATTAACTTTCCCTTTTTATTATTATTATTAAATATATTATTTTATTATAATATTATAATGGATTAATATTAATTAAATATTATTTAAGCTTACCCTTTTAATATATACTTTAACTTAAGCTATATATTATTAAATATAATTATTTAAAATTCTATTAAACTTAATATAATTAATTATAAAAATAAATATAAACTATTATTCCTTATTAGCTTATTTTAATTAAATATTTAAATTTTTAACCTATTATAGTTATGCTTTTTTTTATATTCCTTAACTACTTAACCTTTCGCTTTTTATTTTTTCCTATAGGTTAAAGCAATTTTAATAAGAATATTTTAAAAGCTATTTCCATAATTGCTTTTAATATTATTTATACAAATTAAATTAAACCTCTTTTATATATTATTCTTATTTATTAACTTAATATTAAAATTTAAAAATAAGTTTATTATATTATTATTAAATCTACCCCTTTATAAAAACCTATTTCTTTTATCCTATAAATATTATAATACCTTATTATAAGTAGCATTATAAATTCTTTTAAAAAGTATAATTAAATAAATAAAGTATTTAATAATAAATTTAATATTATATATTTTAATATTTTAGATTTTTATGTAGCTTTTTTTAGTAATATTTTAAAACTTAAAATAATGTTTTAAAACATTTTTTATAAATATACTTAAGGAATATAGCTATTATTTTAATAAAGCTAAACCGGATAATTAATAAATGTTAAATAAAATAATATTTTAAATTAACTTATTAATTTTATTAAATGGATTTTATAATAGGTATAAACCTATAAGTTAATAGTATAAAAGCTATTAATATAGCTTAATATATTATTAAAAGGTTTAATTATATAGTATAAGTTAAATATTAATTTTATAAATAATTTAAAAGCTAATAAAGCTATAAAGTACTATTAAAAATATATCTTAATATTTAATAAGTTAAAAAGTAACCTAAATAATAATATATTATTTAAAGCCTACCTTAATATAATAAAATATATAAAGGAGGTATTTATTATATAATTAATGCAATGCTTTATTTTAACCTTTACCCTATATAAAAGTTAAATATAGCTTTAGGAATTTAATTAGTTTAATAATATTATATTTAAAAGATTTAATATTAATAAAAATAAATAGCATTTTTTATTAATAATTTTTAGTTTTTTTTAAATAAATAATAAAGCTTTTAACTTTAACCTTACAATTATTAAATTAAATTATAAATAATATATTAAAATTAAATAAAATAAAATAATAAAATATTTAATTTTTAATAATAAGTTTATTAAAAAGGTATATAATATAATAAGCTATATAATTATTTATTAAAAAGCATATTTAAAAGGAAATAAATTTAAGCTATTTATTATTAAAGATTTATAATAATTCCTAAAATATAATAAAAAAGGTAAGCTATTATTATAAATAATATATTAAAAGGTAATAAATATAATATAGCATTATTATTATAAGATAGTATATATATAAATAAAAAATAATAATATTTAAAATAATATTTAAAAAGGTTTAAATATTATAAAAGTAAATAACTATTAAACTAAATATTTATATAATTTATAACCCTTTATTATAAAAGCTATATTATATAATAGTTTTATTAATTTAAAAAGATTATTTAATTAAATTAATACCCTTCTTTTACCCGGTAAAAAGTTTTATTTAGGTTTTACATCCTTAAAAAAGTATAATAATAACCCCATTTTTAATTAAATATATTAACGTATTATTTTTTAAAATTATAAGGAGCCTATTTATAAGGTAAATTTCTAAACTACTTTATTTAAAGCTTTAAAAGGATATATTTAAAAATATAAATTATTATATAAAAAGGTTAACCTTTTATATAAAGATATTTTAATTAATAATTTTATTATAAATAAAAATATTAATAAGTTTTCTTTTTCCTTATTTTTAATTAATTTAAATTTTATAGTTAAAGTTAATTAAATAAAAGCATTAAAGATAAAGGAGATTATTAATATAAAAGCTTTTATAATAATTAATATCCTTATAGGTAAAAGTTATTTTTATATAAATAACCTTAAGTTATTTTTTTAAGTTTTATTTTGGATTTATATTTATTATAATAGAAATAGCTATAATTAAAAAATTAATTTTATTAAATAAAATAAAATAAATATAATAATATTAATAGATTTAAAGAAAGCTATAATTAATAATAATAAGGATTTTATTTATAAAGTAAATGGATATTTTATAAATTATTATAAGCTTTTAATCCTTTAAGTTAATAAATTATAAAAAGTAATATTTCTTAATAGTAAAAAATAATAATAAATAGATAAAACTCTTTATTTATAAATAAGGTAAATCTTTAATAATATTTAAAACGATTTATAAGTTTAATAATAATAAATTAATAAATATTTTTTTATATTATTATTTATTATTATATTTAAAAGTATTTGTTTTTAATATTATTTTTAATAATTAAATTAAACTTTTATATATTATTTTTATTTATTAAATGTTTAATTATTTATAATAATAAATTATTTAAATTAATATAAATTTTAATCTATTTTAAAGTAATATATTTAAACTATTATTATAATAATTATATTTATAGCTATATATTTAATTAAAAATTTAAATTAATAAATTAAAGCTATTTAAATATTATTAATAATTTAATTATATTTTAATATATTTATATAATATTAAACTTAAATATTAAATCTATTAAGTAAAGCTATTATAGTTTAAAATAAATATTAATATTAATTAATTATAATTATATTTTTAATAATTATTAAAAGCTTAATTATTATAAAAGGGTTTAGAATTTATAATAGGTAATAAAGTTTTTTATAATATTAATTAAATAATAAAAATATTATAAAACTTTTAAAATTTTAAAAGGGTTAAAAATTTAGCATTATATATATAAAAATATTATTATAGCATTTTTAATATAAAAAAAGACTTTTTATAAACATTTTTATTAAATACTTTTTTAAATATAATTAATATAATAAATTTAACTATTATTTTTATTAATTTTTATTTAATAAATAATAAATTAAAAAATAAAAAGATTTAAAAAAATATAATAAATAATAAAAATATAATAAAACTTTTATCTTAATAATATAATTAATATATATAATATAGGTAATGTTATTAATTTAAGTAAATTAATTATATTTAAATAACTTTTTAAAAAGTCGCTTAAATAAATAACTTAAACGAACCCTATAATATATATTAAAATCCGTTTTTATTATAAAACGGTTTTTACTTTTATATAATTAAAGTAAAATGTATATTAGAGATTATATAAGTTTTTTATTTATATTGGGCTATAAAAGAGTGGGTTTGGCTTAGGATAGGGCTCAGTCTCAGGCTAAAAGCGGCGTGGCTCAGGTTGGCTTCCCTTTCCGATTCGGGATGGTAAAACCTATCTCAGAGGTACCTAGTGTAAACGTTGAAATCTCGCTAGTATACCATTTCAAACCGCAGGTTAGAAGACGGACTCCAGCAAAAATATCTCGGGACCACATGACTTTAAGACTTGATTGAATGTGCTAACTTTATCAACCTGGTGTAGGATAGCTGGTCCAGTGTTACGGACAAGCTCGCCTTGGGCTTCTCGGTCTCCGAGTTCAGCTTGGATATGGACATACCCGACCCAAGCTATCAGCTGTTTATTCTATTCTCAAATTCCGGCTAGACTAAATCAGTTTGAAGAGGTAAATTTACCGCCCCAGCAGATTCTATTTGAAAAGTCTGATAGACGACTTTGCTTCTGCAGTGTCAAGTTTAGAGAATCGTAGGAAACTCTTGATATCGCAAGCCTGCCTTTCGACCCCGCGCGATGCATGGAACGCTTACAAAAAAAGGGTGCACCGGAAGGAGGCTCCAACATGAATCGAGATATCATGTATGACACCTAGCAGCTAAAGATCACGGTGTTTGTATTGCAGAGGAAATGGTAATGGTACAACTGCCGCATCGAGTCTATGCTATTCATGTTTTCAGGAGTCGATGTCCATTCTTTCTTCGCCTGTCGCCTCCAGCTCATGAACACTGACATACTTGCCAATATCGTCCTTCGTGATGATTTTCTCGTTTAGTACTGCGGTAGTGCCGCGCTTGAACTTGTAGTTCTTCAACTTCTGGCTACGCTCGTTGGGCTTGACGAAACCGCGGTGTAACGTAGTCTTCTCGGCTGTAATTACAGCCATATCGACGTTAGATCCTGACCCCAGATCATTGAATATACCAGCTTGGATAGCCAACGAGCAGAGGTTCATGGCATCCTCCTTCGTGGAGTTGGGTTTCCACTGAGACTCAAAGACAGACATAGCTGCTAATGAACCAGAACCCATGGTGACATAGGGAAGTTTGTCTGTACTTCCGTGGGCGTGAACTGTGAAGAGATGGGTTCCAGTGGGATCAACTCCGGCAACGACGAGATAGGCACCAATATGGCCCTGATACCGGAATAAGTGTTGTTTGAGGAGGGTCATGCAGGTGACGACGCGAGGTTTGCGGCCAGTGGAGAGGGAGTGTAGCTCCAACTGTGATGAGATGAGGGCTGTAGTAAACTCAGTATCGGCAGCGGTACCGGCACCAGCACACCAGATCTGGGGAGAAATGTAATGAAGCTTCTCGCAGTTCTTGTCGGCGACGATGGGACCGCTCGTGGCTCGGGTATCGGCAGCGATCTAATGAAACGTTAGAGCGGAATGGGTAGAAGAGGGGTCCAAATCAGGGACTTACAACTACACCGCCATCATATATGCAGCCAACGATGGTGGTTCCTGTGCTGGTGGCCTTGGGTAAGGGTACACCTCGTGCGTGTAGAGCCGCATTGCGGTTGTAGTTTGAGAAATCGAAACCAGGCATACTGGCGTTGTTAGGCCGACGAACGAGAGGTAGCTGTCAGCTATTGATCGTTGACAAGCTGTTTTAGCTAGGCAAAGAGGTTGTTGGCGGTGCAGTTGGTTGGAAATGCTGGGCGTTATGAAGATGGTAGATGCGCGATGTTTGATGCTTTTACCTTCATGTGAGGGCGAGCTTACGACTAAGAGCTGCCTTGTCCCAAGCTCATGCCGACGTAGTGGCTGCCCCACATATACCTCCAGGGAGGATCCGGCAGGCCACCTAAGTGGCTAGGTATCTCATAAGTAAGTATCTACAAGTACTTTTCAGCTTGATCTGGCCCTAGGTTCGGCACGGGGGTACCTGCCTATACCTACCAACCATTCTGAGTCCTGCCTAGCTGGGCCTGTAGAAACAAGGCGGTTACTGGAGCATTTAGGTAGATGCCCACCTGGGCACCTCTAGTATTCACCTATAAGGTACATAATGCGCCTAAGTACCAACTAAGTAGGTAAGTACTATGTAGGTACGTTGTAGGGACTAGGATCTGGTCCTTTACATTTTTACTGCAGTTGATTTGACTCTCATCCCTCGCTCAGTCGCGTTCAGGCTGTATCCAACAATCATAAATATCACAGTACGGCTATGTCCAGAAATTGATCAATAGCTGTCTTCACAGGTATCGCTTCGTCTCCTATCCCGTCGCGTCATCCCGAGAAAGATAGCCCGTTCATCTTCCAGCGACGCGACTAATACAGTTTTCTGCGATTACCTACAATACGAACAGCTCTGGTCAAGAGCTGGCGTTCTCCTTCGCCATATCCTTCCACCGTTATAACCTGTATATGCTTACTTAGTCTGCGCTGTCGGGAGCTTTCCCCTAGCTGTCGCCATGGCTTTCAATAGCTTCGGCAATGCTGGAACCCCCAACATCTCGCATGGCCCAGCTCTTCCCGAAGTGCAGACCGAAGGCTTAGGTTTTTTGTCCCTAGCAGGCGATGCCAGATTGCGCCTGACGGCACCATGGTCGCCATCTCCCGCGCCAAAGGCTTCGCTCATGAGTATTGCCCCGCGCAAAGGTCTCATCGCCGCTGCGAGTCCCGATGCTGTGGTTGTGGCGTCTACGGACGCCGTTCGAAAGGCCTTCGAAGCTCCCAAAACCGAAGATAGCGAAATCCGTCCCTTTACACCGCAGTTACAGGTTCCTTTAGGGCTACGTGTATCTCAACTCGCCTTTTCAGCGGATGAGGCCTACCTGATTTTATCTGCAGAACAGGGTGGGGGGTTAGCTGTTTACGACGTTGATGGCTTCCAGCAGGGTCGGACCCAATCCGCATTTGAGATCCCCACCAACGGCGAATCTCTGCGAGCTCTGGTTCCCAATCATATGCAGGACAAGGCAGACTTGTGTGCTGTTGTCACGAACGAAGGGAAGCTTTTGATGGCCAATCTTAAGACACGCAATTTCGTGTCCAAAGGCAATGGTCAAGTTTTGAGGGAACAAGTTAGTTGTGTCGCATGGAGCAACAAGGGGACGCAGTTAGTCGCTGGACTTGGTGATGGCACTATATGCCAGTTAACACCTGACGGCGAGGTCAAGGCTGAGATACCGAGACCACCTGAGCTGGATACTAGCTATTATGGTATGTTACAATCAGTTAATACCGCGGTGCATGCTTACATTATATAGTATCCGTTGTCGTTTGGGCTAAAAACGACCTCTTTCTGGCTTTCCACGTTTCTACATCTAGTGGAACACCTCAAACAAAGTGCCACATGATAACAAGACAAGGCCAGACCTTCCAATACCAAGAATTCAACGACCCTGTCGATCCTTTCAGGACGGAAAAGGTTCCTCACCACACAGCCGTTCGACTAAGGGACTTTCCTCCCAATAATCTAGACCTCCTAATTTTTTCTTCTAGCGCAGTACCCGATATTGGACTCCTTGCACAATCGAAAGCCCCTCTGGGACCTGATGGACCAGTCGATATTTTTGCAAACGTCGAGTTGGCTGATGATTCTAGGCGCGCTGCGTTGCCCATGGGCGAGGGCCTCGAGACCCCTGCTGCTGTAGGTGTCTGTTTGGATTTGTCTAGTAGGGACAAAGTCTACAAACCCATTCCCACAGATGAACAGGATATGTCACCCGGTCCTTTACCTGGATACTGGGTACTAAACGAGCAGGGTGTACTGTCTATCTGGTGGGTTGTGTACTCAGAATCAATTCGAGGAGGAACCACCTACCCTGGACTTGCTGCTGAGGCTGGCAACACCGAATCTTCATCGATGTCAGCATCCCAAAATACCCAACCCTCGTTTTCTGCCCCATCAAATCCTTCACTTTTCGGGGGCGCGTCGGCGTCCGCTACACCTGCATTTGGTGGTCCTACGACCCTTGGTTCTAAGAGTTCGCCTTGGGGCACTACGTCTGCGAATACCAACGGTACAGGCGGAAGTACATTTGGATCATCCCCTTTCGGAAACAACAGCGCTTCAAAACCTGTTTTCGGTTCATCCAACTTTGGAATGAGTAATGGAGCATCTGCACCATCTGCAGCACCATCTTTTGGACAGTCAACAAATATAGGCGGCGAAAAGACTTCTGTCTGGGGGTCTGGTGGTACCTCAACAAGCACGCCAGCTTTTGGCCAAAGTGGTTTTAACAATGCCTCTAATGGGACGCCCTCACCCTTTGGAAGTGGAGCTAATAGCAATGCCTTCTCTTCCTTTGCGAAACAAGGGGGATTTGCATCACTGGGGTCAAATGGAGATGCAAATAAGACCAATATATTTGCTTCAGCAACCTCGGGCTCATCCGGAGCTGCTATGGATACTGACACCACCAGCTCATTCCCGCCCTCAAGTTCTAAACCAGATACTTTCCCCGGGAACCCTTTCGGATCACAACCTTTTAAACTGGAATCTAGTTTCAAACCTGACACCAAGGCAGAGGATAGCGATGTGAAATCATCCGATGCGGAGAAATCAATATTCGGCACGGCCTTTGCTTCTTCCATTAGCCAGGCAACCGAGACTACGAGCAACAGTTTTGCTAGTGGTTCCGGACTATTTGGTAAGCCGTCATCGGATACAAAGACAGAGTCTACAACACCTACTACTACGCCATCAGCAAATAAGTTCTTTTCACAGACGTCATCACAGCCCGCAAGTGTGCTATTCGGCTTCCCACGCTCTTCCGGCGCCCTTTTCGGTGAACCTGCACCGAAAGTGTCCGTAGTCGAGCCTCCACAGTCCCCAATACGAGCTCCTGCGGACGCTCCTTTGCCCCCAGAATCCACCAGTAAGGTTGCTTATCCAATAGAAGATTCATCTTTCTCATCTACCTCCTCTGCAGACAGCGACGACATGAAGAAAACCCAGTCTAGCGCTGAGGACCTACCACTACCCCCGGACTCTCCTACATCAACTACAAAGCCAAAGGAAACACCCGCTGCGATAAGTAAGGCGGCAGCACCTAGCGATGCACCATTACCCCCCGATCCTGTGAAAAACAAGACCGCATACAGCGCTCCCTTGCCGCCTCTACCAGGTGAAAGCACGAAACCGAAAGCCACTAGCGATGCACCCTTGCCACCGGATCCAATCAAAGACAAAAAGGCATACACCAACAAGCTTCCTCCTCTTCCAGGGACATCGACAGCGTTCAAACCAGCAGGCGATGCACCTCTTCCTCCAGATCCAGTTAAAGAACCCAAGGCTTACGAAAAGAAACTATCAGTACTACCAACCATTCAACAATCTTCTACCGTTACTTCAGGGTTTAAATTTCCTACAAATCTACCCCCTGTCTCCGATAGTGAAGAAGACAACATAGCAGATGAGTATGATACGGAAGCTGATAGTGAAGGTAGTGGTGTTGATGTCGCCAAGGATCTCAGTCCTCCATCAACTGGGGCGAACCGAACACCTGGCTTCACACCCCAAGGCTCATTTGATGGGTTGGGAGGAAGCTTTTCTACCATCTCTCGCCCAGAGCCGGAAAGACGAAGTCTTTTCTCGAGTAACAATGCCCCTATATTCCCCCAACCTAACCCCGTCAGTCCGCGTTCTCCCAGCCCTGTACGAAGCGCAATACCACCAAGGATATCAGGTAATGATCATAGGTCCTTTAGCGCTCCCGGCATGGCGTCACAGATACTCGTCGCCTCAAGGAAACAAGCACAGTCACGTCTTAATGGCTCCATAGTAGGCCGAGATGTTGCTCTCGAGAACGCTGTAATGGAACAGCAGCGGAAAGCTAAGGCTAAGAAAGAAGCCGAAGAAGCACAGTATCTCATCGATGAAGAAGATGACGCTGTACAGAAAATTCTCCGGACGCAGATCGAACCAACATTAGAACTGGATGAGTTCATTGCACATTCTGGTGTTGTGCCGCCCGCAGGTGATAGTATACCTGCTCAGGTAGAAGCCGTTTACCGCGATATAAACTCAATGATGGACACTCTTGGTCTCAATTGTCGTTCGCTAAAAGCATGGACAACTGGGCACAAACAATTCTCCTCAGATGATCACTCTCCGGAGGATCTTGCATCACCTGATAGTTGGACTCTAGAAGATATTGGACAGCTTACGCATGTCATCGACCAGGTACTGGGAGAAGCCTTGGACCAAGCCCGTGTCACAGACGTGGAGGAAAAGGTAGCACAGGTGCAGGATATTCAACGAGAGCATGTCCGCGACTGCAACAAACAAGCCGATATTCGGAAAATCATCGCTTCACGACTGGATCCAGAAGAAGCGGCAGCATATCAAGCACTTCCCCTAAGTGCAGAACAGGCTGCCCAGCAAAGTGACCTGCGCAGACAACTGGGTCACTTCCAATCTCTTCTAGCCCAAGCAGAGGAAAATTTAACAATGCTAAAGGCTAAGATTGTCTCTGCTAACAGTAATGCCGGCAGAGGTGGACCTGTGCCTACTATCGAGGCAATCGTACGTACAATCACCAAGATGACCAGTATGGTAGAGAAAAGGAGCGGTGACATCGATGTCCTTGAAAATCAAATGCGAAAATTGCGATTAAGTTCAACAGGGCCTGCCGGGAGCCGTGAAGGCTCCCCATTCACTACCCCCAACGCGAAGAGAACACTGGGTTCTTCCATCTTCTCGCCCGATCGCTCAACACGAGAAGCCACGCCCATGCGTGGCAGTTACATGCGACACTCATTGTCGGGTTCCATTTCAGGACTTGGGAGTGATATGTTCCGCACACCGCCACGTAAGAAGCTGGGCGGCTTTGGAGATGCCGAGAGGAGGGCTGTTAAGGAGAAAAGGGAAAGACGTACCGCTATTCTTGGGAAACTAAGAAACAGTCTTGAAGCCAAGGGACCTAGTATCATAGGCTTAGATGACATTGCGTAATGTGTCACAAGGTTTCTTAAAAAAAGAGAAAAGAAAAAGCATGAAACTGAGATTCTTCCTGGAGGATCGATACGCATACCATGAACAACGAAAATACGATTGCGACTATGTCTTCGTGCAAGCAGTTGACAATATACTATACAATATGAATGTGCAGAATTAGCACAGAAAACAATTCCAATAATAAGCTATTGAGATTATCAATATATCATGTAGAATCAACTCTGCGTCCCAGTTAGGTAATTAGTCTCATAATACTCCATATTGTACTTGAGCAACATCTAGAACGATTCATTTGTCAAGCATGAGTCAACCAAAGTAGAAGACCCGTCTCCATGTAGGATTACGATGAGGCATGATGTGCACCAGTGTCCTCAACAGAAGATGCCACTTGTTTCTACCTAATTGATTGTGTGGATGTTGTCAGCAGGGGTATAGTATAGTACAAAACAAATACAGGCGCGGAATGTGTTGGTAGATAGTTAGGCAGTTTCTCTATACTCCATACTCCGTGTGACCAATGGACAATGTTCCATCCAACCGAACCAATCAGGCAGACAAAATAAGTAAGCAGCAAAAGATGGAATGAATTTAGTTCGCATTCAATTCACGCTACACCTATCACGCCAGCGCTAATAGCTTCTTGACGAGCTACGAGCTTCTTGACACTGGTCCATTCGTCGTTCCGTACTGCCTCCTTCCCACCCAAGTCCGGGCCTACTTCGAAGAGGCTGACGACGGCGTCGATGCCACCCGTAGCTAGGCGCTTTCCATCGGTGGTCTCCCAGGCGACCTTGTTCAAGCTCTTGCTTAAGAGCTGGCGCCCGCCCTTACCTGGTGTAGGGCTGATCTTGGCCACGGGGATTTCTGTCTCGACTGTGATATCCCACAGCTCGAGGGACCCGGCGCCGTCAACGAGAGCAAATACGCCAGGACGTACCGGGGACCACTTGGCGTCATAGACGACATCTTCACGCACGAACTCGAGAAGTGGTGCTATGGCAGTGCCAGCGCTCTCGACGATGGTGCTTGTAGCCGCTGGCGCACGCACCTTCCAGAGCTTCACGGACCAATCCAGGGATGATGATAAGATGAGGTCTCCAAGATCAACTGGTCCACGTGCCGGGTGGAAATCAACGCTTACGACAGGCGCGGCGTGCCCTTTGTAGGAGACCCGGGAGTCTACACCGGCTTTAGCCCCGGCACGATCGTAACGATGACAAGGGTATATGGGTCCTTCTTCGGAGCCAACCAAGAAGTAGGTAGGATCTGCCTGAGGAAACGCCATGGTTGTGGGGGCTAGATCCTCGAATTTATTTGGAGGTGGAGTCGTAAGTGTTAAAGACTCTTGAGGTTGAGAGAGCATATCAACGCTCCATACGCATAGAGCGCCATCTGTGGAGACGGAAATGATATTATTCGCGTTCTGCGTGCCAACGATATCGACTGAGTACACAGGATGCGAATGTCCCGAACCGGTAAGTGGCGTCTTTTGAACAGGCGCCGTCTTCGCGCGCGTATCCCATAGAAGCACTTGCCCAGAATATGTGCCACCAATGATAAGATTAGGATGAAAAGGTGAGAATTTGGCAGCTAGAATGTCAGATTGGGCGTGAAACAAAAATTCGGGCCGGTCGTGAAGATGCTGATTCCATACTTGGATAATGCCGTCAGGATCATGAGGGGCTGACGGATTCTTTGTGTATGAAGCAAGTACGAGCTCTGGGTATTTAGGAGAAAAGTCTAGGCTGCTGATCATGCGCTTCTTGGACCACCGGTCGTCGTAGAATTGCACAATTTCTTTAACCCGTCTTCGTCCTTTGCCACCTGTATTTCCTGATTGCTCGTCATCATCTTCGATATCGTGGGCCTGCAGAGAGTAATCTGTCAAAATATCGTATTCGTTACCCATATCAAGGGCACGTTCAATCACTTTAGTCGACCTCTCTACAAAGTCAACGAACTCGTCGGATGCGGTCACGGCAGCAAGTTCTTCTGAAGTCAGAGCTCTCGCGGGAAAATTGGAGGCGGCTATGGAGCTGGACTGCAGCACTCCATCAGCCACAAGATCACGAGCAGCCTTAAGCTCTTCCTCGATCTCTTTCCTTATGTTTTGGCGCAGCTCTTCCTCTCGCCCACGTTCGAAACGGCTCATGCGCTTGCTCGGCGTAGAAATCGGCGCGGATAAGTCATCCTCGTCAAGTTCGGAGAAGGCGCGAGGACGCGAAGTGGCTGGCGGTGTCCAGTCATCTGTGGTTTGGACACCTTTGCTATATGAGAAAGTTTCCTTAACGGGTGAAGGGGGGCACTCGAAGATCGTCTGTAGAGGCACAGTGGTCAAGACCTGGGGTTGCGAGGGAGCAGTGGAGCCAGGCTGAGCATTGGTCGGCGAGGTGTATTCGGAATTCTCAGCAGCACTAAGCTCGCCGCCGCTGAGGACACTGTTTGGGCGACTACCGCGACGGCCAGGGGACATAGCACCGGCGATAGAACTAGGGCGACTGTCCCCTACCAACCTCTCGATCATATCCTCGATCTCTCGTTTTCGGTCATTTTTCTGGCCAGGAGTTGGGGTCGCCAGCTGCGCGAATAGAAGACACAGTCAGCGCATATCGACGAGAAGTAGGGAGTTAGGTGTACATCAACAAGACCACTTGTGCTCACCCGACCTGCATTGGTTTGGGTTGCTCTCAGTTCTCTCTGGCGCTTGAGCTCAGCGAGCTTTGCCTTCTTGGCCAGGATCTCATCTCGTCGTTGTTGCATGGCGTGGTCGACACAGACCCATCGCCGGGTCTACGGTCGGCCAGATATTCCTTGGAAAGGAAGCGTAAAGGGAAAGATTAAAGCGAATGGATCGCCAGCCGGTTCAAATCTGAAATTGGACGACGGGCGTGATTAGGTGCGAAGATCCTCAAGGGAGAGAATGGCTCGTTAATAAATGACGACTGATATCATCCTACGGCATGCTGGGGTTGATGTTCTACGTTGGGGGGGTCATTACTGGTGCATTCAGCATATATACACGCGTCCCTGAAATGTCCATTGACGATGCACAAGCGCACCTCTTGGCCGATGCGGATTCCACTGGTAGCTTCACGCTAAGAGGATCCCTGCCAAGGCCGAAGCTTCATTTACCTGTACACTCTATATGCATAATTGTGTATAGCGTGCTCACTCTCTTCCCAGGCGAGCCAGGTCTCTACATGATGGCCTGAAACGAGGTAATGCATCTAACCGGTTGAAGAGGTACTGAGGTACCTGAGTACATCGAGGCATGTACATGTGGCTGGAGCTGTCCCATCCCAAGCTGTCTCGAGTTGCCATGCCTGTACCGTAGACTTCCGAGTCTAATAATTTTCGACTTTGACCATCCGTCCGGCAGCCCGTTCGTCCTACCCTCACGCACGCACTCGGTCCACGCCGCCTCATCGCTGCCACCACGCATCGGCTCGATTTCGAAGTGCTCCCTCGGCAGAATCAGCAATTGACATCTCCCACGACGTGTGTTTCGTGCACCAATTGCCCCGTATTTCTTATCAGGCCCCCGTTGCGCGAAAAACCACTCCGTCGCCAACCATGTCTACCACTTCGGGAGTTAACGTATGTGATGGTCATCGGAGCGCATAGAAGGAGACGACACTCGTCATTGACAATTGGATTTCTCACAACAGGTACTTCGGTATTCCGCCCTTGCTTTCGGCGTTTTCTACGGCTTCAGCCACCAGCGATCGATCAATGCTTCGCAACGCGCCGCTGCCGCCAAGAAGGAATACGAGCACAAGCAACAATTAATAAACCAAGCCAAGGCCGAATACTCAAAGTCCAAGAGTCCTGCTGCGTCATCTACGGCGAAGAGTGGCCGTAAGTTGCTCTCGTATACCGGCTCTTTGGGCTATCAAGTTGGGTTTACATAAGATACTGACCGTGTTCCAGTAAACCAAGACCCAATGGACCCGAAATTCGACCTGGAGGCTTATTTGAATGCTCTGATGGAACAAAAGGCCTAAAATGCCTCCTTGCATATACTTTAGACACGGAGCAAATCGGACATTGGGATAGACCGGGGAGAACAAGGACGCTCGGGGCCGAGGTTGGAGCTGAGAGCTTTAATAAGAGGGCTAGCGAGAACAGGGCTCTCCATCTGTATTACATACCTGCAGAATGCAGGACAGCCATTTTTGCCTCAAAAGCCCATGATTGTATGATTGCATCGCTTCCAGAGAAGCTCACTGGATAGATTTTCTTGTGTTCTCTGTGTATATCTACGCTTATATCAATCAAACCTTCTAGATGTCTCGGCAGGTTCGCGTTTGGCAACTAGGCTCATCGCATAGGCCGTGCACAGCTTTGTTGTACGGCGTTAAATAACAAAATGGGATAGACCAATGGAGAGTCATCTCTAGGATACCTTTATTTGGTTCCCAGCTCAAGGTTCATAAAAAAGGTGTTTGGGGTATTTGTTCCATATATAACCTGATCTGGAGGACGACCTTGAGAAATAGCAGATTTGTCGATGTAAAGGGGAAAAGGAGTAAAAAGGTTAAGATTGAATGGCTGGTTCAATGCAAGCACCAATCTCTCGAACTTAAATAAACCATCGACCCTATTTTCCCTGCTCTACACGGAAAACTACTATACTCACAACTCCCATACCTCCCCTCCTAGCCCTTCTTAACTTAAACCTTTCTTTTCAACATGAGATGAGTCAACACGTAATATCATGATGCCCATTTTCCTTTCTCTCGCGATACGATATGTAAAAACTATGTCTATCGTACTCAGGCAAGCAACCCAACTACTACCTGTAACCAATGAGTATTCGGGCTGAATACCTAGCTCAATAAAGCGCCATCATCCTAGCAGCTCGAGGTGCCAGGCTCACCATGAGCTGTATTCGTGACTTTCTGAGTAATTTACCGAGATAGGAGCTGCATCATTACATAGTAAGCCAAACGAAGTACGAGATGCGCAACCAAATGGGGTTTCAACTTTTAAAGAAAAGTGCAGAGTCCTCTGGAAATTGTATTAACCCTTGTAGGCTGGTTTACTAGAACACAGGAATCCAGAGTAGGCGAGTATATGGTGAACCTCCCTCAAATTTGACATTTAGTTATCTTGGACGTCGACTCAGAACATCTGTACTATGGCTGAATGTACCTAACTCAGCAGATTCGCAGATTACATGTATCTACGACTTACTGGGAAGTCGCTGTGATGTCTGGTATATTTAGGTAGGTACTTACCTATATGTAAGTATCTCTACATGCATGTACTTATGTGGATGACATAATCTTCAATCAATCGATAAGCGCAATGATAAACTGTTCAAGGAAAGCTACAGCTGTCCTCTCCCAGTGTACCTCCTGGATGTACCAGCATACAGGGGCTCTCTGCTTGGCTTTGACAGGTGGGGACCTACCAGTACCTACCTAGGTAAGCAAGCACCAGCGTCGCAGCGCAAACATCCACTGGTACTTTAGCTGGCTACATGTACCGGTTAGAGACAGGTAGCTTCCAGCAGCGCATCGTGTTCTTTGGCAAGCCCACTGAGCAGTCGCCCTCATCCGCACCCTCACCTTCATCTCCCAGTCCCAATTTACGAATGCCTTCATAGATGTGACGTCCTTCAACAACCAATTCGTCGCATCGTCGCATTCTCCTCTCACCATGGCCGTCGATCAAGGCGCCAGCTCGAAATTGCCCGGGCTGCTGGTCTCGCTCGGCAAGAACGAGAGCACCAAGACGTTGTTGAAAATCATCATCCTGGCCATTATCGCCGCTGCTGCCGTTGCGAGTCGTCTCTTCTCTGTTATACGTATGTGTATTGTTTCTGGCAATCTGTTGAAGAACCTATCCCCCAGAACCCTTATGGACGGACTAATGAACCCGGGCTAATTGACTCTGCTTCTTCGCATAGGCTTTGAGAGTATCATCCACGAATGTAAGTCAAACCTTACTTGCTTCTCTTGCGTCGGTGACAGACTTTGTACTAACTTCTACTCCCCGCAGTCGACCCTTGGTTCAACTTCAGAGCTACCAAGTACCTCGTCGCCAATGGATTCTATCAGTTCTGGGATTGGTTTGACGACCGAACATGGCATCCTCTGGGACGCGTCACCGGTGGCACTCTGTATCCTGGCCTCATGGTCACCAGCGGTGTCATCTACCACGTACTGCGATTCCTTACTGTCCCCGTCGACATTCGAAACATCTGCGTGCTGTTAGCCCCAGCCTTCTCCGGCTTAACCGCCTACGCGGCCTATCTTCTTACCAATGAGATGACCACTTCCTCATCCGCCGGTCTCCTCGCTGCTGCTTTCATGGGAATCACCCCGGGCTACATTTCACGATCCGTCGCCGGCTCCTATGATAACGAAGCTATCGCCATTTTCCTTCTCGTCTTCACCTTCTTTTTATGGATCAAGGCTCTCAAACTGGGCTCAATGCTCTGGGGTGCCCTTTGCGCCCTCTTCTACGGCTACATGGTAGCTTCATGGGGTGGTTATGCCTTTATTACTTGTCTTGTTCCACTGCATGCCTTTGTCCTTATATGTATGGGACGATTCAGCATGCGTCTCTATGTTGCGTACACTACGTGGTACGCTCTAGGAACGTTGGCTAGCATGCAGATTCCTTTCGTTGGTTTCTTGCCTGTTCGTACTAGCGAACATATGCCTGCACTAGGTGAGTATCGTATTGCGCGCCAGGTGTTTAAATATAGCTGCCTTACTAACTTTCATTTAGGCATATTTGGCTTCCTCCAACTAGTTGCATTCCTCGAATATGTTCGATCTGCTGTTTCAAGTCGCCAATTCCAAACCTTCATGTATGTAGGCTTGGGTGGCATTTTCGGAGTTGGTCTATTAGGTCTCGTTGGTCTCACAGCTGGAGGCTATATTGCGCCGTGGTCCGGCCGATTTTACTCTCTTTGGGATACAGGATATGCTAAGATCCATATCCCTATTATTGCATCTGTCTCAGAGCATCAGCCAACTGCTTGGCCAGCTTTCTTTTTCGACCTTAACATGTTGATCTGGCTATTCCCAGCTGGCGTGTACATGTGCTTCCAAAAACTCGAGGACGAGCATGTATTCATCATTGTCTATGCCCTGTTCGGCAGCTACTTTGCCGGCGTCATGGTGCGTTTGATGCTTACCCTTACGCCTGTTGTGTGTGTGGCTGCTGCAATTGCTGCATCTCAGCTTCTCGATACATACCTTCAATACAAGTCACCTGAGCCTACCGAGAGCAATGAGGAATCTTCAGATGCGACTGCCAAAAAGGCATCCAAGCAAAGTTCATTGCGGTCAGCATCTCAACCCGTGGTTGGCATCTACAATGTCTTATCTAAGGCTTTTATTGCCGGTGCTATGACACTTTTCCTTCTTATTTTCGTTCAACACTGCACATGGGTCACTTCCAATGCATACTCATCCCCTTCAGTCGTCTTGGCAAGCCGAATGCCGGATGGCAGCCAGCACATTATTGATGACTACCGTGAGGCTTACCAATGGCTTCGACAAAACACCAAGGAAGATGCCAAGATCATGTCGTGGTGGGATTACGGCTATCAAATTGGTGGAATGGCTGATCGACCTACGTTGGTCGACAACAATACTTGGAACAACACACATATTGCAACTGTGGGCAAGGCGATGAGTTCCCGCGAGGAAGTCGCCTATCCCATCATGCGCCAGCACGAGGTTGATTATGTCCTGGTGGTCTTCGGTGGTCTTCTCGGCTACTCGGGCGATGATATTAACAAATTCCTATGGATGGTAAGAATTGCCGAGGGCATCTGGCCCGATGAGGTCAAAGAGCGTGATTTCTTTACTCCTCGTGGCGAGTACAAGGTCGACGCCGATGCCTCGGAGACAATGAAGAATAGTTTGATGTAAGTTTGAATCACTCATGGACAATGTGAACCTAAACTCATGGTTCAATTAGGTACAAGATGTCATACCACAACTACGCCTCACTTTTCCCACCAGGACAAGCTCAGGACCGTGTACGCGGTGTACGACTCCCCGACCAGAGCCCTATTCTCAACAGCTTGGAAGAAGCTTATACGTCAGAGAACTGGATCATCCGGATTTATAAAGTAAAGGACCTCGACAATGTTGGACGAGACCATGCCGCCGCCGCTTCATTCGAAAGGGGTCACAAGAAGAAGAAGGCCATTAAGAAGCGCGGGCCTAGAGTGCTCAGGGCAGAGTAAAGGCAAATGTTTTTAGATTTTTACCACACACTAAGAATCTGATGTGGGAATATTTGTGAATACTTGACAGTGTATTTTGAGCGGTTAATTGGAAGACAAAAGCAGCCTCGATAGGTGTGGCGCATATTGTAAAAACAGTGAATAAATGAATGATTTCTCCATCTCTGGACAAGGCTCATACTTCTGTCCTTCAATCTTGATGAACTTACGTTTGACACTGCCTAAGGTTAAGGACCGCAGAATGCAAATCTGACACATGCAGCAAGCAGACTATCAAAACGAGCCTCTATAAAGTATTCATCTCCCTGTCTGAATTAACTATATATTTCTGCTCATCGCAACATCCCATCTATCCCCTAACACGACCCAAGGAAAGATCCTCATGCCATACTCCCCCCTTTTTGTTGTTACTACTCTACATAACGCACTAGCCTGCCTGCGTTTTCAACTCCTCGCGTTTGTGAAAACCATCTCGTTTTCGTCCTGAATCATTCGTGCTCTCGGGCAAAAAGCTTAGCACAGAAACTATCTAACGAAGCATTTTCGTCATAATGTTCACAAGAAGATAGGTAGGAAGGTATTGCGACAAGGACACGGTTAGCAGGATTGAGGGAAAGCCCCGCTGGATTCATGACAGTGTAGTCTCGACATGTGCGTCTAGCCGCTGGCGAATTATAACCCAGGAGATCTCTCTGGCAAAATTAATGGGAGTTTAAAATAGGGTGGGGAAAGCCGTGTGGTCGAGCTGGTATAAGCCGCGGCGCAAGCGAGAACCGTCGGTGACAGGTCGATCGGGGAGTGCTGGTGGCGGTGGTGTATTTCGTACATCGAGGTCGTCCATCGAATGGCCCGTGTGGCCAAGGAGTGAAGACCCGATTGGTGACGAATCGTACTTAACAACATCGTCTTCTTCATTATTACGTTCTTCGTCTTGTGCACCGTCAGGTATGTTGTACATATTATTCTTGTTCGTGTTCTTGCGCTCAGTCATACGGTGGTTGTTACGATTCCGGACGCGAGCTACAGTGAGCTCAGTTGGCAATTTCGATTTCGCGATCTGTTCTTCCTCGCTGGAGAACTCTGTACACTGTTAGAAAGCTTGCCTTTCTGATGATATTAACAAAAAGGATCTCGTAGAATCGTACCAATATGTTTGGTATGCTTCTGCTTATCAGCCGCCGTGACGTCCTCGTCTGGCTCAGAGTCGATGGCGCTGGGAGTAGCAACGTGATCGTGGTCATTATCCGAGTCGTCGGAGTTGTAGCTCACTATCGACATGTTACTCGCGATATAACTGGACACGGGGAAGGCGGAGGAGGTTGTTGCTGAGCCACCACCAGCCAGGGAGCTGGAGAGACTACTATCGAAGAGCTTACTCGCAAATGCCAGGTCACGCTCAGCCATCTCCTCCACTTCTCGCTCCATGTCTGTCTGGCAAGCCTCTGACCACGAGTCGCTCATGACGTGAGGAGAATGGGAAACACCGGTATAGGGCAAATCCGTTGGCGTGAGCGGTTCCCAGTTGAAAGTAGCCTCCGGCTCAACAGGAAGGTCTATTAAATCGACACTTGGTCGTTGTGATCTGGCTTTGGGTGAACCCCGACGAGGATCGTGACAAAAGTTGTCCGAGTGATCTGCGTCGACACGGGGACCATAGCTCAATGAAATTTGCGGATCCGCGGAGGAAAAAATGGCAAATGGGTCGTCAGTGAGTGTCTCGGTAGTAGTAGTCTCTGGCAACACAATCCCCAAAGCTGTCGTTACTGGTGTGCTCGAAGATCTGTCACTGCGGTGTTGTTCACGTGGACCTTGAGCCTTGCGGCTGGTCCCTTGGGACGCCAGTAGACCATACTTCTTTACTACTTCCTCGGTAGGAACATTGATGCTTGTTAGCTTCGCAGGCCTGGCCGTCTCTTTGGGGGTGATCCTATTCGAAGAGCTTGGCAGTGCCTCAATACCAGCAGGCTGTGACGCTAGACCTAGTTTCGCCATTCCAGGATCATCTAAACCAAACGTTTCGTCAAGTATACGCGTCAAATTACCCCCATCAGTGTCCTCTGAGGTAAGGACGTCCATATTGGATGATCTAAGTTGTGTTCGAGGTCGCGGGATTCGACTGCGATGCCGGTTCAAGGCTGGCAAATTATTGCTTGTTGTTTGAATCTTACCCTCCTTTTTAGCCTGACCGTGCTTTTCTTCGTTAGGTATGAGTGGCGAACTTTTTTTTGGGCTACTTGAATCTGCATCTGTGCTCTCCCATCCAGGCAGGACTGCCGCTTTTGAACCCCGAATAGTTCTGCTTCTACCCCTTTCATTACGGTTGATAGCTGGAAACTTTGGGGCTTCGTAAAAAGACCGCGCAGCGTACCGATCTGATACAGGGGACGAGGCTCTCGATCTTGATACTTCCGCTGAAGACACTGACCGAGGCGCTAAAGGGGGCTGACGGGCAGAACTCCTGCGAGAGAAAAGCCTGGAAAGAGGTCCAAATCGATTGTGTTTCTTGCGAGATTCTCTGTAAGAATGCTGGTAAGAATGTTCGCTCTCGTCAATAATGTCGTCCTCGTCGGATTTTGGCCAAGATACGTCGGCTTGTTCGCATTTCTAAATATTCCGTTAGCTCACTGCGAGTGATGGGTAGTAAGGTCGTGTACAAACCTTTCTATAAGCATTAACGGTACCCAGGTCATCATCAGAAGTATCGCCGTCTGTATCTGCAGCATCTTTCAAGCAGCGGTAGCAATAGTTCACTGGCGGAATTTGCCCTCTCTTTAGAGGATGTGCCCTCTGGTATCGTGTGGATCGCTTCTCACCACAACCGGCACATAGATGAACATGACGGATGCGTTTGCTAAGACGTTTCTTCACATCTTCAGTATCTTTCATATCATCAAGTTCTTCGTGCGTCTGCTTTGTGCCCCTCGATGAATTTCGGCTGTGATGGGTTTCCTCGACAACTTGATTATCATTTCTCGCCTGTTTCTTATCATCTCGGGATGCTTCTCTCTTCGTCGACGTGGCATGAGCGTGGAACAACCCCGGCGGAGGTGGCGGGGGAGGTGGGGGGATAAACGGCATAGGTTGCATGTGCGAAATATGAGCAGGTTGCGCTCGTGTGAATTGCTGGTAGTGTGATAGCGGTGGTATTCCAGCAGCTTGAGGGCCGGGCATTGCGAAATGATTAGGATACTGGGTTGCCATGTGGTTTTGCTGGTTTCTCCAAAATGGGCCTCCTTGCCACGCAGAAGTACCATTGTTAGGGTAGCTAGGCAAGTGAGTAGGAGGATAGTTGGCGCCGTAATAACTCATCGGAGCGGGAGGTACGCTAGTATTCGTGGCTGTATTGTTGGGCCAGCCCGTCACGAATGGAGGTGGAGGAGGTGGCGGCGGAGGGTAATAGTGTTGGCCAAATGCTGGGGGAGCCGGAAACGTAGGACCTGCTGTATACGGAACTTGCTGGTGTGGGAGTGAAGCGCCTTGTTTATTGTATCGGGTCATTGCAAAAGGGAGACTCGTTGACGACGGGTTCCTGCTGCTTGTCTCCCTACGTGGTACAATTGACTCAACGTCATCGTCATCGTCATCATCATCCGAAGATGCTTCTTCACTTCGACGAGGCGATTCTTGAGCAGTGACTAAACCCGAGCTCTGGGATGCGATACTTTGCAACCTGGTTCGTTCTTCATAATCTCTGCGGGATGGAACCCCGAAGCTTTGCCCTAGAATATCACACCCAAAGTCCTGCAGAAGTCTGCTAGTCTTCTTCCGACCAAGAGCTGGTTTGCCATCTTGAGTTTTTGTAAGGTAGACGTGTTCATCGATAGGCAGAATAACATCGTCATCCGAATCTTGTATAAGCGGTTGCGGAAAAGGAGAGCCAGTGCTCCTACGCAATGTGTCAGCTTTTTGTTGTAGCAATCGCAATAAAAGGTTATAGAAGGTATAGCAGCGAGATGAGAATTAGATATCATCTTGAAGTCGGTGATGAAGGTATATAGTCATGTATACTTACTGGGAGCGATTGCGTGTTTTCTTGAACAGGCCCATGATGTGAAAATATGACCAAACAGCAGCCACAGGTTGAGAACACAGCCTATGAAACGAATGAAGGCGCCGTATGCGCTGAAAACTCAGTGATGTTGAAAACGAAGGTCAAGCATGCACCAAATGTGGTGTAGATGGAAGAGTCGTGCGTTGTGAGAGGAGGTGCAAGTGCCGTTGAGGTCAGTAGAAGGTGATCAGGCGAGGGAGTCAGGACTAAATGGTGGGGAATATAGTGTCAAGAACACTCAAAGAACAATAGGACTTCCCCTGAGACAGAAGGAAGGTGTTGAGAGTTCGAAGCGAGCGAAGGTTGGGGAAGAGGTAGGAAGGAGGAAAGATGAGGACGAGTATATAGATGAAGAGAAAGCAGAGGTTGGGGGGGGGGTAGTACCTGGGTACGCTGTCTGTTATGTATTATACAGATGAAGGAGAGACTTCCAGACTGAGAAAATAGAAAGGTAAAAGAATATGCAAGAGACAAACATGGGCGACTCACAATGTGGTTTGAATGGGGAGGTACCTCATCTATTAAGTCCCCTATTGTTTCCATTGCAAAACCAGAATTGATACATCTCTCAATAGCTACAAACATAGATAGGTGCATTGACCTATGAATACAACGACCCTTCGGTCCTGGAATATGCCACTAGCATTGTGATATCGGCAGGTATCAGATTCGACAATTTTTTGTTCAAGCTGTTTCTCTATGTATATATTTGCACAGATTTGATAGCCAGGCTCATTTCGTCACTATGCCGGGCTTTCATCCACACAGTAAATTCCCAACAAAACCCTCTGCTTTCCATCAGTGCGGGCCATTTAGTCATTCCACATTGAAAATTTTGTAACAAAAAGAAAGCGTCTACCAACTATATCAAACGTATGGTGATGTATAACTAGCAAACAATTGGGGTCATACTCTCGTCAATGGCTGAATATTCGTCGCCGCTCCGGCCAGGGCCATGACAGGCCCCAGAGGAATGGTCGGTGCCCATATGGTAATTTATAGATATATAACCAGAGAGGTATGAAGTCGGCCTTCACGAAGCTTCTTGAGAAGGACCTGGTGGTGCAAACCGATGGACTAGCGGATCGGTTCGCGCACGTTCGAGTCTGTCGTTGGGCGACGTGCCCCAGGAGGCGTGTTCTAATCTACGTTTCGCCTCCATACGCCTTAGTTCAAAATTTCGACTACGCTCCTGCTCTCGCAGTAAGTTGCCCATCCTGATTTCATGGTCTATTTGGGCGTCTTCCTTAGCTCGAGAAGACGCCAGTACTTTTTCGACCCTTGGCCACAGACGGTCGAGCTTATCAGCTACAGCCGATGATACACGCGTTGGTGGTTCATTAGCCGGCCGTCTTCTCGACGAGCCACCCCAAGAACATTCAAAGATGAGCCCTGCTTGAGCACCTATCTCACCACCGCCCCAGAACGAGATACGGTCCCCATCATACAGTTTCATCCAATATTTGCATGGGGCTTGTGCATTCTTGGGCTCATGGGAGTGAAGTGGAATATCATTGATGCGAATCCCATTTGTCGCTTTAGTGGCAATGTAGAATGCAAATGACTCTGGCTCCGGAGACGCTCGCATTGTAGTACTTGAGGTCGACCGTGTTGGTTCCCACGGTCGCAAGTCACTTTCTGAAGCCTTATAGCCTTCTCTCCATAACGCAACCTTGAAGGCACTCTTCGGTACTCGAGATTCCGTAATTCGATTATAGACGACCGTGTTGGTCATTCCGCGACCCCACGATAAGATGGGATCTCGGAGAGGAATGGAGACATTCGACACCAAAGAACCCGGACTAGACTTGAATGACCCCACTTCTGGCCTGGGTTGATGGGCCGTTAATAAAGTTGGCGGCGTATTTGGAATATTTTCATCATATGCGGGAATAGCTAACTGGGAGTCGAATTGGTGATCAAGAGTATCAGTTGGGGCCGGTTGCGGCATACTCCAACCAACCGATTCCCCAGCTGATTCTGGCTGTAAAGTGCGTGAACCAGCGGATTCTGGTTTATAACTATAAGTTGGAGGAAAGTATTTCATGGCGAGTTCCCAGAGAGGCGATTTATTTTGCGCAAACTCTTCCTTTCTGTTTGTAGCAGCAGCTTGGAAAGCGTGGTATTGGAGATTTGTCATTTCCGGATAGTTTAGATGCCATGTGTTTTCGTCTTTGCCCCAATATGCCTCCTTGGGACAAGGGAAATCAATTTGGCGGCCCTTATCGCCATCAGAGATCGGGGGAATACAGGCGAACAAAATATCTTCGTCCTTTAGATGGTCTATATTAGCTTCCGATTTCAACCTTTTTAAGGAGTATCTGAGTGCGTTTGGGTCGTCGTATTCATCACTCGTGTCATAGTTTGGCTTTCTCTTGCTCGCAGCGAGATTGCTGATCCGTGAAGATGTTAAATCTGAATCGGCAGCGGCGACAGACTTCACATTCAAGTTTTTAATGATAGAAGATGCACCACCTAAACTTTGGGAGCTAAAGCCAAGGAGGGCACTGCGAGAGTTATCTGGCTGCGAAGGGCCATCTCCGACCGACGAATTATTTTGATTCTGGAAAAAATTCTCCCGTGGAGTCTCGAAGTTATCGGATTCTTCAAAGCTATCACGGACCTCATCGCCAGGGACTTCGGTTTCACCACAGCTCGACTCTTCAAAATTGTCACGAACTTGGGATTCACCAAAGTCCATATTGGACACTGAAAGATTCAAGCGATCTTCGGGTATCACGCCTGAGCTGCCTATAGCCGAAATCTCCCCAAATAACCTTGGAACGTGAGCCTGACCAATAAGGTGATTTTCCTTCTCCTGTTCGAAGTCCATAGAGAAGTCAGGTTCAGGTTCTCCAAAAGAGCTTTCGCTCGGACTCATAATGGTAGGCGGTGTTTTGTCATCAAGACTTAATTGAGAGGCTGAACGGCCTAGATCTTCGTCGAACTCCTTGCTGGGGAGTGTGTTGGCGTCGGTCAACCAAGGATGACCCTTGAGCTCGGCAATGGTGGCTCTAGTCTCCGGTCGTACATGAATCATACGGGACAGGAAATGAACACCGCTATGTGAAACCTTCGCTTTGTTCAGTGGTGCCTTATTCAGAGGTGTTTTAATAATATGGTCAAGCAATTCTGTATACGTTGTTCCATTTTTCACAGGGAATGGTGGACTGCCGGTTAGCGTGTAGAACAAAACTCCGCCGAGAGACCATATGTCGACCGCATGGTCGTATCTCTCTCCGCTGGTAGGCCGGAGATTCTTCCTATTCGTCCGGTTGCCATAGTCGTCGTAGGAGGAGTACTCTGTGTATACCTCGGGGGCGCAGTACAGTAGCGTTCCACAAAATGTCTTGAGGAATGTCTGCTCGGTATCTATCATTTTCGATAATCCAAAATCTGTGAGCTTGACGACGAGAGGATTGGTGCTTTGGATAAGAATGTTGTCCGGCTTAACATCGCGGTGAGTGATCCTATTGTCATGTAGGTATCCAAGGGCATCGACCAGCTGTCTAGCTATGATGCCGACATATATCTCTGTAATCGCCCCCGAATCCTGCACGAGTTTTCCTAAATCACCACCGGGAACATACTCCATGATAATAAAGAACTGATGCGGTTCCCAATCAAAATGTTCAATATATTGAACAATATTGGGCTGAAAAAAGTTAGGGCGATATGAAATGATCGGACGCAAGTTTACTCACATGTTTTACTCTCTGCATGATTTTCATCTCGTTTTCCACCTTCTGATCTAAAACACCATTCTTCATAAATTTCCGCTTATCAAGCTCTTTTGCTGCATAAGGGGAACCGTCTTCTCGACTCGTAACTTGATGGACCACTGCAAAGGCTCCTTTCCCGATGACGCCAACTCGGGCGTACTTGTTATCCCCGCGCCACTCGCGAGGACGGTTCGAAGTCCGGGAGAAGCCCACACGGTGATCGGCGTGTGCGATTTTCTTAGTATGGGCGAATAGGTTCACCTTGAAACGACTTAGCACCAACAAACGTTACGAATGTAGTCCCGAGTATCTTACATGACCCCCTGGCCCAGGGCCAATGGTTTTATTCATGTCATCTTCGTCATCTTCAACACCACCGTTGAGCCTGATCATATATGATACTACGTTCCTCATATAGGCGTCTTCGTAGTCTCCATCTCGACGGGGTATCCGGACCAAAAAGTTGAGATCGTATCTATTTTCAGTCATGACAATCTTTATGACTGAGCCGCTTTCGAGAGTGCGCCGTATGGAAAGAGGTTCAACGGAATGTGGCTCGGGCCTCTTTCGGAGAAGCTTCCCGTCAACCACAGTTCCATTTGTGGACTGATCCTCGAGCAGTACGCTCCCGTGATAGTTAACATAGATACGACAGTGTATGTTACTCAATCTCCTGGCGTGGTCATGAGCAAAGCATATGTCACAGCGAGCCCGGTTTCGGCCAAAAGTGAAGCCTAGACGAGGATCCTTGAGATTTGAAGACAGTCGCAATACAAGAGCATGATCCCCCATGCCGCGGGTACCACCAAATCCATGAGCATCGTCTTCATGGTGTAGGTTCGACTCGATGGCATCGGCGGTGTATCTTTCAGTCGTATGACAGGCGTACTCGGGGGTTGAGGCGATGATCTGGACCTCGCGGCTGGCTGCCTCTGAGATAGGGTATAACAAGCATATTATATCAGAAATATCTTGGTCGGAGAAGCCAGAATTCTGCTGGCCGATTCTTCGAGGGTCGAAAGCATTCTGAGTGGCTGGTAACAGAGGTCAGCTGTATAGCCCATTCTGCAGTTGGAGCTTTTTCTCGAATATGACCAAGAAGGCGGAAATGACACAGTTGACTCCAGCAGAGCATGAAAAACGGAACACCACCTTACCTTGTTGCGTGGCCTGTGAGTCGAGCTCGGCATCCATTGGGAAAAGAGTGCCTCAAGGCTGGTTGGTGTTACCGACTGTTCGAGATGCAACATCCAGACAGTCGGCAGACCTGACTCGGGAAAAGGTCGAGGACCCCAATTTGACCACCCTGAAGCTGTCTCATGCACAAGCCCTGAGACAAACCAAAGCCGTGGACAATCATTCGACAAGCACAATAGACAATGTGTGCAGAGCGCGGGCGAGGTGCGAGTTTAGGTGGGGTGGTTTCTACAGCAGGTTGCTACGGTTGCAGAGCGGGGAAATGATACATCAGTTTGTCGTACAGTAGCTGAACATAGGAAAGAAGTGGAACTGAATGTCGCTGGAGATGTTATCTGAAACAAAATAGTGGCGATATCTCAACAAAAAGAAAGCAACCGGGTTGTGGGAGGAGAGGGATAGAAAAGTCGGGTTAGGTGATAACATCAGTGAAGCTGTGACTGAACCCCAGTCCTCGCCAAGGTACCGTTGTTCGTCTACCTACCTAAGTTAGGTACCGACTATGTACCAAAGTAGGTGAGCGGAGGTGGGTAGCTAAAATGTACATAGTAAACATTGGTAAACAAATTGAATGTGAGGCTCATTTTACAGGGAGGTAAGTGCCTCTTTAGGCAACATATGGGGCTCACACTAGATCCTATTCAGCTTAACCTGCAGCCTTATATACTACCTAAGTACGGAGTACATGCTTACCTGCACATAACTGCATGTATCCAGTGACGTTACGTATAGTCTCAGCATATGATCAAGATACAGTAGTCTAGTAGGTTGGCATCTGAGTAGAATAACGGTTGGTAGAAAGCTCATACTTGGATAAAATCCCTTCGGCCCAAGCAACCGTCACCCTAGCATGCGCACGAACTCTAAAAAGATGCTTAAACAGCAAGACAAAAGTGTAAAAAGTTAGATAAGCTCAGGGTCTCAGGGTCTTGCTTTAAGTTACCGTAGCTACCTAGGTATCTAGGCAGATTGTTAAAATCATAAACCTGCCTCACTTTACCTCTATCATAACCTCATCTGGCAATGGTTACAGTTTAATACCGTCGTATTGTCATGTGTGCTTGTTGATGAGGGGGGTGGAAGGATGATAGAATTACCGTAGCAAACCTGGTACTCCAGACTCTCCTATTCGTCTCACGGGACTATACAGATCTCAGCAGTCATGCAATCTTGCTCCACATGTCATAATGTGATAGTCTTATACATTAGTATACAGTTTTAATTGCTCTATGCTTGATATCCCGCCCGATGTAAACGTCACTGTACTCGCTCTTCATCGCTTCAAACCCAACGTGGCCATCTTCACATTGTAGTAGATTAGATCTAGCCTGTTGTCATAGCACGTACTTACGCCTTGACGATGAGATGTCTTAAAAAAAATTCATATCCATAACCAGCCGCAGGTTGATTTTGACCATAAGATCCGCCATTTGTACCCAGTTTTTTGGTTTTCTCTTTGTCCGCCAAGTGTATGCCAAAAATGCTAAGAAATACATCCAAATGCGCCATTGCTTTCCGAATCCAAGCTGTGCATACTCATTAATGTTGGCTAAAATAGCCCTTTCTTCTTCTTTGGTTGTTTCGCTTCACCGCCCATGTCCTTTAGAATGTCATCAAAGGTGCTCCCACCCGCAGAATCTTGGCGAGAACTGCTTCTCGAGTCCGACCCACGGCCTTGGGACCCCGCAAGGCCACGAAGATTGCCCGAGGATCTACTCCGATCCATAAGAGTACTGGTAGGCCGTGAGCCGCCGAATGTACTCAAAGCACTAGAAACACGCGAGCCTGGAAATAATTGCTCACTTCCCGGCAGAGCCACAGGCTCCAGCCCTATAGCAATGCTGCTGCGATATGCGGAGTTTCGTCTTGCAGGTGAGGTTCCTCTGCTGCGAAGAGCGAGCCCAGGCGGACCGCTCAATGGCGATTCGCTTCGAGGCCCAAATGATGGACTACCCGCAACCCCTGGGTCCATGTCTTCAAACACAGCTTGTGGTGCTTCTAATGGCGAAAGAGTATCATTGGAAGGCACCGGAGGATTTGTATATTCACCCATCTCCCAGCGTTTTCCCGCGAGCCAGCAGTGACTCCGGTGATAAATACCCTCGATGCCAAACTCAACCGCATCCTCCGAGAGTTCAACCAGGCCACCTCCGCCTGCTACCTCATACCACCGCTTACGCACCGCTGGTGCATCCTCTATCCACGGTGGTGACCCTTTAGGCGGCTGGCAAAGGAAATACTCAACACCTTCAGTATATTTCAATCCGGGCGCATCAACGATGAGCATCGGTAGAGACTGAATCACGACGTAAAGAAACAACCAGTAGCCGAGGCGGTGATCTGCCATGTCAGCAGCCGTTTTACCTTTAGCGTCTTTCATCTCGAACTCCTTGAATTGGTCTAGGAAAGGCATGGGTAGCTTGGTAGTATCGAAATCATAAGCCTTATTCAAGATGAGAATCGTCTGGTACTCTTGCAAGCCTTTCTTCACCAGTTTGGCCTGTTCCTTGTGGGACAAATCGTAGAAATTCTCTTGTACGCTTGTCATATCAGGTAATTTGGGGAGATCGAAAGGAATTGGGGGAAGCACAGGTGGAGACGATTGGTCAAATTCACCTAATATCTTTCTCATGGCCGAGCATCGTGGATTCCGATGGTCACTATTAATGTTGTCTACCCCCTGGTCAATCATTCGAGTAGTTAATGATTCTCGGTCGACAAGGAGGTCATAGAGTGCGCAGAAGTCGGAATATAAGATCTTGAGCACTTGGCGATTGAGACCGCTTTCTGTAAATGGGTTCTTCTTACTGCGAGCCTTAGGGGGCCAGCTTCCGAAGCTTGACTTATAATAACCCAGAACAAATTGTCTCATGCGTCCGAACGACTTTCGCCAGATATTAAATCTGATGTCCTTGTACTCAGCCGATGATGTTGAATTTGCTGTACCGGAGAATAAGGCAGGGAAATCAAAGGATTCGAGGCGATTATTGACACCATGTTGTCGTCCTACAAGATCGAAATGCGCGCGCTCGAGCCGTTGGCGAGTGCTTGAAGACACTTGATCCCATAGAGGAGAACGAAGATCACGCATGGCCGAATACTTGCCTACTGCATGGGCGAAAGCCTCATTATAGAGCTCCATTGATCGCATCCGCTCACCTAAGATCAGAGATTCGAGCGTCTTTTCCCTGCTCTGTCTCACATCGGCGAGCGCCATCTGCTCTATGAAGAAACTGAAACTCATCTCTGCAGCATCCCCAAAGGTAGACCCATCCATGTTGGTGAATTCAAATTCCTTTAACAGACTGGATATATTGAGGAACACGGCATATAGAGTGGGCTGAGCTTTTGTCGCCACTAACGGCTGACCCGTCAAAAAGGCAAACATATTCCGTATAGAGATCAACCGCTCCATGTCAGTTTCAGACCTGTGACCTGGAGTGGACATCGAAACCGGGAGGTAGAGTCGCATTTCGGAGCTGCCCTGAGAATCGGGTATCGGGGGGGAAAGTGGAGGCGATTGCACCCTCCGCGTCGCATCTGATACCGAGAGGCTATCTCGACCAATGAAGCTGCGGGATCTTTCCCCAGGACTCATAGATGACTCAGCATCAATCAAGTCCGCAAACACAAGCGAGGAGTCAGTTGTGAAAGAATGGACTTTAAAGGAAGGTGAGCCGTTGCTTCCTTTAGGGTCTAGGTAGACAAGCACATCACCACTATCGTTCCAGAGCTCTGGAACCTTTTCACTATTGGCAAGAAAAGCCGTGTTATAGTCAGAGTTTTGGCCAAGGATCCAAGCACCGGCCATATCTTGCCGTCGAGTCTCAGTGGACTGTGACCTTGACCTTCCTCCAGGGAGCCAACTCTTTCTCCCACGTCTTTCGCCCTCTCTGGTGGGACTTTGACTGCCGTTACTTGAGCCAGGACGTGCTAGCCCGGCTGCGACTCCTGGTGGTACGATGTGACCCTCACGTTCTCCTGATGATCTAGCGGCTGGGGGTTGAGCAGATGAGCTTCGGGTCCTATCGTTAGGAGAACTTTGCTGGGCCACCAGACCCGAGGAGAATTGCGCATGAGATTGGGGGCTCGCATTAACAGAGCTACTTCTCTGTTTCCGCTGTTTCTGTAAGCGCGGCGATGGCTTGGTCTCGCTGAAAAGGAAGTTGGAATCTGAGGTAGGAGGTGGCGTAACAACTTGGCGAGGAGGAGGAGGTGGTGCGTGCTGTGGGGGTGCGGGCTTGTGCAAACGCCCAGAGCCTCGCATCCCAGGGCCAGCATTGTCATCGGTCGGACGACTGTTCTGTTCCTGTGGTACGTCTGGAAGACTAGGCGAGAAGCCGAGCCCGGACGGTGGTGGCAGCGGCAAGCTGTTCACCCGGCCTGGGCCTGTGGGCTCCTCGGGAAGTGGTTTCCGATGTAGCACATTTTGGTCTGAAGACGAGTTTGACGTTAGTGAGGGTAGTAAAATGGACGAGAAGCGATGCAATTTTGATCTTGTCCTAGTTCTCGGCATGACGACAGTTACTTTCGGCTGTTGTTTGCCTTCCGACGCCGGCGACTGCGGTAGCGACAGGCTGGGTTGAGACGAACGAGGATGTGTCCAGAACCCCATATTGCTGCCCGCGTCACGAGAGGGTTGTATGTATCACAGAGGAACAGACGAGGTGTCGACGGGCAGCATTGATGGGTGAGGAGGGCAGGGGAATGCAGGGAGATGAAGGCTAGGAATTTACACCTTGACTTACTGGAGGCTGACATTTTGACACAAGCTGCCCTTTTAGTCTGAGACAGCAACCAAACACAGTCCTTACTTCGTTACACAGCGAAAGAATTGTCAGATGGAGACCCGGTAGCCTGGGGATCCCCGTCCGAGACTGGTTGGTTCGACGACGCCCGGGACATGCGGGAGTTAGGTGGCCCTCGGTGTGCACAACTTTTTTCACCCGGTGGCCGTGGTAATTAGTCTCTGGCCGCGCGGTCCCCAATGCTGTGGTTTGCGGCTTGAAGGTACAGGAATAGCGCAGCACAGTGAACGACGCCAACGCTGTGCCTGGTGGATACGAGAGCTCCCTGGGCTTGCTTTGGGTGGAGAGTTCGCTCCCCGCGGATATTAAGAAGTTCACACTAGTATGTCGAGTAGCGAGTGATGGATAAAATCACTTGCTCGGCGTGCATACATTAATATGAACGGGATGGGAGATGTGTAGGTATTCAACATGTGCGTTCGAGGGTAGATGAATGCCGCTGGAGAAAGCCGAGGATGGACGACGGCGACAGCGACAGAAAACGAAGGGCGGTACGCGCGGTAAGCGGAGGGCAAGCCATCCGATATATGTAAGTACTGAGCAGGTCGGTACAATAGAAAGAGTCAAATAATGCAGCCAAAAATAAAAGAACTCGAATAGCTGTACACTATGATCACACGAAACAGGAGGCAAGGGTTCTTCTCGGGGTTCTACAGTTCTGGCTGACGTCCACAGGCTCGACAGGTCCGTGTTCGAGCTTTGCACGGCAGAAACCTGAAAAAACACATACCTCCTAGGCATAGGTACAACCAAGGCCCGACCAGGGATTTGACACTCGGCGCACACTAGACACTAATTACTAGTCTAATACCTAGATGCATAGCTAGGAAAAGGTGGGCAAATGAGCTCCTACACGTGGAGGGCGCAGCGGAGCGCAGTGACGTCGTCTAGATGAGTCGTCGGCCGTACGTACTACCTACATTAAGTATGCGTGTTCCTAGTCCTACACAGCATCCACCACTTACATACGAGTGCTGTGTGTGTGTGTGGTGTGTGTATGTATCTGGGACTAGCGTTCCGCCGGCCAAATAAATGCCGCTTCGCGTACTGTAGACTTGATGATGGATGATGCAGGCATTTGTGTTAAGTATCGACGCCCACGGTAGGTAAGCAGAGGCGAAACGTAAGCATCTTGATTGCTTCGCTGAAATCTCCTAACAACCAATAAGACTCGAGATCGGTAAGAGCCAATTGCAGAACGAGCTTCTCGAAATTTTCTTTTTTATTTTCAGTATTACATATCAATATACCACCAGTCGAGCGCCTACCTATCTACCGTACATAGTACTAGACTCCTATTCTCAAGTTGACAATGATGCGCCACCTAGATGGCGACCATCCTCCCTGCAAGATAGCTGCCCTTCAGATGACGATCTTAGCGGACACTGTACTTTAAGTATAAGACTTACTATAGGTAGGTCTAGTGGGATGCCTCCTACTAATTAGTACCGAATGCGTGGAAGTACACATAATCAGCTTCGTAACTCGTATACTCTCAGAATATACTGCATATACCTATTGGACCATGAATGTGACAAAAACCACTCCTGTCAGCCCATCTTTCCACGAGCTGAGCTCCTAGCTGCCTGTTTTTTAATTAACATAGGCACCTAGCCAGATAGCTTACATACAGCCCTGAGTACCTACCGTAGGTCTGCGTAGGTATAAGGTATAATATAAATCCGGCTGACACCTATGACTCCTCATTCCTCGCGGATGTCTAAGCCACAACTACTTACTTATGCAGGTCCTACACTATCCAGTCTAGGAAGGGGAGATTTCGGTATTTGCTCAACGGAGGCAGATATTTCCTCGCGGCTTGGGTATGAAACAACTTGTCAGAGCTATTCCCGTTTCATTCAAACTTGGGTACCCTTGTCTGCCAAATTGTAGGGAGTTGAAAAGGCTCAAATTGACCTACACTAACCTAGCAAGTTGTGTAAACCTTCCACATTAGAAGGCGCTATAATTAGCAATATGGTTAATACACCTGACACCGCCCTTAGAATTAAGCTTCATATATAGGTATGTATGTAGGATTGCCAGTCGAATGGCAGCTCCTGCAAGGTCCAAAGCATGCGTCTGAGTTGGTATGCACCCTGTCTTGCCGAAGGTTGTTAAAAGAGACATGTCTGAGCATCTCCCGCATGCGTCCAGAGGCTGCCAAGCTACCTCCCCTGTTTCTCATATGAACCCGAATGTCCCGCAAGGCACTGCCTGGTAACATCAACCGAAGTAGGTAACCTGAATGCTATATCAATAAAATGCAGATCTACAGAACCCCGATCAAGTATGCGGAGTAATAGTATGTGTATTACGGTATTAGTCAGAACTCAACCATAAGACCATGTAGATGTTATCGAGGTTATAAAGGTTAAAGTAAGTATTTAAATCTTGGCGCACTGTATTTCCCAAACTGTTCGATAAGATAAGGACTCTTTTTTTTTTTGTCCCTCCTGCAACGCCGATCTGAGCCGATATACATTTATGTAATTATTAGCCTCGACTTTACAAGTAGACTTGTGTAGGTAGGTACCTAAAGTACCCGGTCTACTGTAACAATTCATCTTAGAAATTTTTAAAAATATTGGCAGTCCAACCTTCGCTGTCCAAAGGGAGGGGTCCCCATGGTCTGACAGCTATAACGGTAGATGTATTCATTTGCGAAAGCAACAAGGGCCATCATGACATCTGCGCAGAAGAAGGTCCCCATTCCCCGCAGGGGGGTTGACTACCGCGGCAAGATCGTGCTCGCCCCCATGGTGCGCTCTGGCGAGTTACCATCACGACTTCTAGCCCTTCACTACGGCGCTGATCTCGTCTGGGGTAGGCTGTGCATTTCATTATTCTTTTTATTGATGCTAATCGTACTATCTATGTACTTCTACTAAAACCTTCCTATAGGACCTGAAACAGTCGATCGCTCCATGATCGGAACCACAAGACGATTTAACCCCCAGACCAACACGATCGACTGGACGAGGAAGCCATCACAAGGCAGCAGGGCACCGCAAAGTGGCGAGGTCAAGGACAGCATCATCTACCGCATCCACCCAGAGAAAGAGGCTGGCAAGCTCATCTTTCAAATCGGCACATCCAATCCCGATCTCGCCGTCCAAGCGGCACGACTTGTCGCCGCCGATGTCGCTGGCATCGACGTCAACGCCGGATGCCCGAAACCATTCAGCACTCACGACGGCATGGGCGCCGCCCTACTCAAAACACCAGACAAGTTATGCGCCATCCTCGAGGCTCTCGTAGCCAACATTACCCCCGAATTCGAAATCGGCATCAGCGTAAAGATTAGGATCCTCGAGACCGCTGAGCTGACCGAGGCGTTGGTCCGCAGACTTGTCGCGACGGGGATCACCGGCCTGACCGTACACTGTCGGACGACTCCAATGCGACCGCGAGAACGCGCCATACGTGGTCAGCTACGCATGATTGCCAACGTATGCCACGAGGCTGGTGTCGCATGTCTGATGAATGGCGATATAGAGAGCAGGGATAGTGCCCTGCCGCTGATGGAAGAATTTGGCGTCGACGGTGCAATGATAGCCACGCAAGCTGAGAAGAACTCGAGTTGTTTTCAATCTGAGTCAGACGGCGGACTCCTCCCATGGACCGAGATCACCAAGCAGTACATCCGCTACGCCTTGGAAGTGGAGAATAAATTTGGGAATACAAAGTTCATGCTCACGCAGGTAATCCCTGGCAAGGCGTCCGTATACCGCGAAATCAGCACTTGTAAGAGCTATACTAAGGTCTGTGAGATGCTCGGATATGATGACCTGATGGAAACCGCCCGAGAGGTGGATCTAAGCCTCGACATCGACCCCGATAACGCAGGCAAGAACAAACCCAACAAGCAAGTCAACGTCACTGCGCTAGCAGCTGGCAGGCAGACGGGCAAGTCGCGCATCGCGACCTCGTCAACCAAAAAGAATCTATCGGGGCGGGGTATTCAGATCTCGTCCGAGACACCAGCTCCTGAAGCAACCGCAGTACCAGCCTGAATGGTTGGACGAGTGCATGACGTGATCTTGGGAAATGGGAGGATTGGATAGGGAAATAGGGGATTCATAGCATTTGAAGGCGTTCAGCGACAGAGATATCCACAAAGGCGGCTTAGAGGGGCTTCAGGCAAAACGGCCAAAATATTCTTGGGGCATGCATATATACGGGAGTTATGTGGCTAAGTAATAGTCTACCTAGGGTAAGCGGCTCCTCCCCAAGCCGCAACTTATACATATTGTAGTCGAGATTTAGGACAAGACAATACGCTCATCTAGCGTGTAATGCTTACACGAATCATTCCGTCTGCTATGTTGTACACTCGTTGTACTTAGACCCCAAGGTTGTTGACGATTTCACACCTTCTTGCCCTGCTTGAGGAGGTCACCGACCTTGGGCGGAAGCACCAGGGCACTTCTATCATTGCGCCGGTGGAAATCTACAAGCGAGATAGCTATTTTCTCCGGTAGGTCCTCGTGTATAAAGTGACCTGCTTCGGGAAAGACTTGGAGATTGTATTTGCCTAGGTAGATAGTTTAGTCAATGTTCACATGCAGGATGCGCTCAGGCGACATCATGCGTAGGCGAGAACAGATAAAAGTAGACGAGCAAAACGCAAAAGAGGAAGAGAAGCGAGATGAATACCTTGCATCTGACCAATCGTCAATTCCGTATCCAACCTATCAGTCCCAGCGAGAAGCAACAGCTTCCCTCCCTTAGCCGCCAGGAACTTGCCGCTCAAGCCCACGAACCAGTTCTCCCAGTACGGCTGCGTGGCCGCGAGATCCGTCCTCCACTTCCAGGGCCGCGCGTCTTTCCCCTCTCCGTCTTCTAAGCTCAGCAACGACGGGACGCTCGTGCGCGCCGAGACCGAATTCCGGATGGTCCGCGACCGCGTATGCCACTCGATGCCGGCCTCGAGGCTCTGGAAGCCCGTCGGCCGCGTCGACAGGTACGTGTGCATGTGCTGCAGGGCGTCGATGGCGGAGCCCTCGACGACGTCGAGCACGGCGTAGCCCAGCAGCGCATTTCCGAGGCGGCCCGATCGCGCCAGCTCCGTCACCACGGCGCCGCCCATAGAGTGGCCGACGAGGATGATGGGCGGCAGCTCGGGCCACCCCATCGCCTTGCGCGTGAGCCGGATGGCGGTGAGGAGATCGTCGGCGAGCGTCTCGAGGGATAAATCGAGAGCTTGGCCTTCGGGGATGGTCGTCGAGCCGTGACCCCTGGCGTCGAGGGAGAAGATGCCGGCAGTCGACAGACGCTGGCGGATCTGGTCGCCCACCACGGCGAATGAGAGGCCCGAGGATCCGCCGCCATGATGCATTACGAATAGGGGGCCCTTGCCGACGGGAGAGGTGAGGTAGGCGTGGATATTAGGACTTTGGGGAGTTGTTTCATCATGCAGGAATAGCTCCCTCTCAAAATATGTAGTCCATGGGATGGGCTGAAAAGTGCGCCCCCGGGGAACGCTACAGCAAGTCATCAGCATAATCTATTAGTTGAATGAAAGGGGCAACAGATGTGCATGATTTACCCCTGAGGCCGAGCGAAGAGATTCTGGCTGGGCGAAGGAATGACGGTGCCGGTCGACGAGGCCGACGAGGCGGAAGAAGAGTCATCATCGAAGTGCTCGGGCAATTCGGGGACGGTGCCGGTTTCCTCTTCTTCGAGCTCGTCGAATGGCTCGATGGCCATGGCACCGAGGCGGTTCTTGGCCCAGGCCTTCTGTAGGTCGCTCATGTCGACGAGTCGGGGGGAAGACGGTGAGACTTGCTGTTCGCTACCATGACAGCATACGTCATATGCTACGGTGGCGGTCAAGTAATGGCTAGCTCTGTATGCGTCGAGCTACTGAAATCTCATAATGCGGGAAAAAATAATTAAAAAATAAAAGCAGGTGATTGATCGTCTTACATGCAAGTTGGGCTGTTAGCTCTCACATGTAAAACCGGCAGTCCGACCTGTCGTCGACTTGACACATTTAGGTAGGACTATCGGGGTAGGTACGTATGATTATACTATCAAGCACATACTTCCTCTTGAGGTCGCCTTTGTGCAGATACTAAGGAAGCAACCGTCAAGTTAGACAGGCACTTGACAAGTTGTTGGGTTGCAGTAGAACATGGAGAGCGCTGCTCAAGCTTGAGGTTTCAATTGGTGGGGTTCTGTCTATCAAGTTTGACATTGCTCAACGCGATAAGGGAATCCATCCCTGCTTCCGGGTAAGTCCTCTGATCACAGGAGAGGTGGGCCAACGCATGACAGATTCAACTAAAGCTCGATAGCGCCTAGTGATATTTTCTATCACTTATTATTTACTTGATCTGATGGAGTAGTCACAAGAAAATGACAAAGATGCCTATACGGTAGGATGAAGCATCAATGGCAGGGTTGACTAGCTTGTAACTACAGCTTCAGCACCTAAGTACGGCTGAATAATGGATGGCTTCCAAAACTCTATATAACTCGGCCTCTATGTGAATTCTTATACGGAATATAAGACGCTATAAAACTGTTGCTAGCATTCGACGAATGATTTATGTAGTTTCCCTAGAGCTGAAGGGAAGCAACTCTCGCAGTTCTGCGCTATTTCTGTAGAGACAGTAGTTGCGCTTGGTGGTTGCGAACAGAAGCGCAATGCTGGTAGATTTACAGCCTCCACTACATTCTCGTATTCACTGTGGTGAGTAGGTGACAAGATTTACATTACTTTGGCACGGTATACGCCATAGCCTGCCCAGCATCATCCAGTAAATTAGGCTGCTGTCACAGCGACGCGAGAGCACGTATCTAGTGTGTTAATAACGTTGATATACTCCTGCAAATGATATCGTTAGCCGAAAAGAACAGGAAGGTCGCTAAGTCAAATTTCGGCTTTATCCATAGAAAGTTATTTGACAACGACAAGCAGTGTTTCCAATACTCACCTTCAGTCATTCTGTTGATCTTCACTGAAGATTCGTCACCGAAATGGACACTGGAGAGAGTGACAAGCAGCCATCGTCGTCGTTATTCAGCCACTATCAGCCTCTGGCACAGCCAGATAGCATTAGCTGAGCGAGTGTGGAATACTGGGTCGATAGGCCATCTTGAGCTCGCTGCGCTTCTCGCGCTTTTTTGGTCGCGAACGCCATTTGTGATCAAGAGATGTAGCATCTCGGCGCCATCAAGTTGAGAGGGAATATCATATGACTTCGGCATGACCAGATTCTACTAGTGATTTCGCGTCAGACCACCTAAGAATAACAACATCGCCATTTTTGCCATTCAAGGAGCCATCCATATCAGTCCCATGGCCTTCGACAAGAGTATCTTTAAGAAGGCGAATGAAGACAGCAGTGTCAAGGTCAGGGGCGTCAATCATGCTAATGTTTCCGGCCGTGTCGTTCAAATTCTGTAGTGCGGGAGGGAAGGCGGACAGGAAGGAAGATAAATAGTGATTGTGCAACAACGCCTGGTGCCGTGTGGCATAGGCCTGCTCTGTCTCGGACAGCCGCGCTCTCAGGTCCGTACTGGACAGGTAGTGTAGGGTATGCTTATCGATCTAGCGACAGACGGGTCAGCTATGTGGCATTACTGGCGACGGTGGCGGTAGATTTCGCGTATACCTTGGCGATCCTCGCACGCAGGTAGCTTCGTACGAGATACTTAAAGCGTTCGAGCTCGGTTTGTATCACTATTAGGGCGAAGTTTGTCTTGGGGTCCATGTCGCCGGTCATTTCCTCAACCCTCTCGATCTGCTGCTTGATGCGATCATTCACACGCTCGAAGAGGCCGTCGGCGGGCCAGCTAAAATAAAGAGAAAGTATCCCGGTCAGTAACGGCAAGGGCAGCACCAATATTCTCGGGCATGGAATAAACAACCATACTGAAGCAATTCGGGAGACGAACGCTCGGCGACCCAAGCGCGCGTCAGGGCTTGTAGATCGCGAGTTTCCGCCGGGATGGATTGTGAGGCGGGGTCAACCTCGCGCAGGATGTCGTCAATGTCCATGGTAAAATCTGCACTTGGCTGACGACCCGAGCGCACCGGAACTATTAGCACTTTGAACTTTATCTCCGAATCGTTGCAAAAAGCCTAAGGCTCCACGTATGTCTGTTCTAGATCACGCGAACAGCTCTTAGAACCTTCAAAACTTTTGGAAATAACAACACGCGCTTAAGATGGGAGCTTTGTACCCACTTTGGCGGGGTATGCGGGGTTGTTATGCTCTCCCTACATATGTACCTACATAGCAGATACATAGTACATACTTAGGTAGGTACACGTACCACTAATCCATGAGGTTACCTAATGAATGTGTCAGTAGCATCAGGTTAAAAGTGAGCTCTGACTTCCAGGATACCTGAATATATGGTACCGAGCAAGTTACTGCGTAGTATACGTATACCTACTACAGTGTCTACATGTGTAGTACCTACGCAGGGCAGTTGGTTGACATGGGCTAATGACGGAATGTTTCCGTCGTTACCTCACCCTTTGGAGGCTTGCGGTAGGTATCTCCATCGAAGACGCGGGGTTGAGAGGTTGTTACCTCGGGTAGTATGGAACCAATCATGAATTCTCCGTGGTGATGGAAAAAAGATGAAGGAATGCCTACTAGATGCTTACGCGTATGTGGTAGGAGGCTTGTCATCTTGGAGACTCAAGTGAAATTCTTTGATTGATTGTCTGTGGCAGGATTTGGTTGGAAAGCCCTGAAGCATTTGTGCCATCAATGCAGACATCAACGCCTGCCTCAAACGAAAAACTTTAGCTGCTTTCTTTCAAGCGTATTCCCCATAAAGTTTGCTGTTCATGCACGTACTTAAACTAATGGGTTAATCTTGAACTTCGTTTCCGAATTCGGGGATATAGATTAGGTAGTTCGTCTGCTAGGCAACCCGCCCAGGACGCAGAATTCCGCATCTCCAAATTCTGGTCCATGTCACTGCTCAACATGCCTCGGGAAGTGGACTAATCTTTGCATCGAAACAGCAATAGATATGGCTTCTCCAGACAACCTACACCCGTTCGAGGACATATGATTGGTAACGTCAAACAGAACCCTTGTAACTAATGATCTGATCAAACCAATGCGTACGTGTATGCGGCTAGACGCCACCAATCTGCTTACCTTTTCCCCAAGGGCTCTTCTCGTGGAATAGTCTATACGCTGGTCCATATAGTTTATCATAGGCTTCCACGTATAATGAAATATCATTATCCTTATACATAGAATTCTAGAATCTCATATCTCGTCCCTCTTGTAGTCTTCAGTAACGCTACGTAGCAAGAGGCAGCTCCGTCCGTGCTGTCTTATTAGTGGACAACTAAGCCTTCATATACATACCTACACCTACACACAAATATATAAAGAGGGAGAGACTCTCAATAGAGGTGAAAACAATACTTCCCTGCGTGCTTCATTATTCTCTTCAACTAGCCTACCGGCTCACATCTTCCCTAGGTAAATATAAAAAATATCTCGTAACAATGGCGGAAAAACCAACCGTAGCACCGGTCTATGCCGACTATTCGCTGGAAATATACTCAAAGGGCATGCTCCAGGGCTGTCCCCCAGTAATCACGACGGACCCGAATAAGCTGCGGCTGCAAGCTAAGAAGGTGATGCGTGAGGATGCGTACAACTACATCGCAGGCGGGGCCGGCGAGGGGGCTACAATGGACGCAAATCGCTTGGCCTTCCGTCAGTGGAAGATTGTGCCGCGGATGATGCGGCCGAATGTGCCTAGAGATCTTAAAGTCACACTGTTCGGGGAGCAATACGGTATTCCTTCTTTCCTTCTTGCCTTCTTACCTGTCGAAGAAGATGGCGTGAAATGGGGATACTGAAGAAAGTTCGATGACGCTGACGTGAGCAAAAGATTCCCCTGTGTTAGCAGCTCCGATTGGGGCACAAGAGGTATACCATAAAGAGAAGGAAATCGGGACCGCGTCAGGATGCGCCGAGCTTAACGTGCCTTTCAGTAAGCAGTCGCCCTGTTTCAAGGCTGAGATGGGAGTGAGCCAAGTACAGGAAAACTCGTTTTCGAATCATGACCTGGGAACCCCCAATGATTCACTCGGAAACTAGTAAGAAAAATGTAATGGCTAATTCTATTCATTATAGTCATGAGCACGTTAGCCACAACCCCAATGCAAGACATAGTATCAGCCAGCGGTACCAATACCCGCTGGTTCCAACTATACTGGCCCAACGACGACGAGATCACAGCCTCTATCCTGCGCACAGTCAAAGCCGCCGGGTTCAAAGTACTAGTCGTAACCCTTGACACAGCGCGCGTGGCATGGCGTCCTGCAGACCTCGACACGGGCTTCGTGCCCTTCGTGACGGGTCTTGGCAACGACGTGGGCTTTTTGGACCCCGTGTTCCGTCAGAAGTTCGCCGCGCGCAGCGGTGGCAAGACCCCTGAGGAGGTCCCGATGCTCGCGGCTCAGTATTGGCTAGGCGAGGCCTTTAGTGGCGATAGCTACGATTGGGAGCGGCTCGAGGTGCTCAGAAAGCACTGGGACGGGCCGATTGTGCTTAAGGGGATCCAGCATCCTGAGGATGCCGTCCTAGCCGTACAGCACGGCGTCGACGGGATCATCGTCAGCAACCACGGCGGAAGACAGTTGGACGGCGCGGTGGGGTCGCTGGAGATGTTGCCGGAGATCGTGGAGGCCGTGGGCGATAAGACGACTGTGCTCTTCGATTCCGGGATCCGGACTGGTGCTGATATCTTCAAGGCATTAGCTTTAGGAGCCAAGGCCGTGCTGGTAGGGCGTCCGCTGATGTATGGCCTGGGAATCGCTGGAAAGACTGGAGTAAGACATGTCCTTGCCTGTCTGCTTGCTGATTTAGACGGAACTATGGGTCTAGCTGGAGTCAAGAGTGTGGGTGATTTGAACCAAGTCACCTTGAGGAAAGTATCATACGGAGGAGACGTGAAGACAAGTATCTAATGATCTATCTTTTGGGAACCTAGTTACGATAATGATAATGGGTATGTTGTCACGGAGCACTTAGAAGCGAGGACATTTATTCGCTTAATGACTTTGGCACACCAGCTGCTCACCAATGTCAGCCCAGACGCCGTCAATCGACACGTACTTAGTATAACCTTCATAAAGCTACATTTTTATCGCGCCATTGGTATCATAACACATAACATACGCTCACGACACGTTTTTAGCCTCAAATCAAAAGAAACACATAGCCTATTTTATTTTGGATATACCCCGTAAAATGAAAGAACAACTTGCAAGCAAAAAGACCGTACGATCAACGACGCAAATCCCCATATGTGTGTTGTCTCCAAGACACAGCCAGATAGGATCCGTCACGCTTAGAACGTACCTACATCATCCAATAAACTCGGTGCTCACCAAAGTCTCCCATGGCTTTTTAGTTTCCCACACCTTTTGCATTATTCGACGAGCATTATGTACCTGTGAGTCTGTCGTTAGCAACGAAGGGACGAACCAAGCCGAGCCTGGTCAAGAAGAAAGAATAAAGAAATTAGTAATAATAATATGGGGGTTAGCCTAACCTGTGTCATGCCATGCTTTTCTGCCGTCATGAAACGATCTAGAATTAATGTCTTATGGTCTTCGCTCTGTGTATCGCAACCAGCTGTGAACATCGGGAACAGCAGGCAGGATTCAGCTGTCCCACCGGGGGGGATAGTGTTAAGAGCAGCAATGATATTCTTCACGGCCCTCTGGATGTCAATATCTTCAGATGGTCGTCCTAGGATACGCCGATATAGGTGGACAAGCGCAGCCCAGTGATATGCCGAGTTAGTGGCCGCCATCTCCTTCTTGTCCCACTTCTCAACGTCTCCCGCCTTATGTATGTGCTTGCAAGGCACTGGTTCTTGCTTCATACTTTCCTCCACTTTCCTCTTGAGTATCGCCGCTCGCTCCGCTACTCGAGGGCTCGGCGCCCAGTTCTCGCGCACATTTGAGTCCTCGTCGATGCGCTCAGCGTCGCACTTTCGTGCAAGGTCCGCGATGTTCGCGAGGAGATAGCAGCACCGTGTCGTGAATCCCATAATGCAATCAATCTCATCATACCCGTCATTGATGTCGTCTAACTCGTAGGCAAAGATCCACGATGATGAAACATCTTTTGGTCCGCCAGTGAGACTTCCAATCACATCCAGATACGCAGCCCAGCTAAACAGAAAAGAGCAAACCGGATCCTGCCGGAAATTGGACTGGACTCCGCGTAAGCCGCCTGGTCGAACCATAATGACTTCCCGTGCCAGCCCAAGGTGTCTCTGCCAGGGGATGTCATAACCAAAGATCTTCGGTGAGACAATTTCGAGAGATGTAAGCATTATAGCGGTAGCAAGATTCGCATTCGAAAAGTTACGGACAGGGTCGTCAAGGGCCTCGCGAAGAGCAGGAAAAATGTCATCAACCCAAAACGCAATTCTCAAGCTTGGCTCAGGATGGTTCAAGACACGTGCCCTATGGGAAGCTACCGGTACGTTGTTCAGAAATGTCTCTTAGGTAGGAGAGTTATAAACTCACCAGAGTAGGCAAGCAACAAGGCTAGCAAGCTATCATTCTTCACGGCCATTTGAGGGAGAATTGTACGAAATGGATTGGCGTGAGGGTCATCGTATGGTACAAGCGCTGTTGAGATTAGCAATTAGGAAAAATATAGAAACTGTAAGCAAAGAGAATAGCATTTACCTCGAGCTGTGTTATTAATGAAATGATGCTGGCAAAAGTTAGAATCTATATCATTGTAGATGGTTGAACGCGACGTACGAAGTACTACCAAAGGCTCGTTAGTAAACTCGTATATCAAGAGGGCTCATATTACTTACAAGGAGATTCATGGGGTTTTCGACAAGCCTATCTGGAAGAGGCTCTAGGTTATGAGGAATGAAAATTGACACTGGTTTCGCATAATATCCGCCATCAACTTCTTCAGCATCATTAGCATCAACACCAAACCCGAATTCGACCCAATTGTAGTCTGCTGGTTCTTCAAGTGGAGTATCGAGGGACTCTCTTTGCAGTAAAGGTGAGGATCCACCAATCGCATTCATGTCATCATTCTTCCCCAAGTCATAATCCTGAAAACCTCGGTCAATTCCATAGAATGTAGGCTCGCCTGTGGCCTGCTGAGTATCTAAGGGTGGGGGAATGCCCTTGGCATGGCCAGAGCTGTCGTTGTAGAGCGCTCGAAGGTTAGCAGGTCCGGCCAACAATGAGTTTACTGAAAGCCTTCTTGAAGAGGAATATGTAGCAACTTCTGGGTGCTCAGTACGATTAACTTGTGGTTGGCTATCATCGCTATAAGTTGATGACGTGGCGGGTGTGAGTGGCGAGGCAGTTGAGCCACCTGAACTCCCAGCCAATCTCAGCGTCGCGGAAGTTACCTCCAGGACCGAGCTGTGAGAGGAGTAAGTCCGCCTCTTGGAGTAATCAGTGGAAGCCGTATCGGTCAGCTTCACCCGTTTACTTGGATATCGCTCCGAGTCACGTGTGAAAGATGGTGTGGTATCAACAAAGCTGACGCCCGCCTGTGAGCGCGGGTTACGAATGTCAGATTTTGGTTGGCTGGAAGAGCCCGTTAGAGGCTCGAGTCTACGAGCGCCAGGGGTATCCACTGACGGGTACTGATGGACGAGCTTGAAGCCTTTGGCTGGAACCGTGGGAGATACCGTATCGTGGCCGAAGCCAACGATACTGGCATCAGTTTGTTTACCTCTTCGCCCGTCCCAATTCAACCGTATGCTGTAGTCACATGTCTCCCCTGTCCGTTGGCAGCTGTTAGGCGATGTGTTAGTTCTGGAGCGCTACCAAGATTCCTCGCCTCCCTCAAGCATTGGGGGCGGCCAGTGCTTGCAGGAGGCTAGCTAGACGGTTGCAGGGGGGGTATTTACTTCACACAAGCTGGGTGTTCTTCTCCGCACTTGATTTTGCGATTTTTACAAGGCCTCCCAAAGGTCAGTTCCTCGTCAACAAGCTCTCACCAAGTGAAACAACGCATAATATGGACTCACCAACATCCATTCCGACTCCGTCGTTTGGGTTCCGGTGCGCCTGGTCTTTTTGGCCGTGGCATTATATGCCTATGTAGCGGTCTTGTTGTTTCTGCGTCTCCGTGACGGCAAGCCACCTAAGGAGAGAAGATTGCTTGATGAGTGCAAAATTCCTCCCAATATGGTCGAGGGTCTAGCATGATCAACAAGCCAGACGACCTCCGTTACCTAGATAGGTAGACGGCCCTAGCTGGCAACAGAGATTGACAGTGCTTCGCGGGCTTGACGGTAAGTGAGGTGAGGTAGGCACGTCTATACAACCACTACCCGAGGGGTCTGCTGGAGTATGAGGAGAGTGAAGCGAACGGGCAAAGGGGAAGATAGGGAGGCAGCGACGATGATAAGAATGCTATTTGAGAGCGAGGATTAACAAGCGACAAATGCTTTCCATGTAGCTCAGTTGCGGGTCGTATCGGCAAGTGGGTGTGCGTGTGCGGACGTGGGCGTGTATTGAAGAGCAACCGTGGATTGGTGTGGATGAACTGCATGAAGTGAGGAGCTGTTTTAAACTTGTCTCCCGGACTAGACACCTACGGCTACTGACCAGTCATGGAAGTGGTGGCGTCCGGTCCCTGCAAAGTCATCTCAGGCTGGGTTAGGTGTGAAGCCAGACCTAGGTCGGAGGCTGCATAGATCTCACGATGCGGTGCTCTTGCTCGCGTTCTTGATGACATCCACAGGCATCCGGACGAGGTGAATCGAGAGAGGCAGATCATCGCTCTCTTCGAAGATAAGGTTCCGCCCGAATCGGCGCCAAGGACCCCAGACGCTCAGAGACCCCCCACGTGGAGAGCTGGCGCCAACAACGCTCCAATTCCCACTTTTAAAAAGAAAAACGAGCGCACCGGTCATTCGTCGACGGGAACCAGCTTGCTGGTTACAAGGACGCCTCCCTTGACTTTAAGCGACGCCCAAACGCCGCGCCGTCAATAGCGTCGTCATGCATTACTGACTACGCCTGTTATTCTGAGATAATGTAACTGTCGGTGGGTATAATTTGATTTACATACGTGTCCACAGGGGGCTAGGCTTCGGCACAGCTACATCCTACGAAATATCGATGTTGAGAATCTTGATGTCCTCTTCCGGCTTGTCCTTGTATGCACGAGCGTTTTCAATCTTGTGGACGACATCCAAACCCTGAACTGCCCGGCCGAAGATGGTATGCTTGTTGTCTAGCCACGGCGTCTTTTCCGTCGTGATGAAGAATTGACTGCCGTTCGTGTTGGGCCCGGCATTCGCCATGCTGACCGTGTATGGCTTGTCGTGCTTCAGTGTGCTAAATTCATCTTCAAATTCCCTACCCCAGATACTCTCGCCGCCAGTTCCATCACCTAGGGGATCGCCACCCTGTATCATGAATTTCCGAATGACTCTGTGGAAAATGGTGCCGTTGTAATAGCCACGTTTCGAGTGTGTGACAAAGTTCTCCACAGCTTTGGGTGCTGCATCTGGGAAGAGCCGGATGTGGATGTCTCCATAACTTGTGTGAATGACAGCTGACGTGCCTGTCTCGGCTTTCTTCGCCTGTGCTGCCTTCTTGGGGTTCAAAAGTGTAGGCTTCTCGTTCTGCACGTCTCTTTCCGAGCGAGATATCTCTGTGTCGTTGGTAAACATGTAAAACCGCACCTTACCTACAGCCGTTGCGAAAAGAATAGGGTCCCTTGCTTCGGACTCTTGTAGAAGTGGATTGTTGGAGGCAGCCATCGCCACTGTCGTTACACCCTTCTTCTGCGGCTGGCCCTGGTACACGGCAAGGTTGAGGGGTCGCAGGTGCTCGTCTTTCCCGTACACTTTGACCACTTGGTTCGTAAAGGTATTCAAGACCTTAACGCCAAGAATGGAGCCGTACAGGATGAAATGGCCCGATTCGTCAAAGATGACATTCACCTTATTTCGTAGGGAACCCGATTCTATCTCTCGTTCAGCTGCAAGTCGTCGGCCGAATTCTACATCGTCTAGTTTCTGTGCCGCACTCCCAACTTGTTGCATCTCTTCGATGGTCTGTAGGGATTCATCATAGGTACGGTATAACTTCGCAGTACCAAACTCAAATATCCGAATTTTGCGATCGGGGAGCGAAAACGATACAAATTGGTGACCGGAGGGTGAGATCGACAGTGATACGGGCACAGACTTTGCCTTTTTGAAATCGAAGAGGTTGGTAGAGCTTTTGTACTCGAAGACATTGCTAGGTTTTTCGTAACTAGAACTTGGTGACCAGTACTCAACCATCCCGCTCTCATCCGCCGAGATTACGCAGTCATACGCATCGTTGAATGCCATGAGGGAAACGGTACCTCTATGAAGCCCTTTAATGGTATGTAGCGGCGTGTGGTTCTCTCCTCTGCCATCATATATGTGTATGAGCGGCTTAGAGTCATCCGAAATGGCCAATAGTGGTAGTGACGCGCCGCGCTTATGGACCCAACAAAGGCACTTTGGCGAAAAGTCCAGGGATAGCATAGTAAGAAGGTCGAAGGTGATGATATCAAAAATCTTAACAGAATTGTCGGCGCCAGCAGTCGCAAAGCTTCTCCCATCTTGGCTTACAGATACGGCGCGTATCTCCCCTTGGTGAGCCTTGAATTCTTTAACAAACTCAATCCCCTGCGCAACCTTCTTCCAGAATTTGACGACGCCATCGACAGAGCTCGTGATAAGGAATTCGGTACGGGTTACTGTGACGAAGGAGAGCTGTTCTTTGTGCATGAGAGACTTGGAGTAACGCGAGGTCTTCGGAAGGGCATCGACATAGAGCTTTTCGTGAGGTAATACACGTCGTTTCTTCTTCGGAGCGGCGGCGGAGGGCAGCTGAGGGCCCATATCATCATCTGAGGAGCTGTCATCTGTATCGCAGTTAGTTCGCAGTCAAGTCAAAAATCATAGACGACGCCCGCACCATCAACGCTATTATTTTCCACGAAGTCGTCGTGACTACGCTTGCTGCCTGTCTCCGCCATTTTCCCCTGGAGGGGTTCTGCCCAGTTTTTGTGTGGAAGTAAATGGGTGCAACGGCAACGGCGAGCGAGGGCTTGCTTCAAAACAATTATCGTACCACCTTGATGCAAGAGTCAGGCCGTGTGGCTTTGCGATTGTCAAAAGTTTGGGGTAGCTACCAGAAAATTGACTAGGTACCGAAAACAGTAATTGTCGGAGCTTAAAGATACCGACGGTCCACCCTGCGCTCTGCGGTACGGTACCTGAGCCCCAAGGGTCCATTCAGGACTACCTGCTAGGAATGGCGTCATTGAAGATATATCTATCGACTGAGTCCATCATCAGTTTTGGCTCTTCGACATCGGCTACGATAGCTACCATATCTCACCCTAGATAAACACGATCTTCTTGTTCTTTCATTCTTAGAAATTATTGAAATGCCTAATTGGTAACTATTCGCTTCGTTTAAATTATAAACAAGAAAGTTGTCTCAAGGTCCAGTGTGCCTGAAATCTCTAAAATGGAGCAGATAGCTAGGCACCCCCTTCAGCGACTCGCCTCACCATCCCGGCGGGTTTCATTATTGCTGCATACTGCTGGCATTGCCTCGTTTCTGTCATCCTTTCGATTTCTCGCTCAGTGGGAGACAGAAATTGCAGCCGCATTTGGGGGGCATTTCCAATTCCTAACCATCATTGGCCTCTCACTCGCTCTCTTCACATTTGTTGTTGGTCTTGCTGCTGACCTAACATTATCGCCGGCCCTCTTCCAAGCAAAGAACTTATTTGCCGTGTGCTCGGCACCGTTGGAAGTGCTCATCACTATACTCTTTTGGGGACTTTGTGCAATTGACAAGAGTCTCGTATTCCCACCGGAATCCGAACTTACCCTGATACCAAACTTGGGTTTCCATGCAGCCCCTGGTTTATTCCTTGCTTTGGACTTGCTCTTGCTGAGTCCGCCGTGGACTATAGATGGCTTTGTGGCCGTAGCTCTAAGTCAAACCATAGCTTTTCTATATTGGTTTTGGGTTGAGTACTGCTACAGACAGAACGGCTGGTAAGTTTCAAAATACACTTCCACCATGATAATTTTTCGTGTCGCTCATCGTGGTTGGCGTCCTAGGTATCCTTACCCAATTTTTGCTCTACTCAACACTTGGCAACGAGCGGCGTTGTTCACATTCTCGGCTTTCTTAATGACTGGCAGTACCATGTTGCTCAAGTGGTTGCACGGGAAGGTGAACGGTGTCCTCACCGCAGGTGTTCGAGCAAAGACTGAGTAGGCCGATGATATCATAGTTTCAGACTTGGTAGTAGTGCAATACAACGTGTGTACGGACGAGAGAGCCGACAGAGCCGAGAGAGCCTTCCAATTGTATATATATATGTTTATATTCACTTGGATTTGCTGTGCTACTCATCTGGGCATGACGTTGCCTTCGAATCACAACGCGGACACCTAGAAACATATGAGCTACCAAGCTGGGAGATAGCTTAAGTACTGTAGAAGGAATTATCAATATCATCTACATACCAATTCCAGCCAATGTCAACGGATGATTCCGGGATCATCCTGTACAGCCTGGGCACTAGACTAATTATGCCGTTTTAAGGATAAATGGCGTCCCAATAACTTCCAAGCTTCAACTTCGGTGGTTATCGGACTTTTTTCGTCAGGTTTTGATTTAGTACGAGATAGGCACAAAGCTACTGGGCTAGGCTATGTAAGTAAGTAGGTATTGGACGCAGGTACCGTAGGGCGACTGTAGGGCGTGAAGTACCCCGCCATCGGAGCCTAGGTACAATATGTGTGTAGATTCGGAGTCGGAGTCAGTCATCAGAAAAGTGACTCGCATGGAGGGGTCCTCTTCTCCACAGGCCCTCCCGCTATAACTGTCGAATGCCTCACAACGCTCCCTCATTTCTAAGCAGCCTCGTTTTCCAGCTTTGCTTGTCTGGTTAATCACTTACCCGGCACTGAGATCCCCTGCCTTCCTCCCCTGTCGCATACCGCTACGTCCAATTAGCAATCAGCCTTGCGTTGTCAAAGTTCGACTATACCGGTGTTGTTGATCATGTCGGTGGGTGTGGCTAATGTGGTTTTGATGTAGTGTGGAACTGAAACTAATAGCGTGTGGTGTAGAGCTTCTACATTGAAAACAAAAATGTGGGAAACAGGACTGCAAGTGAAGATTGGCGCGGTTAGTATTTCATTCATGGCCCCTGCCGCTAAATAGGAAACTGAACAACTCCTAGTTCGTGGATACAATCCTTTAACGCCACCGGACCTCCTTCAACATGAGATCCCCCAGACCCCCAATTCAAAGCGCACAGTACTGGAGAGCCGCGAAGAGGCCGTTGCTGTAGTCAATGGCACCGACGAGAAGCAGAGACTCCTAGTCATTGTGGGACCCTGTTCGATCCACGATCCTAAAGCCGCTCTAGAATACTGTGATATGCTTCTAAAAGAGAAGGAGAAACACAAGGATGAGCTGCTTATAATTATGCGTGCCTATCTGGAGAAGCCCAGAACAACTGTAGGCTGGAAGGGCCTGATCAACGATCCAGATATCGACAACAGCTTCCAGATCAACAAGGGTCTCCGTATGTCGAGGCAGCTCTTCGTCGATCTGACCGACAAGGGGATGCCCATTGCTAGCGAAATACTCGACACCATATCACCACAGTTCGTGGCTGATGTCTTATCCGCAGGCGCTATCGGTGCCAGGACGACGGAGAGTCAATTACATCGTGAGATAGCTAGCGGCTTGTCGTTCCCAGTGGGTTTCAAAAATGGAACCGATGGTACGCTAGGTGTCGCAATTGATGCCATTGGAGCTGTGAAGCATCCTCATCACTTTCTTTCCGTTACCAAGCCCGGTGTTGTGGCTATCGTAGGCACTGTAGGAAACGAGGACTGCTATGTCATTCTCAGGGGTGGAAAAAAGGGTACCAACTACGATGCCAACAGCATCGCCGAGGCCAAAGAGGCTTTAAAGAAGTCAGGAGTAAACCAACGACTCATGATAGACTGCAGTCACGGCAATTCGGAGAAAAACCACAAGAACCAACCTAAGGTTGCTGCGAGCATCGCAGAGCAGTTATCAAAAGGCGAGACTGGAATTATGGGTGTTATGATTGAGAGTCATATCAACGAAGGTACAGTCATCGACATACAATTTTTCTTAACTTCTTCACTAACAGTAGACTATCAGGTAACCAGAAAGTGCCAAAGGAGGGAAAGGCGGGTTTGGCCTACGGAGTAAGTATCACCGACGCCTGTATTGGCTGGGAAGATACAGTCTCAGTGCTCGACTCGCTTGCCAATGGTGTTAAGGAAAGGCGGAAGGTGACCAGCACAAATGGTCAGTAGTCAGCTCAAATTTGCAAAAGGCAAGTCTCAACATTCCTCTGGTGGGTCGTGTAGATAAAAGGTGCAATATCAGAAAAGGATAGGAGGAACACAAAAAGGGTATGGGAGTTATGGTATCAAGCTGCAGCAATGAGTATATCCTTCCTGGGTGAAATAGCAAGTAACATGGCAAAAACACTTGGACATAGCGCTGTTTTGTCACGAGATCTTATTCAACAACTATGGTCGAATCAATTGAAGCGAAATGGTAGCGGCGTCAACAGCCGACCTAGATTGTAAACATGCAATTACATTATTTGCTGCTATTCGTAGATATGCTATACACGAGAGTGGCCCCTAACACAGGATGAGATGAAATTTCCGGCATATTTGATTCCCGTTGTCTTGTTTTAGGTAACGATTCGAACACTCCTCGGTATTATATTGTATCACGAAGAATATTCCGAACCTCATTTTCACCAAATAGCCGACTACAAGCCCGAGCAATATCTACCTAAACGGAATATTTCATTAAATTGTGTATTCAAATCTGAGAGCGGATCGTCAAGGGGGTCATACTCAGTAGATCAGCCCTACAACACAAAGAAAACCTCTCATTCATCCAAGATCTTCAAGTCGCCCGTGTCGTACTCATACTCGACCCTCCCCTCCTGAACGGCCCTCCGCAGCTCATCCGACAACACAACCTTGTCGCCAGTATCAGGATCCCACTGGAAGCCCTCCCGCATCCACATCCACCGCAGACAAGCGCGGAGTTCCTTATCCTTAGGCAAGACACGCATCCACTCCGGCTGGAACTCGCCCTCGCGTCCTCCGCCATTCCAATCCTCTGCTTCGCCACGCAGCACGTCCCGGCAGAAGATGCGCCAGCTATCAAGAGCATACGGACCCTGGGTCATATGTCCTATCTCCCACTGCATCTCCTTCCCGTCCTCAACACAATAGTTGTCACCATCACCTTCTTCCTTGAGATAATCCGCAGATTGGCCCTGATAATTCTTCACAGCATATCGCACGCCCTTCCGCGGCGGATTCTCCATCCAGAGACGCGCGAATCGCTGGATCGTCGCGGCCCGGACATGTCCTAGGCCCAGATGCTTAATCTTGGCCTCGATGTCGGCTGCGGAGGCACTTGCGAGTGCCGAGGGCGTGGGGTATTCTTCCATGAGTTCTCGAAATACAGGTATGGCGGCTTTGCCGGACGTGCGGACGAGGAATGTCACGGCGACCAGGAGGCGGAAGGGGTCTGTGGCGAGTTCTTCTTGTATGAGGCCGAAGCGTGGGGCATCCAAACGCGGGAAAGGAAGACATGAGACGATGCCGCGTGGTGGTCTTTTCCTAGGGCTTTTGGATGATAGAGAATCTGTGGGCGTTGCTGCTGGTTTTGGGCCTTCGAAGTATGGTGACTTCGCCACTTTGCGCGTTGGTGTTTGATCTTGTCGCGCTTTCGGTGGCTTCTTTGGATCTTCCGACTCTTCCTCTAGGTTTTGGGCCTTCTCTGTGTTCTGCTCTCCGTCTGATGTGGATTCAAAGGTGGCGTCTGTTGCATTCGGAACCTTCGTAGGTGACGCATTAAGCTCAGAAAGGGCCTCTCTTGTTCCATCATTGTCGCTGTCGTCCTCTGTCTTGTGCGTACTACTTTTGCATGCTCTTGTTGATGTACCATATTCTTCCGATATCAGCGCAGTGGGTTGAATGACTTCTCCCAATAGTTTTCTACGCTTTCTCGACAGCTGCTTTGCCGTAATATCGCTCTGTATATCTTCAATAGAGCATCCATCTTGTTGAACTGGTGATACGTGCATCTCATTCCAATAGGGAGAATCCCTCTTCCTTTTAGCCTTCCTCTGCTTCTTCCGTTCCGATGCCCTCCTGGTGCGCAAACGTTTAGATCTCTGCGGAGGACACAGCGCGATGTTGGCATGGTATGACCCATTAACAGCACATAACTTCGACAGAAAAGCAAGCACATCTTGTCCATCCAAGCTATTGTGGCAATACTCCTGATCTCTCATTGCACAGGCGCAACAGATTGCTTGATCCCATGCTTCCATACTTCGAAGCAAACTGAGATGAACGAAGCTTTGGATATCTTCTGTGCTGCCTATTCTACTCGTAACCACTTCAGCCAGGTACTCTTCGTCACCATCATTATTGACGTCAAAACCATGCATCAGCCCGTTAGAGAGTCCACTATCCAGGGACCACGCAGTTGGCGACCGGTTTGCGCACCCAGGCAAGTCCATGACAAAGCTTGGGGTGCATTTGCAGTGCTAAGGCCGTTGAAAAAGGGTAGACATGTAAGGTTTCGCAGGAACTTCTGACAGTGAAGTTCCCTCCGCGGAAGCGAATAAATAAATGGACCATATCGTGATCTGTGGTAGAATATGAGGCTGAGGCGAAGTTGGATCATTTAGGATGGTGGGTACTCAATCAGAACATGTGGTTGTTTGTTATCCAGTGTGGTTGCCTAGTGGAAGACAAGCGACACAGTGAATTGAGGGTTATAGTTGCGTATAAAACGCAGATAGAGGGATGGATTACCCCAAACTAAATCGGATTTAGAGGTTTCAATGTGGCAACCATGTATTTAGTTGTAAAGGTCAATATCAATTTAGCTGATGAACTGGGGTAGGCTCGCTATTAGACCAAAAATCGTAATCAACTTTTAAGATTCTAGGTGAATTGACAGCGTAGTTGAACGAAGGGAATTTTAATTCTTTTTGTGTTTTACTATGAAAGGTTGCTACCGGACGGCCGTGGGAGAAAATTAGGGTGTCGATGAGAATTTGAAGATAGGACTACATATTGCAGTATATGTGTTCCAAGGTTATAAATATCACGGTTCCGACTTTCTATGTTCGTACCACTCGCTAAATTCTTCCTAGGCAAGCAAAAACTCTGTAAACGTCTAAAAACAGAGAAATTTGATTTACACTCTAAAATCGCGACTCGGGGCTGCTTCGCCCAACCGGCAACATCAAAGTTTTCTCCCCTTTGCCACAAACAAAGGAATCGTCGGGAGTCTAGTAGTACATACATGCATAGGGGCTTAAAATCGGGTATTGTTAGGGAGTTTTGGAGGGTCATAGACAATCTTCCTTGACTTGATCGATGCCCACTTGTACCTCTTGACCCAGACGCTGAGAGCAAACAATACGCTAGTAACAGCTAGAACCTTCATACCCATACGCTTCCGGTCGTCCATTTCAGGCTCTGCAGCCCAGTTGAGGAATTCGACAACGTCCTTGGCCATCTGAGATGCCGTCGCAGGGGTTTCGTCTTCGTATTCGACCAGACCATCGTACAGGACACGAGCCATGGCAATACCAGTACCGGGGAAGTAGGGGTTGAAATTGAGACCAGCACCAACCTGAGCACCAGCAGGGGGCTCATCAGGATAACCGGTCAATAAGCTGAAAACGTAGTCGCATCCACCGTGACGTCCCTTAATGATCAAGCTTAGATCAGGAGGGAGAGCACCGTTGTTGGCAGCTCGGGCAGCCTCGTCGTTCTTGTAGGGAGCAGGGATGTAGTCAGACAACTTTCCGGGTCGCTTCTCGATCTCCCCCTCGTCGTTAGGTTCGCTGTCGTACTCGTTCTCCTCGGCCATGGCCTTAGCCTCGTCCACAGTGAGGATAGTACCGACAAGAGATCGGTAAGGAATACGGCTCAGAGAGTGGCAAGCCATGCACACTTCACGGTAAACCTGGAAACCACGGCGAAGACTGGTTGGCATGTATGAGCTCCAAGCACATCTAAGGGGGAGGAGGCGCTAACTCACGCTTGGTGATCGAAGGTCTTGAACCATTGTGCGTGAACCCAGGGGTACTGTGTAGGATGGAGACTAGCGACAGTGGTTAGTTGAGCACCTTGTCAATTGTATTACGATAGCAGGCTTCGAGTCATCTGGCTTGAGTAAACACCCATCCACAGGGTATCCAGTACTTACCCTTCCTCAGCAGGCGTCGCAGCGTGGGCAGTCGGTCCGTAAAGGTGGTAGTACCAGGCGACGGATCCAATGGCGAGAGCGGTGGAAGCGGCAGCGGCCATGTTCAGCTTCATAGGAGATTCGGCGGAGGCGCCGGAGCTCGAGAGGGACCGCTATAAATGATGACACATTAGTTTGAATGCCGGCGCGAGCGTATTGACTGCAGTCAATCGGATGATGGTGGTGGTCTGGCGTCGGGATTTTGTCGTACCTTGGCCACGGCGGAGGAGCCGTTCCGGGCGCCATTGAGAATGCGCATCGAGCGCAGAGAAGATCTCGCCAACATGTCGGGCAAGGGTCGGGGACCAGCCGGTTGACAAGTCAAAAGGTGGTTTGGAGGGAAGGGAGCAGTCGGAGGTTGAGTGATGAGAGCTTGTTGCTTGGTTGGAGTTGAAAAAGTGCTCAGTCCTCGTAGCAATTGGAAATGCCTCGTCCCTATTGGTCAGTCGGCGAGTTGCCATGGGGTCGGTCTGGCTTCACGTGACCTCAGCCAGTCAATAAGCTGGCTAAGTACCAAGTACATCGTCACAGCTGCTCCTCCTGCCCGGCTGTCGGACCATTGCGCTCAGTGTTTACCGGTCTTGCCCGGCGTCCTCGGCGTCCTGCCCGGAATCTCATCTCGGTCGAGTAAATAGTACTAAATTTATCCAAGTACATTTACAGTCACGATGCATCCTTCACTTGTAGATTTCTAGCAAATTCTTCATAGACACCATCAAGCAATACAGTAGGTAGAAGGATGTGCTGGTAACTCTTTAAATATTCCTCCCAGCCGAATTGCCTCCAACAATCTAGTATGTGTCTAGCCCGGTAGACCACAGTCTTCATTCTAGCCACCACCGATTTTCCTATCGTAATAGGTTTTAAAGGGAAATGTCAAACGCCATGAAACATACATATCCTTTCGACGTCATCTAAGTATGTATGGGCCCACTTTTGGAAGACTTTGCCACCTCGATTTAATCTCACCAAATACAATTACCTATCACAACTTCCGCCTCTTACTGTAGATGCCGCCGTACTGTTTTGGAGCTGATAGCGAATCCTCGCCATGTGGGCCAACAATACCATTGGCCAAAAGCTAGATGTCTCAAACTAGGTGTCGGTAGTTGATCGCAGCCATGGAACTAACTTTGCTGTGGGCTTCTTTGTCTTCATTGCAGAGAACATCGTGGCTCGGTAGCGCGGGTGCTAAGGGCGCAACGAAACGGACATTAGCCGAAAGGTTGTTGAGAGTCGCTATGTAGCTTCAGTCTACCATCAGCCACTTAGACGTCTCAGTCATATCGGGCGCGAGGCTAGAGGTTTGCTGCTAGCTAACGAAGACTCACAGTCGATGATTCGTCTTCCTTCGTAGCAGCCATGTGGAGTTGCGTATCTAGCTCCCGGAAGGCTCAAACACCTCCTTTGCGGGGAGCAGAAGTAATCTCAATAGGAGAAACCTTGCGAGAGCCAAACCTAGACTCGCTACGATCTGAATCAGACTCGACATACCCGTCTCTCAGTGGAGAGTACGCTGAGCGTGTAGGCGAGTGGACATGCGGGCAGCGTCCTTGGCCTATTGTTGATCTATGGGTGTGGAATGAGCACTGGCGATAGCCAAACTGTCGCTCTTCGTTCCTCAAGTGGTTTGACGGTAGTCGAAGCTGGGGGTTCTTGAGGTCCACATCCAGTTTACTTGCAGCAACTTTGGTCAAATGATTGTCGTACTCTTCTTTTAAGCCCGCGCATTCGCCAAACATTGTCTCTAGGATTCCTCCGTGTTCCTCATCGCCCATTCCCCAGGCTATCATAGCCACGATCCACCGACGAAGGTTTCGGAGGCAATAGCTTGTCTCTGGGTCGCATTCGGTATAGACGAACTCGACAAGTTCAATATCGATTTCCCAGTTGCAGCGCAGGTAAAGATCTTGCAGAGCATCCATTGCGACATCTTGCAATGCAGCCTCGCCAATGCTAGCGGCAAAGAGTTGTAGATTGACCAGATCCCAGTGCAGCTCTTCGCGAGACTGCTCGGTTTCGGCAGTGTCGATGAATCTGCTAAGACTCTTTCGCTCGGAGAGCCAACATTCGAAAAGCCTAAACATGCTGGGGCATTGATTGTCTAGGCGCAGGACGGGGTAGATTTGGTCATGGGTAATATTGAGCTGCGGAAGAAAATACTCGCACGAAGCTAAGAGCCGTCTCGGAATTAAGAACTCTTCACGCTGTGAGCCAACGAGGATCTTGACGATGTGCAAGTCGCTCATCCTGTTTTCCCGCCGCTTGTAAGTTGGGTGGCCGAGAGAAGAAGTTGGTTTGCAACAACTTACGAGTTCAGAGTCACAGGGCCTCCCTTTCTAGTCGACATCCCTTTCGTCATCTTCCCAACCTTGTGGTTTGACTGTTCAAGAAAAGCCGGCATTGCGACTAAACGATACTTTTGCAATTTACTAGGTGGTTCGTTTCGCTACCGTTTGTAAGTTCTAGGTTTTGATTACGGGGGTTCAATGATTGCTGGTTCAAAGAGGTCGGGGGATATCTGATATTTTCACTCAACCCTATAGTACCACTCTTGAATGGAAGTGTTATCCTGTTTGAGGCGCCAACCCGCGACACCGTAGACACGAGAAGTTAAAGCGTGGCTACACTAGTCTAGGTATTTGCAACGCTACCTTCTCGTCAATCTACTTAGAGTATGAAGCTCAGCAAGCTTGGGAGCTTCCCCTGCAGGTACCAGGCTAAGCGATTCCTTTGCGATCCGTCCAGATATGGGACGAAACGACAAGGGTGCATCAAGAAACATCTAGGAGCATAGCAGAGTTTCTCTGGCATTACGCGAAGTCGTGGATTGGCTGTCACAGTCCCCTGACGTTTGAGGCTGGTGTACCTGTAGCACGGTCACGGCTGAAACACTCGACATCTGCAGGGCCCTTGCGGATGGATCTCCGAACCAACCCCCATCTCAGATTCCAAACGCCTAACTCCCTTTCCAGTGGTCTAAGGCAGCCCTTCCAAGTTGGATACGAGCTTGTTAATCTCAGGGCATGGTAAAGAGGTGAATTTCTTGATTGATTCCACTAGGAAGACGCTTTATGCATCAGAGAGTCACCCGTTAGTCTTAGCACGTAACCGACACTGCCAGTACGGAGTACCTACCTAGCCTCTTTCAGTAAGCAACCACGGTGCCTAGGCAGATTTCACATACTTAGATACTTCAGATATTGTCCTCCGGAATACCTAGAACTATGAAGACGCCTGTTATACCGTTACTCAGCACCATACCTTGTGCAGGTATGCACGGAGCACTTATCGGGTTATTTTCGCTATTCGCTGTAGCTAAAACGAAAAGAGGGCCCCGCCTCGGATTCTCGCATACCTATCAAGTTGTAATGCGCGAGAACCCCCAACCATGATACGGGAGAATCCGAGGCGAGGGGGACAGCTTGGGATATATTGATTAATCAGCCCAGGCTGCATAAGTCGCAAATCGGGACGAATCAAAGATGGTCGATTGCTACGTGCCTCGATGCCGTCACTCCGCCATCGCAATTCGGGGGTCGGTACATCGGCAGGCTAGATGGAACAGGGGAAGACAGGGAAAAGAGGGGTACACTGACTAGATCCCTCTTTGCTACCCATCAAGTCAGTAGGTACGGTAGGCCTATTGGAAACGAAACACCCCAATAAAGCTGTGTCAGGATAAGGCATATGGGGTGGAAAACTTTTACAGTACCTAGGCCTCTGAAGCAGATCCAGTGCGTACCTACTTTTACACAGATTGCCGTGGGTCTAGAACTCATTCAGCAACTGTTTACCTCGGCTGCGTTAAAAGCGAGAGTAGGATAATATATCTCCCTTGATGATCAAAGTATCATTACTTAAGCCATGTACTAGTCATTTGTGAATTCAGGGTCAATGACTTCATCTAAATTGTTATTAGTCTGATGTTATGTCGTTAGTCCATGTGTAGCATGGCTGCTAAGCGCGGACCAGAACCTCAACACTGGGCACTTTGGCGACTACCTATCTGGAGATTTTCTGGAGATTTCGGGGGCGCGATTCGGACAGGCGAGCTTCCTAATCGGGCCCACAGCGTCGGCTCGACATTGGCCCTTAGTCGATGCAACATTTTCAGCAATATGCACAGTTGCTTACTCATTGTTTGATACTCATGACAGAGAATTCTTACTTGCACCGGCGATATCGTCAAGAGAGAAGAAACTGGCGAAAAAGATGGCATCATAGAAGTGTATATAAACAAGACGTTGGGAACCTTGAGTCTTTGTTCTGCTTCGACATACACGGGACATACCTCTATATTAACATAGACTTATACACTATTACCTCAAACTTAATACGTATCTGCATAGTCATTCATCAGACAGTATCTTGTCTCCTAATCTCAGACTTAATTTGAACTCGACATATCCATCTCCCATCTATTTAGGAAGATATCGATCGCGGAATTATGGCTTCGGTAGAGAACAAGCGTGCGCTAGGCGCCCCATTCTACACGCCCGAGCAATCGCCCCCGGCAGGCACCGCGATCGACCCGGCCACAGCGCCGACGTTGTACCAACCGCTCAAGATCAGGGATATGACGCTGCAGAACCGATTCGCGGTATCACCCATGTGTCAGTACAGTGCTGATGATGGTCACCACACCGATTGGCACTTCTCGCATCTTTCGCAGTTCATTATTCACGGTGCAGCTCTCACCATCGTTGAGGCTACCGCTGTCCTTGCGAATGGTAGAATCACACCTGTATGTAATTTACAGGCCTATATCCCCTTCTTGATACTCGAAAAGTTCCGTTTTTTTATGTGCGCTCAATATCCTCAAGTGACAATGTCTGACATCTCGGGTATTATAGGAAGACTCTGGCTTGTGGAAAGATAGCCAGATCGCGCCGTTGAAGCGCATCGTAGACTTCGCCCACTCGCAAGGCCAGAAAATTGGTATCCAGCTAGGTCATGCCGGTCGTAAGGCGAGCACGTTAGCACCTGTAAGTAATTCTCAATCACGAGTTTCCCTGGTTTTGACTATTCAAAGGGCTTAAAGGCTCTTATTGTGTTGGGAAGTTTGTCCTGAACAGAGTGTTCCACGTCTGCTATACAAGATACTCACCCATCTATATTCAAATGACCAATTACTGACTTTCTGGTTGCAAGTGGTTACAATCGGGTGGAAAGCACGGGATCGTGGCCTCCAAAGAGCATGGTGGCTGGAGTGATAATGTGTGGGCGCCCAGCGCAATCCCCATTGCCGAGGACGACTACGCGATGCCTAAGGAGATGACCACCGACGACATCAAAGAGCTTCTGCAGGCATTTAAGGATGCTGCACGGAGGGCCGTCGAGGCGGGGTTCGACACCATTGAGATCCACGGAGCCCACGGCTATCTAATCACGAATTTCATGTCACCCATCACGAACCACCGGACGGATAACTATGGTGGCAGCTTCGAGAACCGCACGCGGCTGCTCTTCGAAACCATCGCCGCCGTGCGCGAGGTCATCCCCGCTTCAATGCCCCTGTTGCTGCGTATTTCGGCGACGGAGTGGATGGAGTACGCTGACCAGCCCAGCTGGACACTCGAGGAGAGCATTAAGCTAGCCAAGCTACTTCCCGCTGCCGGTATCGACTTGTTGGACGTCAGCTCAGGCGGCAACAACGACGCCCAGAAGATTAAAATCCACCCGTATTATCAGATCGATCTCGCAGCCAAGATCCGCGAGGAGTTGAAGAAGGATGGAATTGACCTACTCCTCGGCGCCGTGGGCATGATCAGCAATGCCGAAATGGCATACTCTATTGTTCAGGAAGGCAAGCACGAAGCCAATGGATTTTCCACCGAGGAGGGACATACCAGCAAAGCCGATATTGTGCTCATGGCCCGGCAGTTCCTTCGCGAACCGGAATTCCCGCTGCGGGTTGCGCACCAGCTTGGTGTTGAAGTAAAATGGCCCATTCAATACCACCGTGCTGGATGGAGGAAGAATCAGAAGATTTAGATCTAGGGGGTTAGAATAAAGATGAGAGATACAGGTAGAGAGGCGTTGGTACACGTTTATCGTGACCGTACCAACTATCACCGTTTACTGCGGCCTGTTAAGCATATGCATAGCGTGGAGAGAATAATGGTGCGTTGAGAACTCGGAGTCAGAGAGAGTATTGATTGTTTATGAAAGTCTACAGTGGTTACTTTTACGGGGAGTACTGGAGAAGGAGTTGTTGAGAGGCATTATGCGGCGGGAGTATCGATATTGATTTGTTGTTTACATAACGATAGACCATTCAACATATATTGATTTTGTTTAAGAAGAGATCAAGAAATTGATATTCAGTCTTCAAATCGTGCTTTGCGCTTGATCTTTGCTCTCTACTCGTAGTTTCCTTCTTTCACAGGCGCTAGAGTTAACCCTTTCAAGTAGTACAACGTATCCGACGATGAAGTTCCAAGTCACCAATTGGCCTTAACAATCTGTAACCAGGTTTCTTCACCCTCACCCCTCCTCGCCGACCGGCGAAGCAAGATAAAACGAAGCGCTCTACCAGAAAGGCCAAGGGAACCGTCATTTGGCCTTAGGCGGATACTCCTTTCCGCCCAGCACGACCTTGGGCTCACAAGTGCACAGCTGGTCGGCGGGAACCGAGTCCAAGACTGCCGAGACATGGCTACCGCAGCCTAACCAGGAGGTTTTACCTTTGTGGATGATATTAGCATTTGAAATTTACATGGACATGAATGAACTGTAAGGATAAGATAATACCATCTGCCTATCTGGTGAGGAAGAACGGGTAGAAGTACACATACCACATTGGCTGCACGTAGCTTTCATACACATTTTGAAAAGAGAATGTATAGCTCTTTAATTTCGCTCTGGGGTATGTTGAGGTTACAAGTGGTAGGCGTGGGGTTGACTGATCGTGATTGTGTAGCTTGTCAATCTGTCTGTCAAGTTGAGGCGAGGGAACAAACAGAGAGAAACTAGTAGAGAATGTCCCGCAGTAAGGTGGAGAAGCAATCGTCCTTTTTATATAGCTCTTCCTCTCTCCCAGCGATAGCTCGCCGCTGAGTTGGCGGCGAGGTTGGATGCCGAAAGGGAGTCGAATCTCTCTAGCGTAGATAAATAGTCGCCGGTTCGGCGATTGCGCCTGGTCACCGAATCACACCACTACATCACACTACACTTGTCAGTAGTATTATCTTAAACTTCGCGTTATTAGCTACCTATTCTTTCAAAGCAGCGCATAGGAGTTTAGAAATTGTATGCAAAGGTACGATAAGTTTGCTTAAGCTACCTAGGTATACAATAAATCGATAGTAGATTCGTAACACAGGCGGCTGGGAGTTCCACGGTGTGCCACGAGCCCGAGTAGTACATATACCATCACCATTGCTCCAAAGATAACACTCGATGAGTAAGTATCTTAGAGGCTACAGAATAATTACATTAGTCACTATTCAGGCACAGCCTCTTTCTCCCTTTCCAACTCGCTTTCCACGATGGACCTGATCAACGTCAGAACGAGCTCGACCCCACGCTTCAGGGACTCAGCATCCGAATGCAGCGGCACATGGAGAAAGACGACTTTCTTAGCTCGCTGCTGCTTCCACAGATGAGCCAGGCTGGAGAAGTAGATGAAATCACACAGATAGTGACCCGCGTCTTCCGAGACTCTCAAGTCTAAGTTTTTCTGTATATGAGATCACGCGATCAGCCCAGGGGACAATCCAAAGAGAAAAGTGAGCAAAACCAAGGGGAGTCTAGATATGAAACCATAGACAATCTCCCCGAAAGGCGTTCTCTTACCGGACTACGCTGGACCCATCTCCGATGGACATCATCAACGTCAAAATCACTCAACAGCTCACCCGGCACTCCATGCCAGATCCAATTCTCACCTTGCTCGGCATGTCTCTTCTCGTCCTCGAGGAGCTTCCCATCGACATCCTTGGCGCCATACCCGTCGCGGTGCCCGCGTCTCTCGACCGAGTACACGAGCTGCGGCCCCGCCATGCCGATATGCACCGCGAAGTCGACTTCGCGCCCGCCTACATCGCCGTCCCAGAGCCTTGGGACGAGGTCCCGTGTGTACTCGTAGCTGGTGCGCACGGCACCGGGTAGCTTGAGGATGCGCACGGGCGGGATCGAATTCCGCGCGGTGGTTTGTCGATTATGCAGTGCGGCGGCATCTTTGACGCGGTCCGCGGGTAGGTAGTCGGGGAGAAGCGCCGCGATCTCCCATGATGGATTCACGGGGTACGCCTCTTTGAAGGGCTACATTTGCCGCTTTTGTTAGTTCGCCTTGCGATGTACACGCATGCGGAATAGTGAAGCGCACTCGTACAAATGACGTAAACACGAAGAAGGAAAATATATATATATCTATATATAGGGGGAAGAAGAAATTAAACCAAGATAATTGCTATTAAGCTAATGATACCACAATGGCAGAAGGTAAGAGTGCAAGATACGTATGACTCGGCTCGACTCACCCCAAATCCAGTGACCAACACATTCAGCTCCTTCTCCTGCGAAGCACCAAGGGAACCCATCACCCACTTCTCATAATAATAAATCGTTTGGCGGAAGAAGTTAAGTTAAGATCGCTGTAGACCAGGGCAACGCGGATGTCAGAAAGCTTCTTTTTCAAGACCCTCTGTCGCCTGTATCGGCATGTTACCCTATGAAGAGGGGGCGGGGCTCTAGTCAATATCATATTTCTTACCTACCTCGGTTCTTAAGCAACCTCTAACTTGGAGAAATCTGTTTTCCCTGGGGGCTCGATGTCGCACACACTGCTTCGGCCAAGAGATTATAGATACAACCTACTTTTAGTGCCCCTCACCAATAAATCAGTCTAGTGACAAGTCGTCATATGCCAGACTAAGGATTCTATAGCGTCATAGAGACGAAAGCAAGCACCAACAGACGGAGAATGGGTTCAGAAAGACTCCAGCCTTCATAGTAGATATTTATCGATTATTTATCGAATTATCTCTGTACTATTTGGACCAAACGACTAGCTGGTCTGCGGCAGTTATCTCATATATCATCAACTTAAGACTTTTGTATCCACAAGACCAAAACGCCGAGCTCTATCTCAAGCCAAAGCTAGCATTGCTACATGTTGGTTGCCAGATCTGGGTGACGTCGTAACTGTGATCTGGATCCTTTCAAGATCCTCCATCTGTTCATAAATCATTCATTTGCCATTCGTGATGCTCGTGATAACAGGGAAAAGATGAAGGGAAAAAGAGACAAAGAAAGTGTGCGTGGTGCCGTAAGCATCGAGTTATAAGCGATACTATGTGAGTTGATGTAGAGCAAATTATTTTCAAAGTAAAAATTTCCCATCAAGAAGTGAAAAGTAAACAAGGTGAGTCGTCGCGCGTGGCCATGGGAGCAAGATTATCTTAATCACTCTTAGTATGACATGATAAAATTAGCTTTCATATGATTTGCCAATGCACAGTACGCCGTTCGTGATGCTCATAGAGCTGCGTCGACATATCGTTAACGTCGTAAGGGATATCATGACAAGGCCCGAGGTAGATGTACAAGGTATATAGTCGGTAGTTAATGTATCGGGTATAAGAGCGATGGCCACATCACATCGGCGATTGCGAGCGTTTCCGGTCAGTACCACGGTTACGCAGCTCCTTAAGCCGTTGATCGAGGTAAGCCAGCCGTGAAGCGAGGCTTGACCGGGTGGACGTTGGGGTATCTGCAATTGGTTGTGGCGCTTGTTGAACCGTTGCGAAAGGTTTGCGTAAGGCTGCCAGGCTAAAACTGCTGGCAGAAGTTAGCCTGTTGGGAAAGCTATGACTAGAGCTTCCTGCAGAGAACGGTGATCCTAGGCGAGGAGGGCGTGATGGTGACGTCTGGAATGATGCGCTAGACACTATGAATGGTCTGTCTGAGGCATCCTGAGTTTCTGACAAGTCTGCAAATAAAGCTTCAAAAGGAACTTGACGAGGCACCCTAGCGTTAGCCGTGCTGTGGTCTAACGGGCTTTGTTGGATTTGGTTGCCCGTGTCGGGAATCGGCACACTTCCCTCTGTATTACGCGATGTCTCTCGAAAGAAGGCAGCGGCCAAGCTTGGTCGCTTCCCAGGCTTCTCTTCGTGACCCTTGAGAGATCTACGTTTCTGTGTACCCGACCGTGATCTGGTGAGGCGCACTGGCGACTTCAAGAGTTTGCGGGGTCCTACGGTATTCGCCTGTTGAGGCAAGGTGATCTTAGCTGCAATTGAGGAAGAACTAGGTCCATAACTCTTAGCTGTAAATGGAGACCCCAGACGACTTGGTTTCGGCTGAGATTCCGTGTTTGCTACTGTGAAAGGATCCTCAATAACCTGAGCTTTCACTGGCGTCACGTCAATTGGATTTTGCTGGTGAGTATAATGTGATTCAGTCTCAGCCTCATCTTCATATGATAGTATGGGCGGAAGTTGAGAGCTAGTCAGCTGGGCTAGAGGGCCGTGAGGCTGCATCGTGTCAGAGGTGCTCAAAACTAGCGACATTGCCATGTCCTGGGCGGAAAAAACTGATGGTGACCGAGCCGGCGTCGACCGGCGGTTCCAACGGCGGTTGGCAGCTTTATTGAAGGGCGTAGGACTCCGTGATAGATAGCGGCCAGGTTTCTTCGTAGCTTTGAGTTTACACAGTTCTCGTAAGTGAGCTCGAGTTGCACCGCCTGTGTGGGGCCACTGGATGTAAGTTTTGGAGGACTCTGCTGTGGGAGTGCTGCTCCCACTTCTCGCTTCGTTGGAGAGTTGAGGCCGGGATCCTTTCCAGCTTCTTTGCGCTTGCCGCGCTACACGTGCACAAACACCATGAGGTGGTATGCAGCTCTTTCCAAGGCGTATAGGGGTAACCCTTGGGTCCGAGAGGTATAATACGTAAGTTGCCCATAAGTGTGAGCTCATTGCTCTCGTCCAGGGCGCCTTCCGAGGTTTATCTTGTCCTGGTTTAGCAGTTGCATTTTCTAGCTCAGTCCTCTGTGGAAATTCGGCAGCTTCGAAGTCTGGGCTGATACAACTTGCATCAGTGGTATTGGAATACAGACTAAATAATGAAGCGCTTGTCTGGGTTGAAAATGCAGTCGACGGCCTGCTAGATTCGTAGTCTGAACTGGACTCCAATTCAGAATCGCTCCACGATGAGTCGCCGTACCAATCCGGGTATTTATTTAGTGCCAAGGATGGCGCAAGATCGATGGCTGGAGTCTGTGGTGGCGACCACTGTTTTGGGGTCAGACGTTGACAGTCATCTGCATCGTCGAAGTCAGCCACCTGGAGCTGTGGTATCGTATCCATCATTTCCTGATCCACACTTTCGACACTGGGAATTGGCACATCGGCGGCAGCAATTGATGCAAGAAACTGTTGGGTGGGAGCGTTGAGATGAGATACATGGCGTTTTTTTAGCCTTAAGCGTGGCCGGTGCGGTGGGAGCGGCTCTTCGTCTGCTCCTACAGCGAGGGGCTCGGGGGTCTTGGGCCCGGATTCCAAAGAACACCGAAACTCACTCGGCAGGCTAGACGTGTCGAATAACTGTGAAGCCATTCTGAAATATGCAAAAAGCGGGTTGTAGAAGGGATGCCGGAATATGCAAGTTTGAGACCTAGAGTCCGAAGCAGTCCATCACAATTTATCAGCTTCAGATGGTTCAATATTCATGACCAATTAGGTGGCGTCATGAGTCCGTAAGAGTTGTGAGGACTATAGAGTGGCCAGGTGACCTATCGAGGAGCAAGCTTGAGAATTTCAGAGAATTGAAGCTAAAGTTGAGGTATTGTGACCCCGTCGTAACTGCCAAGATGAAGAATAATGGATTTATTGGCCTGAGTAGATGCGCCGAGTTGGACAAAGGCGAGGAATCATTGGACACAGCGCACAATATGAGATGGCAAGGAAAAGATGCTGGATTCTATATGGCTGAGCAGGAGGTCAAGGAAATTAGCTTGCGCTTGTGACTATGTAACGCGAATATTTGGGAAGGGCAACAACTACCGGCTTGTAACTGATAGAAGCAACCCTCCACCAAGGGTGGAATTGGGGGGAGGGGGGCGGGGAGCAAAAGGAACGACTGCGGCGGGAAGGGGAAAGAGTTAAAAGAATTAAGATGTTAGATGAGAGGAACTGTTGTAAGGATAAAGAGGAAGAGAGGGAGGAGGGTGATAAAATGAGGTAGCACTGCAGGGTCGCAAGGGGAGGGGAGAGAACATACCCTCTAGAAGATGTCTACTATTTGGCGTACCCAGTCTAGTGCCAGTGCCAGGTATGGTATCAATCAACTGCAGAATCGCGGGTGGCGCGAACCCTGCATCGAGCACCTGGATGATCACGGTTGGGGAGTGAGCTGGAGTGAGTGATACGATGTCAACACAGTCCGCCACACAGTGTTGCGACCCGGCGCAATGCACAATGCTAGTCTCCCAGCGCGTACTAACAGGCTAGCAACAACAGACTTGCTGGGGGAGGATGCGACTAGAGGAACTTCACCCCACTGCGAGTAGCGAGAGCTGTGGAAACTTGAGGCGGTCAGTTGGAGTCCAGCACAGAAACAGTAGACAGGTGGCCGGGGCAGTACCAGGGGACCTGGATGCAGCTACACGATTAGGGCAAAGGGGAGGAGGAGGGACGAACGAGGTGAAAAGGTCGATTTGACGGCACGGTACACGACACACTAGGTTAGTCTGGCAGATACAGACAGACAGACAGACAGCCAGACGGACGGACAGTATGTAGGTTAGGTATCTCTGTGCAGTCTAGCACACAGCACTACGGTAGCTACCTGGTCAGTAGCGTGGTCAGCACACAGATGGGAGATCAGAGGTCAGGGACAAGGGAGACGGCAGCGCAAAAGAGCGGTGGTCTAGGGTAAACTGAGTTTAGTGTAAGTAGTGCGCGCAGTGCTGACGGCGGTGGAGCGAGACGTAGCGAGACGTGAAGCGGGACGTTTGAGCTTCTGGGATTGTCTGGCTCTGGCTCTGGCTCTCCGTAGGTAGCTCGACACAGCGGACGCTCATGCCAGACTCATGCACTCCGGATGCAGGTGTGGCCAGCGAGGGAAGAGACACGACATGAGTGCATGGGACGCCAAGCACGCAGCACCGTACTATGTACCGGTTGCATACACATATGCAGCGATCGGCCGGCGAGTGGATGGAAAGCCCTCAGAGTGGGCGAGAAGACGAGGTGCCGGGATGGGAGCTGTTGTCTGATAGGAGAATGCCATGACTTACTGTGTGTGCTGTGGTGACGCGTTTGGCGAGAAGCGCGGGCTCGGAGTGGACGAGTGGACGAGGACAGTCGAAGCAGCGCGAGTTGCACCGCCGGCTCGGATGCAATGTGTAGTGCAGTGCAGTGCAGTCAAGTGCGGCGCAGGGAGCGAGCGATTGATTGATTGATTGATTGAAGATGAATAGAAATGCTGACTGAGGAAGCGAACGACTGAACGACGTGTGCAGGTGGTGGGTGGGGGATTGGGTAGATATGCGTGTGCACACGAAGAGCGTAGACGTAGTACGGTACCATTTACTGAGCTCAATAGCTACGATGAGATGAATGTATAATGGTAGACTTCCAAGTTGAGTCGTATGATCTAACCTTGGTGTAGCTCGTTGTGTTGGTAGTTTCGGCTATTGCTTCTCGTCTGTACCATAGGCGAGTACCCAAGGTAGGCAGGTCTACGGGTAGTGCAGTCTTAAGTAGGTACGGTAGGTAGGGTTTCACTCCGGTAGACAGGCAGGAGGGTATTTTGGGAGATATTTTGGGAGAAGACCACCTCAGTTCATAGTCCAGTAGTAATTCAGGCGAGAGGCAGCATCTAGATGCCGATGACTGATTGAAGACTATTGACGTGGAGATGTTCGCTTACTTAAGTGTTTCCAGTTAACTTTCAGATGTGCCTTGGGCTTCTATCACTTATCATATCTACTTACCTACCCTCTTACCTTTACTTATACCTACTGTCTACTACCTAGGTAACTATGTAGGCCTACCTTGATATCTACTCTGCCTCAGCTCTACTCATGCCACAAAGTCAACCTGGTGGAAGTATCATGGAATGTAGTTGGCATATATCGAAACTGATACGGTAGTGCTGCTTCCCGTCTGGCATACCTACCTTATCTTGCAAGCATTAGTCGTTCACTTCTGGTGAGATGCGACCTTTCAGGTAACCCAGCTGTACACTATCAAATTGTACATACATATACATGTATGTATGTGCATGTAAGTATGGGACATGGCCTGACCAGCTCCAGGGAAAAGTTGGGAGGCTGGGGGGAAGCTGTAAGTACCACGTACGAGTACTACATGTATACATAGTACACGTACGAGGCATCTAGAAACATGTACACTTAGGTAACAAGCATTAGGTTAAAAATTAGACACTTGTCATGTCAAAATTTGGACGGACGAAGCCGTTGGGTGGCCCAGAAGCCCATGGACAGGAAATAAAGAACACATACCGAGTACAGTCAGTACAGTCGTGCAGTGCAGTGCAGCGCAGCGCAGTACTTACAGGTGAATTCGAAGATACAGTAGGTACAGCAGTTCAGCTGTGTGCGATGGGGCACATTTGCGGGGGATCTTGTGTCTGTGTGTACTGGAGACGCGAAGCTGACGCGATCCGACGCGTCAACATCCCAGCACAGCAGCAACGGTGCAGATGTACCAAGCAGATACCAGGCAGCCCCTGTTTTCTGGCCCTGTTGGGGCTGTTGGGGCCCCGAAGTCCTGCCCTGGCCTGCCCAGATCCTGCCCATAGCAGACCCATACGTCCAATCTGTCCAGGGGTCAGTGACAGCACTCTGCAGCGCCAAACCACCCAAGCACCACCGCCCACAGCCTGCCCCCCCCCAGCTCCACAAATAGCTCCAAGGCCGGTAGCAGTTCGTACACATGCACCTCTGCACGCTTCCAATTGGCCATTCCAGTGCGTCTTTTCGCAATATCGATGAATAGCCATGTCGCCAAAAGCTCCTGCGTCGTATTCACGTTGACGAGGCACATGTCGATGGCGGCTATACTTGCAGATTCTTAGAAACGAATTAACAAGAAAAAACCTCGTCGGGGGCTGGTGTTTCTGCCTATTGAATACCTACTTAGATACTGTTAGTGGCCGCCAGTTGAACTACCTATCGCGTTTCGTCGCCCCCGTGTCAACCCAGACGCTTTGCCAGAGAAGACTTTTGGTTCTCTATCTACATACCTACCTACCTACTACGTAAGCATGTCCCATGTGCGCCAGGCATTTTGTCATTCGTTCTTCCTAATGGACCCAATGCCGTATCCGTACTGCGGCCAGTACACCAACCCCAAGCCATGCTCCGAGGTGCAGACAGTGTTGCAAGATATCTGCAGGAACCCTTGAGAACAAGTACGCCACCTAACTTCCGACCTTGTGCCCGTTCGATATCAGCCTCGGTCCAAGGCCAAATTGCTGGACTGTGGCACCTAGGTATCCTGGTTGGTATTCGTGAAAAGCCAATTTACTCTGATCTACATTTGGCCGCAATGGTCGTGGGGCAACACCGACATATAGGTAGGATGAGATCACTTCCGATCTATTTGACTCCTCAAAAACAACATCCCTGAACAACTACCGTGTGCCTGGTAGAGCGTTCGATATGTGTCGCTATACAGAGCAGACAAACACTAATGGCTAGTCAAACAATACTAGTTCCAATAACATAGCTCGGAGACAACCCACCTCCCCTGCTATCGAAGTGATTATAAGCGCCGAGTCACAGTTGTATGGGGGCCACACCATATACTTATATGAACACCGAATTATTCTCGGTTCGAGAGGCTGCCAAAACCGGTCTTATCATAGCCACCCCTTGAGGGCCACCGGAAAAGGCCAGATGAGGTCGTTTCAGCACCTGCAACTATGTCAAGCAGAAGCGCCAGGGCATGCGGCCTCCTGATGAGATTGTATCTAGAATTAGGACACTTCTCAGACCGAACCCACCTGACTACTGCGTTGTGCAAGTATGCCTATCAATCAATACCTAGGGAGGCGTTCAAACAGATGCGCTTCTTTTTATAGGATATGAGGCTAAATTGGGCCCCAGGACCGACCGATGCTGGCCGTTTGCGCTTTGTAGCCCCAAGCTACCTATTGTATCAGGCCACGGTCCGCCCCGTCCAACAGATTCTTGTCTAGGGGGCGTCAAGCCTGTACGAAAGGGAGCCAGAAGTCTCGAGGTTACTAGAACACAAGGCTAAAATGTGTTTCCGAGACTACCTAACGTAGTAGGAGCGGGTGTTACTGGTGTAGCAACCGACCACATACAATCAATTACGAAGTGAGACTGCGGGTAACGATGCACTACCAGCTGTGGTCAGTTGGCAGGAGTGGAGGGAACCCCTACGTCACGGATGTTGCGTACCTCTACCTACCACAGACTTGTGTACCTACTGTTAAGTCCTCTGCACCCAAAACAACGCCCCAACTACCCATTTTCTTTAACATATATCCATAATATCATTTAATATCGGGCTATTATTCATCATGAAGTCCGTGACAGACATTGTTACACTCGATAACTTCGCTTCAAAAATGTCCCCATGGGATCCCAACCTCCCCAATCACCTGTACGCATTAGTTGACATGGGAAGGTGTGTGGTCTCTTTTTTCATGTAGTGGCTCCCTTGGGTATCCCTGAGATACCCATCCCTTGCTTAAATAGAAGAAATCCAACGGGAGGGAAAGAAGAAACTTACCGCAAATACAGCAATGGAATCCGGTTCTCCATATCAGATTTGTCGCCGTCTTACCCCCGCCTTTTGAAGAGCCTGTATCGAGAGCGTGCCGCTATCTCTCTCTTTGACGCGCTCAACGAGTCATCTTCGTTGGGTTCTCCTGAGTTCTCTCCAGAAGTGATTGCTCGTGTTTCGCGGACTCTCGCCCGGTTTAAATCTATAGCCGTCGACTTTGGTGTGCCATCCGAACATGTCTCTGTCTTCGCCACAGAGGCTATGAGAAAGGCGAGCAATGCAGCATCAATGTTGGATGCAATCTTTGCTGAATCTGGCCTCGGTGTTCATGTTCTGGCACCTGAAGTCGAAACGTTATTCGGTGCCATGGGAGCGAGGAGTGGCTTTGCTACTGTCAACGGATTATTTCTGGATCTGGGAGGCGGGTCTGTTCAGATGACGTATATGAACTCAGACATGCAAGACTATGAATTCCAAGCTGCCAAAACAGGGAAAAGTCTTCCATTCGGTGCGGCAAGGCTGATTAACATTCTTGAAAAAAACGACGTCGAAGTCAAAACCGCAGCCCTAGATGAGCTCAAAATAGGAATGCGGGATGCATTTGTCAGACTACAGCAGGAATTCCCCGCATTGAGAGACACCCAGGCCAGCCCAAACGGCAGTGGCGTTGACATCTACCTTTGTGGAGGAGGCTTTAGGGGCTACGGCAGTATTTTAATGCACAGCGACCCTGTTCAACCCTATCCAATTCCAGCCGTAGGTGCATACACAGTCAAGGGATCCTTTTTCTGTCAGACAAACACCATGCGGAAGACAAATGCCGAATACGATGGCAAAATATTCGGAATGTCAAAGCGACGACGGAGGCAATTTCCTGCCATTGCCACCGTCGTTGACGCACTCGTCGGTACCATCCCTCGTATTCGTACGGTGACTTTTTGCGGCGGCGGAAATCGCGAGGGCGCGTTATACATGAAACTTCCTCTAAGCATTAGAGAAGCTAGTCCTCTGACAATATTACATTGCGGCAATGATGTATCTACCCTAACCCTGGACGCCGTCGTTAAAACGATACAGTCTGCTTTACCTTCAAATGTGGACTATTCGAATATTCCAACGGTTTTTACTCTAGGACTTGGGCTACTTTTTTCCAGCGAGATATGGTCAAGAAGTGGGGAACCTAGTGAAGCTAACGCTTCATTTCAGCTACATCATGCCCTTGACCGTGATCCTAGTGTTCCTGGGTTTAGCCATCTAGCCCGGTGTGTACTTGGCCTTACCCTCTGCTTCAGATGGGGTGCTACAATCGGACCGGCTGATCAGCAGTTATTCATCAGTCTACAGAGACTTGTTCACCAAGTGAATACAGAAGCAGTCTTCTGGGCAGAATATATCGGAGAAGTTGCGCGCTTGCTTTTTCAACTCTTACCCAGAATGCCGAGGAACCAGGATCAGCTCAGGGATACAGTTAGGTGAGTACGAATCCATTTTTTGCCTTTGGCAATGCTCTAATCCAAGATAGATTTGACGCGAAGGTTATCAATGGCAAAAATAAATCAAAGATCCAGCTCACCATATCATTGAATCCAGCTTTATACCATATTTTGGACGATCAGATCACCGATTCATTCAATAAAGTTGGGAAGCTGAGAGAAGGTGCTAAAGAGCCTTGTCACAAAGTTGCAGTCTTTGTGCGGGTCATGGAATCGTAGTGCTTCATCGTGTAAAGCACCTCCTTAAGACTGCTCCACACTCAACAACGATATGCATATTTATGGCTCTGTTGTTTGTAGCAACCTATACGACACATGAAAACTTTAACAGGTATATTCAAGATTCGATACCAAAACTAAGTGAAGAACAACAACCACAGAAGCATCCCCAGGCCTCTATAGATTTGCCCTATCACCTCGAAGTCTGAATTCCATACCGGGTGTTCGTGCTGCATAATCGTAGCTTCGTGATTCGGAGGCAAACGTATACTCAAAAGAAAACAACTGGGTATCTCCACTATGACCGAACTCCTTTACTCCAATCCTTGATCTCATGTCTGTTCATGGTACAAACATCACACCCTGGGTTCAAAACGTCCCAGTAACAAGAAACAATTACAACAAAGGGAAAGAAATGTAACGATCGGAAACCAAGGGAAATTGTAGAAGCATCAGGCCATTTTTCTTAATCGCTTCTGCGGTGGCGGCATCCCCCTGGGCCTTGAGCATTTCTGGTACTTGGCTAATAAGGCGATCAATACTTTATCGGATAGTCTACGGCGCTGATGAATATCTGCAACTGGTCACTTTGTTAGAAACAAAGCCCCCGATATCGATACAATATTGCGAGGAGGCCAACTGAACTTACAGAATTTGATCTGCTGGAATTCAACATTTGCGAAGCATGTTGTCAAGTGGGCATAATCGCTAGCGAGCGTGGGCTTCTTTTTGCCAAAATGCAAATCACACATTACCACAGCATAATTCATCAAGCTCTCGGCTCTTCGTGGTAGGTCTGTGTGAACCCATGGTTCTTGACACAAGATCAGCTGAATATGCGGTGACAGGTCACGGATGCTGAACACTTACCCTGAGAGCTCGTAATGCTGATCAAATCATGGTATAACAGAACGACTTGCATTGTGCATGCCCACAAGGGCAATCGATCTGCTTGCTTTGGCCGTCTTCCCGACAATTCACTCAGGACATCATTTTCAATCCCTTTTATCAGCTTTGCAGCTATTCCCTTTAGCACTCGATGGATCTCATCAGGTAACCGTCCATACTCGTTGCCAGCAGTCGTCTGATAGACAAAGCTGGAGTGTCTCCATATCTTATATAAGCACCTGAGTTTGTGGACTTTCTGGAGAAGATCAGACTGCGCAAGAGTCAGTGCTAGCCGTCACGAGAAAGTCAGGCCTATGCTAACATGTGGCAATATATCCGCTTGACCATTCCCCATACAGGCCATGACGAGGTGGTCCAGGGCAGATTGGAAAGTGTCCTCCTCTAGCTGCATTTGTGCCGACGCCCAATCGACGAGCATGTTCTCTTCCAATGAGAAGTTGTTAAAATTCAACTGATATTTGGTGTTTCGCATACCAAGACGACCGTCAAATGTTTCGTATTCGACTCTTGAGACTGGGATCATCAATGGCGAAACTGACTTGCGCATGTCGAAGAAGACTTGGAAGTATAGCATGGGTCCCGATGTTTTACCTCGAGGCGGCATCTCAGCACCTAAAGGGCGTTAGGACTTTTGATATCTTCACCAGTTATGTTAAACCAATGGCTTACAGGTAACACGGTTAATTTCACTGAATGCCGTTGTTGGGTGTTGACGGAAACAGATCTGCTCAGCTAAGTCCTCACATTCCGCATGCTGCATTTTGCCTGCATCTTTGGTGCAATTAGTGCAAGGGGCTCCTTCGTCACACTATATGAAGAGTTAGCACTGGCACAGCCGATGGGGTTTCCATACACGTACTGGTACTTTGCGTGTTTTGCAACGGTAACATGCACCAAGCTTCCGCATTACGGCAACTTTCTCGGGATTGTTCAAAGGTTTGTTCCGCCGACCACGGTTGAGGGCATGGTTTTCCTCAACAGCGGCATCAAGGAACATGGTTGGCGATCCTGGGTTGGATAGTATAACGACATTGCTACCAGATGGGCTTGATCCTGTAGGACTCGGTACACTGTCAAGATGGATCTTTGAAGGGTACGGCAAGCCTCCTTTTGGTCGAATTTCTCGTTCTGGGACAGTAAAACGATCATCCTGCTGTTTAATCTGCTTGATGGCCTCTTTGTGGTAAGGTTCAAAGCTAGGGCCGGGTGAGGGTGCCCCGTCCTCCTCGGACGGGCCGGACGTGAGCCCCGGGTCGGACGAGGCCACTGACCTGCTCCGAGTTCCGGGGCTGGATGGCTCGTTCCCGTCGTAGAAGGCGGAAAAGTCAAAAAACTGGGAAAGGTCAAGGGTCGGAGTGTCACGTCTCCTCTTGGAATGCTCGTTTATGAACCCAGGTACCTGGGAGACGAGCTGGGATAGTTGGGTGGTCGGGGTCATGATGCCTGCGTGGGCCGTGTAAGTCGGCTAGAGAAGTACCGTACCGTTCCTTGTCAGACGAACACGCAACACGAATCAGCGAGGACCAGCGGGTACTTTGGCTGCTTGGTACCTGTGGGGGGGAATTTACGATAAGTGAACTTGAGTCCAGAGTCACAAATTATGAAGTCTCAATGAAGCCTGAGACATGAAAGTAGCTCGAAGACGACCACTTGTCGTGCTCCTGCGAGTAGCCAGTACGGGTTACTGGCGAGGTTGATGCTGATTGGCTGGGCACCCCGGCCAAGACTGTTCCATTGACGAATAAGAAACCCTTGCCTGACCGAAAATCGACAGCTCTCCCAATGCGAGTTGGAGGATGTCGTACATGAGCGAACCTATTACCCAGATCATGTGACGGCCCTCGACTTGGAGTCTCTTTGCCGGGCGTCGTGTTTGGGGGCCATTTTCTCTCAAGCGGCAGGAAGATCGACGGCGACGGCGAAAGAAGCTTTTATATACACGATTTGAGTGCAATGATGTCGCTCGTTCTCTGTAGTGAGGGCTTACATAAAGCTCTCGTTGTGAAACCCCCTGGTTGAGAAGCTTGTTGCTTTAGTTGCTGACGGATTAGGAAATTGGCTTGAGCTGCGAACTGTTGTCTCGACATGGGACGTAACCTACTTAGTGTACTGTGCATCGTAGTAGTATACTCAAGGTAGTGGCAGTACGTGCATGGCTATTTGCCAAGGCCGCCTGCAGCTTGCTTCTGCCAACACATCTAAATTACCTACCTACTGTATGTACATGAATAGAATCGAAAATAAAAATACAAAATACAAAATAAAAGTCAACTATACAGATAGGCTCTGGCAGGTTTGCCTGGCCGCGCCTGTCTTGATTCCAGTTTTCGGTTGTATCATTGACATGCGCACACGGACAGCTCGTTTTCGCTTGCTGCTCTGACGATCGCATCGTCGACGCTTAATCGTCCACTGCTTCACCGAGACCCACTTCCCGTACCAGACGACGGCGGCAACCTCCATCCTACTGTGTAGGTACCTATATTTATCACGTTCCTTTTGTTACCTTGTACCCGTGCCCTCTTGTTTATGTCTCGTCCTCGTTTTCATAATTTTTATGCTGTCTGTGACGTCGGGTAGGTATAAATACCGGCAGGTCCGCGCACTTTGGAAGCCTAGGCTTGCCATTTATTTCTCCAGATTCCCTCTCTGTCTGGCTACCCTCCGCTCGATACCTATGGCGCTCGTCGTGTTCCAGAGTGATTTGTAGACCTCGTTGGAGTGATACTGGTCTTCTCTCTCGATGGAAGTATGTTGTGACAGTAGCTATGAAGCCGCATCTACGGAGCAAGTGCTCACGTTCCTTCGCAGTCTCCTTTCTATCCCCAGTATAGCGCCAGCCTCAAAATCCTGGTAGGTAGGTGCGTATATAGGTAGGGGGCGATTGCGCCGAATTGTGGTGAGTATTGCGCTTCGGCGACGTGGAAGTGTTGCGCTGTCTTTCCATCAGTTCCTCGAATTGACGACAGAGCCAACGCGCAGGACGCGGAGAGCCTGTTCGTGCAGGGAAACAGCGATATCTCATGGTTGGGCTTCCATTTGGAAGTCGCAGCCTGTGATTAGGACCGCTCTGGTTGTTCTCTTTGTCTCTCTGACGAGTTGGTTGCTCGGTAAGCTGACTTGGAAACTAACAGCTAGATAATAGGCAAGGTCCGTTAAAGAAGCCGCCGACGACAAATCGTGCACATGATGCGGAATTTATGGGTTTATTATTGGCTGCAAGGGATGGCTTGATCTCAGTTCTGACGCAGCGAATCGGCAATATTGAGTTGAGGTACTGGCTGACCAATTTGGTGATACAGACAGACTTCATATGCTGTCGTTGTCCAGCAGCGCTCTGGTGTAACTATGGTATCTGCGCGTGTCACGTCCGGGGTCGCAGTACGATGCGCGCAAAGAACTGCCTACAAGAGAATATCGCGAAAATTTCCATGATCTGGGAAGGCTGCTGGGATCTCTTGTCCGCAGCCACCCTTTTGCCTCGAGATGAACAGGCATGGTCTGATAGGTATTATCCATATACCATCCAGCTGCAACAGCAGTCCTTACGTAAGTTGTTCGACGAAGCAAGCGTGTTACGAATTGATTAGATATCTGGACATGCTGTGCGCGTGATCAAGGCTTTGATGTCAGATTTGTGTTCGAGTCGTGGAAATTCCCTCGTTTGCTGTCTAATCGGAAAACGCGAGTCTCGTGGTTACGCCGACTGAGGAATGCGGTGCCACTCCGTAGTCTGTCTGCTATGCGATGAAATTGAGTGTGATCAAAAGTGTGATTGCAGGTAGGAGGATTATGGCCGAGGTTATGATCAATCCTTTGATCAAGGCTAACTAGTCGAGACAGTGTCAGAAAAAGACGAGGCCCAGTAGTCAATCACTTAGTCAACCACTTATTCGACTACTTATTCGACTACTTATTTGACTGCTTATTCAACTACTTATTCAACTATTATTCGACTACTTATTCAACCATTAATTCGAAGCTATTTCTAATATAAATAGTGCAATAGTGAGCTTAGATATAGTAAGTCACAAGTGTTAATTCTATGGCTTGGCTCTTGGAGACAGTATTAACGGCCAAGCCTAGACATATAATTGCCTCTTATGGGTTTCCTGTTAGCTACTTGGACATGTGGGCTATCGTAGAAACCCAGATACCGTAAAAGGCAAGAAGGCCATACGGAAGGCCCCGGCTACACACTCCAGTCATGGGTGGAATGGTAAGGTGAAAAGAGAATACGTAGGGAATGTTGAAGTAGCATTTTGAAAGACATCAATAGAATACTATTCCTTTACGATAACTTGAGCTGGATTAGGCACCAAAGGCCCACTGGCTTGGACTGGCCCACCAGTTTCCCAAGACTTTCATGTGTTCGCCTTGAAGTTCGACTCGTGGCTCAAAGGTGGATAATGTATGCTACTAGTACTACCTAGGTACTTCACATGTGATGTGAGCTAAACAGCGGTCATATGACTGCGTTTTCGAATCTGAAACGTGATACAGTACAAGCTGTCAGAAGGTGAGTGATATACCTACGTATTTGTGTTCACTGCTCCGTCATCAGATTCGCCGGGGCGCCTGTTGACAAATTAGAATCCTGAACGGCACGGCAGACAAATTCAGCAGCGGGTGTGGCTGAGGGAAGCACAACGTGGGATCGGATCGGGGGATCGGGGCCGTGATAATTGGGTAAGGTTAACATTTAAGGTAGTAGCTCGGGTAGGTAAGCATCGAATTGAGAAAAGCCATACCTACGAAGTACATGTAACTCCGGGTGTGGGGCTGTCAGCGTTTCTTCGGTACCCAGCTACTATCACTAAGTGTACCGGTATTTCGTGCTGCGATGGGGAATACAAGCTACCTTAGCTAGGTCTCAGATTGACAACCTTGGTAGATAATTCCAGCCACCAGGTCATCGTTCCCCTTATCGTTGCCTCGCCGTGAAGCGGGATACATTCTAATTGGTCGATACAAGTCTTCCTCTATTTCTCCTGCATGCCAGTGTAGCTCTCCATCCTGTTGCTAGGAAAGCAATGGCATCATCACCATCGCGGGCAGCTGTGCAGATTCTGCAGAAGCGGGTTTGCACCAAAGGACTTCAGCCGCAAGCTCGCCCACTAAGCTTGCCGACTCCTCGACTAGTAATCCGTTTGTCACGGCGGGCCAATCACACGTTCCGCAACAGCCCGCTGACGGGACCCTGTAGGACAGTCAGGAACAGCGCAAACAGCACACCCGGCACACCCAGCGCAACCCCTCCTCCCCCTCTATCTCTGGCTCTGGCCCTGTCGTACCGCCCCGCCCCCTCCTCGTCCGCCGTCCGCACCGTTGTCGCTATCAGTCCCATGGCACCAGTCTTAACTCGTAGATTTAATCAATTGCATACGCTACCTGCAGAAGCCCTCCCCTCCTCCTCCTCCTCCTCTTCCTCTTCTTCACTGTCTTCACCGTCAGCACTCTCATCACCTCCCGTTGGCACTTCTCCGGCCGCCAACATAGCATCCCGACGCTCAGCCCAGCTTGCTCGACACTTCTCGAGCTCCCCTTCGTCGTCCTTCAACCCTGTTTTGCACACGTCTATCTCCGATCTGACGAAAATGGCCTCCCCTTACACCACTCGCAAGGTGGCCGCCCCCAACACCTTGGAGCACCGTGTTTACATCGAGAAGGATGGCGTTCCCGTCTCCCCCTTCCACGACATCCCCCTCTATGCCAACGCCGAACGTACCATTCTCAACATGATTGTTGAGATCCCTAGGTGGACTAACGCTAAGCTCGAGGTATTTTTATTGCTTATCCACGTTGGCTATTCGTATCGCCACTAACTTTTGTGTCTTCAACCACCTCCAGATCTCCAAGGACGAGCTTCTCAACCCCATCAAGCAGGATGTCAAGAAGGGCAAGCTTCGATTTGTCCGGAACTGCTTCCCTCACAAGGGTTATCTATGGAACTACGGTGCCTTCCCCCAGGTACGTGTTCAGTCGGCTTAGCCGCTTATTCCGTTCGCCCGGTTGATTGACACACACTAACTTGGTCCGCTTGCCTGTAGACTTGGGAAGACCCTAACTCTGTTCACCCGGAGACTAAGGCCAAGGGTGACAACGACCCGCTCGATGTCTGCGAGATTGGTGAACTCGTCGGCTACACTGGTCAGATCAAGCAGGTCAAGGTCCTAGGTGTTATGGCTCTGCTCGACGAGGAGGAGACTGACTGGAAGGTCATTGTTGTTGACGTCAAGGATCCTTTGGCTTCCAAGCTCAACGACGTTGAGGATGTCGAACGTCACCTCCCCGGTCTTCTCCGTGCTACCAACGAGTGGTTCCGTATCTACAAGATCCCCGATGGAAAGCCTGAGAACCAATTCGCCTTCACCGGTGAATGCAAGAACAAGGCGTACGTCTGAATCGATATATTAACTACACTGCTTCTCGACTAACACACCATACAGGTATGCCATGGACGTCATCCACGAGTGTGGCGAGGCTTGGGAAAAGCTCATTACTGGCAAGACAGCCTCAGGTGGTATCTCAACGTATGTGTCTTAATCTCAAAAGACTAATGATCGACACTAACAAATTTCATAGCACCAACTTGACTGTCTCCCAATCTCCCAGCCGCGTTACCCCCGATCAGTTGCCTCCTATCCCTCCTAATGAGAACCTGGCCCCTGAGCCTATTGACAGCTCAATTGACAAGTGGTTCTTCATTAGCGGCGCTGCTAATTAAGCTTGTCATGTTCATAGTAGACAAAAGTTTCTCCGCACATATTCAGCACAAAAATACCAGCGTGGGCAGAACCACGAAATGCATTGTCAATTCAATACAGATAGTTCGATCTGAAGCCACATAGACTCTATTCCAAAGAAAGGGGACACTGGGGACTTTCGTAGGCCAAAATTCACTAACGTATTTGCAATCGTAAATTCTTTGATCCAAAATCGCCGGCACCGTACAACATTTGACTATGCTTCGTGCTTGTTCCTACTTTTAATACTTCTGGAGCATTTGATTAGTATACTTCTACTCCACATGTTGTTGAATCCTGAGACTTTGTAGAAACCCAGGTGTGCAATAATAGAGACACTAATATAATCACGCTGTTAATTGAAGCATCGTGACTGGTAACACACTGTTCAAATGTCATCTCATGCCCCAGGCTTCAATGCCCGAGTTCAGTGTGAATTTTCAGAAATTGCTGATTGTACGATATACAGCCGTTCGCCGTCACGCCAACCAAGTGGTATCGCGCTCAAAGAGCCCCCAAACGCCATTCAATGCTCGCAATTGTACAGTAAGGATAATGGGATTGTCGAGTCCGTCTAGCCATCGGCAAGGTCTGCCTGCTTTTGCAGCGCACGAGAGTGTCTGTCTACTTCTTCAATAATACCCTTGATGCCTAGTATTTCGCCATCAAGCTTCATCTCCTTTCCATCTTCTATTTAGAAGGGATTGTTAGTATCGTATTGGAAGCCCAGGCGAGGGACTATATCATAAACCGAGCATAACGCACTGAATTTGACACTTAGGGTACTTGGCTCAGTCGATGTACGGGGAAGTAGGGTCGTGTTAATCTGAACTCCCGAGGCGCGCGCATTGGGAGGGAGGTAGCTGAGAAATAACCTCGTGGCGCGCGAGCGCATCGAAAATGGGTTGAACCTTGTGTTCACCTCGGTGATGAAGCGAGTAATCATCGTGGACGTCTTGATCTGGTGCCACTGTTTACTCAATGATTAATTTCACCCGCTATTTCTCTTGGTGACGACTAAGGCAATTCATCATACCTGCGAAACCAACGGCTAGCTGTGCCTGTCAAATCGGCGAATTGGGAATTGAATGATGTTGCTTTGAAGCCCAGGGTTTTCGAAGCTCATGGATGTGGCTTGCTTGCGATAAGGCGTTGCCAGCCACACCTCCAACATTACCTGAGGTATGCAGATATTGCAGTCTAGCCTATCTAGGTCTAGCTGAAAGCATGGATTAGTGTGGTACCACTTGCCATTAACAACGTCACAGCTCAGGTCCAAAATGCCACCGTGGAATAATATGAACGATAGCTATGGACTCGAGCTTTTCGCATAACAGTATTACGATGAAGTAACCGCCACCACAATGTCACTGGAATTGTTAGAGAAGCGATTCACAGATCTACAAGATCGACTCAATTTATTACAAGATGCCACAAGCCAACTTGAGGAGCTTATTCAGCGGCTCGCCAACTTCGACTTTCAGCCTGGATCTGTGCCACTTGGTGCGGCCGAGGACGATAATGTGGGAACAGAACTGAGCTCGGAAATAAATCAAGTGCTTCGGGAGCAGGAGGAGGACCTAGAGTTATTGAAAGAGGAAATAATTGATATACGTCCGGGCCGATCTGGCAGCACCCTGCAGCATGACAAGGACCGGCTCCAGGACGGTGCGGAGCGACTCGAGCGAAAGCTTCAGCTGTAAGTTAACTTATCCTTTATGCTTTTCGACAGGTGCGTTATTGTCATGGATATTTCGACTAAAGGCACCGGATAGCTGTCGAAAATCCTTCCGTAAAGCCCAAATTACAGCAAAACGCAATCTACAACTTGCCCAGCAGCATGAACGAGAGCTTCTTTATGCGTCGTTCTCGAGCCCGCGGTCCGGCGCATCGACACCAGCGTCAGCAACGGCTACCACAACCGCTCAATTCCCTCGTCGTTCACGAAAATTGGCGTCGGAGATGACCAAAGAGGAACAAATGATCAGCGCCAGCCATGATGTGACGGAATCCATGCGGAGAACTCACGACATGATGTCCGCTGAGTTGGTTAAGAGTGATTTTGCTCATAATACTCTTCAAGAGTCGACTCAGGCTCTTGCCCAATTGTCAGAGAATTACTCAAGTCTTGACACAATGCTATCGAGTTCTCGTGCCTTGCTTGGTACGCTACTCAAGAGCCAAAAGACGGACACGTGGTATCTGCAATCTGCATTCTATTTATTGACCATAACCATTGGGTGGCTTATCTTCCGACGCCTACTATGGGGTCCGACGTGGTGGCTAGTCTGGCTGCCACTCAAACTGTTATTTAAGACTGCTGTTGGTATTTCCAACACTGTCGGGCTGAGAGGGTCACAGATTCAATCAGATTCTGAGTCAGCTTCGGTCGGCGTTAGCCCTCAACAACCTTATATGAATAATAGAGATGTCCCTACTATTGAAGTTGGCGGGCCTCTAGAATCACAGGCAGTGGAACTAGATGGGTCCATGATAGAAGAAGTAGGGAAAATCATTGATAAATCTCAGGTTGGTGCACAAGGTCCAGATGAAGTAAGCACCGACGAGACTGAGTTAAGGGAGCGCACGGCTGAAGAACAACCAAATCCAAAGAAGAGAATGATGGAAGAAGAAGAGGAACATGCAGATATCCCAACGACTGGCGACCAACGGGTCAAAGATGAGCTATAACGTCAGGAATGAAATTCTTATTAATGCTGTTTCTCCCAATTCTTTATTCTCATTCTCTCTATCTGACATTGCGGTTTCGCATCCTCTATTGAAGAGATGTAGGTTCCACGACCTCACTCATCGAATCATATATGCCTGGCCGAAACGCAATAAAGGGGCGGCTTCCAAGTGGGTCAGTGCCAAGCTGTGTTAACTACTACGTATAGATATTTCCGGTCCGCTGGCCCATCTCATTCAGTCTTCTCGGCGAATAGTCCCTTGTTACGTGGAGAAGGGGACAACAGGAAATCATGGTCCAGGCCAGATAATGAATGGACATTTAAAACAGTCGCATCCCGTACGTACACACGTCAGCGTAAACAACACAAGGTTCTCGAAATTGGCAATAAGTTTATAATAAATATATTGCTGCACCCTGGCAGCGCCCCAGGTGTCTGTGGAGGTACGCAAAGCATTATTCTTTTACCGGCTTTGGTTGGGTGAAGGCTGGAAACATTTCGTGGAAACAGAAATATCTCTGGTCTTATCCATCATCGCCCTAGGCCGTGATGATAATCTATTCATGTGCGGCTTGCACCCTTACGGTTTCGCAATACGGAAAGTGGTGGGCGCCTCCTCTGGGGATCGAATTGATATGCATTCTCTATGGGTATTCGGTTTCTATTTCCAGTTCCAGACAAGATGACGATAGCGATGATACAGACCCTGCCATTCCTTCACTCTCTCCCACTCCGTGTTCTCAACTTTCTAAGGCCTACTATCGCGTATCCCTCTTCTGTGTCTTCCGTCAAGAATGGATGTTTGCACTCGAATTCAGCCACACAAAAAGAGTCATTCATGGACGGATTCTGACGATGCAGACACATAGGTCCGATACAAGAAAGTGAAGAAGCAAAAGCAAAAAAAAGGAACGAAAGACGGAAAGGCATGAGTTCACTCCATCAAAACAATAAAGGCGAAGAATGGAATAATACTAAATACAAATTGCAATTTCCTCTATGGTTGTTCCCACATTTCCCTCTTCCTTACTCCTTCCTCGCCTCCCAACGCCTTTCCTGTATTTGTGTACTCCGTTCCCTTCTCCAATGTTCTCACTCAACTACTTCTGTTTATTCACCATGCAACCTGTGTACTGGAATCTACTCTCCAGTTCTCTCATTTTCCAAAATGGGGTGACAAGAGGTAGAATGTTGAGTTCACGGCAAGAAGGAAAGAGCAACAAATGTGTGTGATCCTGGTATCATGTACGGCCGAATTGGGAATTCAGGTCAAAATATTCCTCTATCGCCCCAGATTATTCCGCTGTTGTCCCGAGGAGGTGATCGATGTCTTCAAGCTGAAAATCAGCAGACCCGCCAAGTGTCGTCTCCCAATCTGAGGGGCTCATCTTCGCGTCTCCTGTCGGATCGTTGCCTCCACCGCTTTCCGCTCCCGGAGTGGCGGTACTAGTATCGTTAGGCGTATGAAACGCCTGCTCGAATTGCTGCGGATGTGGCGATCCAGTGTGGCTTCTTGCGAGTGTGCTTGCCTGGTCCAGCTGATATGATGATAGACTTTCTGCGCCAAACTCACCGCTTTGACCCAAACCTAGAATCTCTAGGCCGTCAAACGAAGTATTATGCGCAGCACCTCCCACGCTCCCACTTTGATGCACTGCCATGAGCGAAGGGTCTATTTGATGCTCAACTGCGTGGCGTGCTAGATGTTGGACGTGCAAGTGAGGCGGTATTGCCGCATGTGGATGTGGATGCGAGATAGGTGGGCCATACGAACTCGACGCTCCTATGAGTTCATTGTACTGATTACGATGATCGAGGACGGGCGAATTGTGGAATGACGGTGCCGGCGAGTTTGTCTTATTGATAAAGACATTCTCAACGAATGCTGGGATTCCCTGGTGGTGTATCCCGTAAACCGGACCACCGCCATATGGCTGGGGAAACGCCTGTTGAGTGAACTCAGTGTTCTGTTGATAATATTGCCCCGGCCCCAGCCTCGAACCGTAATCTGCGGGTCGCTGCTTTCCAGGGTTAGAAAATTGGAAAGACGATGGATGTGGCTGGTGATGGTGTGATACATATCCCGGCGGTAGACGTGCTGCTTGCATACCAGGTGACGGCGATGTGTACACAGACCCTGAATATCCTGTATACCCCGGTGGTAGATACTCACCGTCCGGGTCTATGTGATCCAAATACCGAGCCGCACGCGAGTGGTTTCTAGAAGGCGGCCCACTACTAAACTGTCCCCATTCGTATGCATCGAGATTCGACGCATTGTCATCGTCTGAATCACGACCCCCATGGCGACCATCAGGAGCGGGCTTCTTTGCCTTGGATTTGGCAGGGGCAAATTTATAATCAGGGAACGCAAGCTTGTGGTTGTTGCGCTCTATCTTGGCCCACTGGTCATACTGGTCACGCAGATCCTGGTGTTCCATGTTCCAGCTGAGGCCGCAAACCTGCGAAATGACCTGGTGGTTGTCGTGGCCCTTCTCCGGCTTCCCTCCACTGGCCCTCTCCTCTTTCCTCCTGATATCATCCAGCCTCTTCCACTCTTTGGTCCGATTCTGGTAGGCCTTGCGGTATAGCATGAACGCATTCATTGGCCGCTTTACCTTCCCCGTTTTCGACGCCGCTACCTCGCGTCGGCGCTCCTCAGGTGACCGATTCACGTACGCATCGATGTCCGTGTCAGTTATATTCGTTATGTTCTTCACGAGCTCACTGAGCGGATTTCCGAGCGCAATGGAGGATTGTTCGGCATATCCGTCACCTCCAGCCCTCTTTCTCTTCTTTGGCCTCGGCGCCCTCCTCTCGACCCGGGCCGGCCGAGTCAATGTAGTCGCTGTTGATGGTCTCATTATCGCGCGCCCGCTGCGGGTTGTTATTCCTTCGGCTTGAATGGGTGTCGGCGGTGATGTGCCTGGGGTGCTATATGTATTGTGAGAGTTCTGATAAAAGCCTGATGTCAGCCACATTGCTCAAGCTAGATCGGTATAACCTGATCCAAAAGATCCTACCGTTGAGGAGTTTACGTCGGGAAGTTCAGGGTAGGGGCTTTGTTCTATAGGGTATCCTGTTTGATATCCTCCTGCGTATGGAGGAGCTGTGTATGAAGATGGATGATCGTATGTGTTCAGCATATGTGTTTGTGGGCCTGGGCTTGAATATCTCGAGTGCGAGTTCGATCCCACTTGACTACCTATTTCAGTTGGCTGATGCTGTGTCGCATTATGTTGAATAAGTTGTTGAAATCCGCTATGGAGCGCGTCGTCAGTCTGATTGAATAGAACCCGGGGTGCCGGTGATGGTGAATCATCCTTCTCCATCTCATCGGCTTCTTTTTATGCCAAATGAAAACAAAGTCTTTGCGATGAGAAACAGGGAGGATAATCACTGTCTTTGAGGCTAGTTAATTCAACAGCGACTTGAATGGTGAACAGGATAAAGGCGCAATCGCACAACAATAACGACAACGACAGCAAACCAAAAGAAGGAATTCCTTCAAAGGGATTTGCTTTGAACAAGGGAATTGTACGGCAGTCGCTTGTTCTCCGTGGATTTTGATCTATCTGGTATGCACATACACATACATCAGATAGTTGGATAAGAGTTGGGATACACGCGATACACGTTCTCGTGGACCAGCTCAGGCCAGCTCGATTGCAAGGTCCGTTGGTGGACGCTTGAATAGACAGGTAATGAGGCTGTTGATGATGAACAGAAGCTAGTGTTGGCGATGACGATGCTAGATACCTAAGCTGGCTTTGGAAATCGACAGCAGCGGTCTCTTCCCTCTGTTTCGTGGGTATACTCTCCCCTACTTCAAGCTCCTAAGACAGGCCAGGCGACTGTAAGCCTTGTTTCAGGCGGACGATGTTGCTAGCGCTCAAGATGGGATCATGTGACGGGCGAACTGGGTAGCTTCTTGAACGGACCAAGCTGGAAAATCGAACCAAAGCCACACGAACACTTTTTCTCCGGTTGCTACCACAGGAGACAAGAAGACGACAAGTGACGTGATGATGGTTTACCAACGAGCTCAGAGCTAAATGTGAGCGGAAGTGGACGAATGATGCGTTGTGGTTGAGCCGAGGAAAAACAGCAGAAGCATCAGTCTAAGAATTTAACCTGCCAGCGAATCAGTCTCGACTGTTTATCTGATACGTCTTTTTTTGATTTTCTTCCCATGTCCGCCTGCCCAAAAGTTTTGTTCTTTCTTTCTACTTGCTTACAAAAGCATGACAATACCAAGAAGAGCAACACATTGTACAGAATACCAATGGCCACCAACCTGACCGCCAGCTAGTTTGCTAGCTAGCAAAGGTCGACAGCCAACCTTAGCCAAGCAGTTGTGACAGAGGCAATGCAGTCGCATCATGAGATCTGTCAGAAATGGGTTTGTGTGGCAGGCTGCAGGGCAGAGCATAATAGACGCAGGGCAGAACAGGACATGACATGAAAAAGATATGGGCTGGCATAGGGAGGACAGGGGCGGGGGTATGTGCAGGAGCGGCCAGTCAGGTGAAAGAATGAACTTCTGGCACGAACCTAGTGCAGCGACTCTGCCTCCTTTTCTAACGTAGGGAGTGCTGAAGATCGACGAGCGAGAGGCCGGGGTTTTGCGGGTGCTCTCAGCTGATACAATGCTCCGTTAGTCGACTAGACTCATTCGGGGGGAGATTCAGATTGACTGTGCGGATAGATATGCAGGCAGGTACCGGCTACTGCAGTGGTAGGAGAAGGGCCTCTTACTGGGAGGAAAGTGGAAAGATGGGCGTGTGTGTATATTGTAGGTACGGTATTCCTAGTGGGATGATGTACTGATGTGAACCAGGCGGTTGGGATTATCTGATGAGTACACCCCTTCCTTATTCTTCTTTTCTTGGACTGCGGTTGAGCAATTGTTATGGGGGTTGTTACCGAAAGAAGCAGCGCTACTATTGATGTTGGTGTTGACCCTGCTCCATGCAGGTTTCTCTTTTGACTGGTAGCCTTTGTCAGTGTCTACCTCAAGGAGAGACAGTCCGTTCGACGACGATGTCGGGAACGCAAAAATGTGTGTGTGTGCTATGTATGTTTGTTATGTATGTAGGCGAGTGAGTCTAAGATGCGCTATTGCGGTGTGCTCTCTGGGAGGGAAGGTTTCGGGTCGGACCGTGTGAGTCGGTAACGACGACGCCGGCGATGCTACTGATGGCTCCCGTAGGCTCCCGTTGGATAGCTAAAGCGGTGTGTGCTCAGCCCGGGTATTCTTAGTCGTTGTTGTTTAGTCGGGAGTTTGTTTCACACAAGGTAAGCACATGTGGGTGTAGAAAGGAATTATTCCCCGGGTATGAATTCTTTTGAGGCTGGTTTTGTTGAACTAAGCACCCTTTCTCTCCCTCTTTTCCTCTCTGATGCTTGAGGTAGGTAGTTTAACAGATATTGGTAATAGATAGGTATAAGTGCTGCGTGGATGGGGAAAAGGAAGACTCAAAGGGGCAACAAACAGACCGGCTGACCGGGCCTGAACTGTATGGTTCAACTGGCTACAGACTGGCTGGATGCTGGGCCTCTTTGTCAAGTCGACAACTCTAGCCTAGGTACAACACGTGAAGAGGCGACGGCAACGATGATGACAACAAAAGAGGGAGAAGTCCCTCTTCCTTTCATTGATTTTTCTTCTTCTGGACCTCCGTCTTCGACGCCACGGGAAGAGAAGAAAGGAAATCATTGGGCATGGAAAAAAGTATATTTGTAGTGCCTTCTGTTTTCCTTTGCTGCTATGCGGCGACATGGCCGCTTGCGGAAAAGTAGACAGAAGGAGAGGTACGAGGAGGGTATGGTGGGCTCTTCTTCGTGCCGGCACGGCGTTGCTTGACCATTTCCTGGCCTAACATAACTCACCTCGGGCCGACATAGCTATGGCCGTGTTCAGGAAGATAGAAAGAGAGAGTCGGCGGGAGTGAGTGGATATGGGGGGGAGAGATATGCACTGGTATGTAGGTACCTACCGACATACTTCGTACGCAGAGTATTCTGACATGCCTTGTGCTCCATCTCTTTCTCTCTCTTTTCCTCCTGGCATATTTAACTATGTAAATGCTATGCTATATGCGGGCAGAATGGAAAGGAGTGCTTGACGTTGAGGCTTGATGAGCGATGCCGCCTCAGATGAGGTAAAGTGCCTTGCAGACATTCCATTCCATTCTTACACCGCTAGCTGCATAGATGGCACATGGCATTTAGGACTACAGCTTTGCAGAATCATTATGCAAGATTAAGGCTTGAATGAAGGGATGAAAATTGGCTAGATTAGACAGTGCCATACCGCCACGCACCCATCCGTATGGGTTCAGGCTAGACAGACAGACGGGGTCGGACTCTGCGAGAGCATGCGGAACTAGTCTTACCGATTCCTCTCCGCGACTTCGAAATAAAGTGAATCATTTTTCTTCATTCTACCTGTTTTTGGCGGCTGTTAGGTTGAGCTAGCTAAGCTACTCAGCTGAAAAGGTGAGAGAGGGCTCTGGAATGCTGGCTTCCTGGGGAGGACACCCGAAAACGTGCGTGTAAGACTTCTGGGAATTGAACACAGCCCACATTCCTTTGATAGTAGACCTGTTGAAGAAACTTGTCCAAATGCAGAATGACTCTTCTACACTACACATCTTCTTCTGGCCTGGCCTAAGTACTCTCACGTTAGACCTGTGCCTGCGAGGTTCTATCTGTATGCATATACACCCGCATGTACATACATACATACAGATGGACGGCCTTAGGCCGTTTCTAGACTATTCCTGTTCTCACGACTCTCATCCTGAGCATGTCTCACTAGCCTATGGATCGGATTCACACAGTAATGATCTGCCTAGAAGATGTCGTCCTGTGCTGCGCCGTCGTCTCTCGCTCTGAAGTGTTTGCATTACTCATCCCTGCCTGCAGGACGGCTGTTGGCATTAGTGCCGTTGACTGTTTGAACGTCAGAGGCGATTTGCATCTCTAAACATATCCGACAAAACCAGCGGATATAGATGCGAGAAGCTTAAGATTGTCCTATTTTAGCGGGCTCATTCAGCCTACAGGAGCTTCAATTTGCAGCTGGGCCCGTATTTCATCATCATCTTACCTCAACTAGATCGCGCTTTGCTCACACGGCTGACCTGTCGTGCTGCCATGCCAGAGACTGTACATATGGTGAAGGCAGGAATACTATATACCGCCCTATCAAGGCGTCCTTGCAGATGTTGGGCCACTTTTACTTGCGTCTTGCTATTTCTGGCCGTTTTCAGCTGGAATGTACGTTCCGGAATATCTTATTGAAGCCCCGATCCTATTGCTTGTCACATGTAGCTCCCCATATGTCATTTCCTGGACGGTTATCTCAAGTAATGTGTTCTCGTAGCGTTCCTCTCTTACCTTAATGGATCCCAATAATAAATATTTGATCTTGAACAGTGACTATAACATCACAGCTATGATGTCATGACATCTTCCCTGCCGCAGCTCATCTTACACGCCTATCTGCTGGATTGGTTGACCGACCTGGCTCTAGGTCGACTACCCAATCACTCATTTATGGTTACACAGCGCAGGCAAACCCCCTGCTCTCTACCTGTACTTCGTAGGTATGTCTCGACGCTCTGACCAACAGTTCGTCCAGACTATCGGAATCGTGTGACAGATCGCCCCTATCCGAATCTCCATCTCCAATCATAGCTTAGGGCTCTTGTCCGTTGCGGGTACGTGGTTATTAGATTGTTGATTCCGCCAGAGACGATTGGCTCGTTAGTCCTAGAGCAGTAAGTCTTCTATTAGGTAGCGCTGTGAGGTCCTCTGAGGTAGGCAGGGAAGTGTATGCGTCCCTGCGTGTGTGTTGGCCAGAGACATGTCCTAGGAAATAGTCGGTGTGGCATTTCCATTAGTCGGTAAGAGAGCTTGGACCTGGTTGTAGCACTGCATCAAGCCTCGTATCTGGAGAAGTACACATGGAAAGAAAACTGAGGGTCCTGCTGCCTCTACTAGCTTTCAAGTCAACAGATTGGAAACAGATAGCTGCCATCATACATAATATAAGAATGAAATGACGATGTTACCAAAATCCCTATCCTTGCACTGCGAGCTAGAAAAATGAGGAACGGGGATGCTTATACCCACGTGGTACTGCTGCTCGATGTGTCGAGCTGAAATTCGACAGCATGAATCAATTCCTCGCGACTTCTTTTCTTCTATTGGTGTAAATGGACCCAAATACGAGAGTAGTCCGGCAGTCAGATGTATTGGTGGAATTTTAACTTTAACAAGTACATATTATGTCGACGTTTGTTCCTACGTCTCCTGGCTATACTAGTCCTTTTAGTACAGAAACCTGTTACTCTGTACAAGTACCGAGCTACAAATGTCTTTTCATCCACTCACTGGGGCGGCCGTGACTTGGTAGGTAGGTGGCGAGAGAAACGTAACAAGGTGAAACGGCGGAAAAGTAAACGCCTGCCTTTTAATATTATTATACGCTACTCAGTAGCTACCCCAGTCTAAACGCCACAGGATGCATCGTAACTCATACAATTGTCTCCGCCTTTGGCCTTCTCTGTCCCCGACATTCCGTAGTAGTATCTAAATTGTTCGACATGTGTATTTATACAAGTCTACTAGGGCGGCGCTCGTATGTCTACACATGTCGTAGTCAACATCGCATCGTATCACTTAGGATTGGACGCTAAGATATATAATAATGGCCGTTCTCATCACTTCTTCGAGTCGTCAATGATTCGAGGTTGTCTTCGTCTATTCAATCTCTGTATATGGAAGTCATCCATGAAAATCCTAGTGTTGTATTACCCTGACCGAGCAGGGTCAGCTGACTTGATCGGTGGCGTGAGTATTTGTTCTGAAGGGGAAGGAGGCAAAGTAGTGGCAGGAGGCAGAATTGCAGGAGCCGGTGATGATAGAATTCTAGTGCCGCGGTGCTGTGGAGGGGGTGAACGTTTCATCGGCGAGATGCCATTCTTGCTTGGCGGAAGACTGGGCGTAGCGTCGTTGGGACCGAAGACTGACTTGTCGAGCTGTGGTGTTGAGAGTACGCTTCGTTGACTCTGCGACGCTGTGTTTGGAGTTTGAATGGGCATGGAAGACGCTACTGGGGTTACACTCGGTGGCGAGTCGACTGTCAAATGGTTGTTCGCAGTTTCGAGGGGCTTTTTGAGAGGCGAATCAAGTCTAGCTGGTACTGGTGGTATAGACACAGTTGCAGTAGTGGGTCCACCATTTGGCGACGACCCTTGGACACTCTTCTTTGTAGGAGGATAAAATATTCCTTTCTGGGGTAGTTTAACTTGCCCCGGAGCTGAGCAAGCCTCTGCCTCAGGTGGGGATGAGTTGAAAAGAGTTGAGTAAGCCCTCGACTTATTGGGCGATTGTTCCGGGGGAGACAAAGCTGGATGCGGAGAGGAGAAGGCGTGAATTCCGTCTCCATTGGTATACGGTGACACGGGTGGGAGCACGTGGTTTTGTCCTGCTGGCTTTACCGGAATGCTTGGTAACCCTGAGGCCTGAGTAGCAGGTTGAAGTTGAGATCGGTCAATGGCTTGAAATTCTTGAGCGCGATGTGGAACATCTATACCATTGAGCGTTTTTGTTGTGGATTGAAGCACGCTACCATGATTCGTTGCCACCTCCGAATGTGCCTGAATCGGCGATTCTGTGCTATCTCTTCGGGCTACTATTGAGGTATCCGGCCGCGCAATCTTGAGCTTGATTGTAGGCTGCCTTGCAATACCCGAGCGTAGGGATTGACGTCGGCAATTTTTGCAGAGAAAATGGAAATCGTCCCGGTCAGCCTCATCTTCACTGATACCAACGCATTTGCTATGTTGCCAGATATTACATCTTTCGCAGGCAACACTGTGTGTACCATCATCGACCTGACCGTACACCCCACAGACACAGTCAAAGATCCAGTCGTCTGCTTCGTCTTCCAGGTCCTGTAAGCCTTGTTTGCTTTTAGCAATTTCAGCCTGAAGTCTTCGTTCCGACATTCGATTGTCCCCACCGAGGTTCTTGCTATCTTCAGAAAGCTGAGCAAGTTCCTCTTCGTGTTGTAGTCGTCGACTTTGTCGTTCCCTTAGTCTTTCCTCTCGCGATCTCGCTCGGTTGTCATGTTCCCGCTCTAATTTCAGGCGAATTTGTTCAGCCTTCCTTGTGGCTTTCTCCTCTCTCTGACGTTTCTCTTCTTCCTCTCTCGCCTGTTGCTGTAACTTCTGTTGCTCCGCCTTGCCAGCGATACGGCTTGATCGCTTTGCATGAGCCATTTTTTCGAGATTGAGCAATTCCTTTTCTCTCTGTAGTGCCTTGCGCTTGCGTGATTCTTCTTGTTTCTCGAGTATAGGTAATAAGTGCTCTTCAATAGTGGTTCTGAGGATTTTCTCGTTGTCGTCACGAGTCTTCCGCAGCGTGGCCAGAAAATTCTGTATATCACTTAGGCTAACTCCAACACACTCCCACTTGGCGCCACCAAGACCATCATCTTCAGGCTCTCGCGCTTCCTCAGCATCTGATGTAGGGTCGTCATCAATGGCATCATGGCTTTGAGCAGCTGACCTCGATGTCCGGCGTCGTTTAGATGCCCGCGCTGCTGCTTTTGCCTTCTTAGTATTCTTTTTCGGCTTCCACGCCGACGATGGGGCAGGAGCTGGCGTCAAGCGGTAGAGACGGTTGTCGTCCAGGATATAATATGTACGATCTTCAGCGTCCCAGCCAGTGGGTTCAATGCGCTACTATCTCATTAGCCTCTTCTAACTAGCAAGGCCAGCGGGAAATGGATCACGAACCCAGTCGGTCTGGTCACTAGGCTTTTGTTCGTCCATCTTCTCGCGAATGCGTTCTGGATGAAGCATTACCCATTGGGTAAGCTGTTGAAGAACTCGTATCTTGATATTGAGTGTTAGTAATGAGATGTCAGTCCCGGCAAGGAGCGGCCCAACCTTCAGTGCTGCGTCAAAATCATTGAACCTGGCCGGTGCTTCATCGTTTCCAAAAGGGTTGCGATCCGGCGCTTTGGCAACGTATTGTCGGCGGGTATATTCGTCGAAGAGGTCGTGACTGGGATTGCTTAGTAATTAACATCTCCATCGACAGAGGGAGCTTTTGACATACGTTAGGCCGCGGTGCGACGACACAAACCTTAGCAAAGCGAGCCCGATGTCGACGAGGATAGTGGACTGTGGTTTCAGGCATTCGGCTTCTAGATCCTGCGTTCGGCATAAATAATAAGAATAGGGCACTCATACAAGCGAAATGGGGTCGCAGTTACATACATCAATGTCGATACTCTCGTCGATCTTGACCACGCGGCCAAAGAGATAGATCCACTGAAAAAGGTTCGCGAAGTGCCACTGGTTTCTAACACGTTGAAGGCGATCGAGCTCGGCTGGCTGCGCGACTCCATTGATTTCGGTGTCGCCCAGGGCGCGTTTTCGAGACGACACCATGGTTGCGAATGGCGGTCCTCCGAATGGTGGGAGGCGTAGGGAAGCCGACTGCCTATGGCACTTTAACGGGTTCGGGTCGAACCTCTTCTATGTAGATAGGGGTGCAAGATTATGAGCTGAAGTTGAATATGGCATGACAAAGTGGAGGACACGAGTTTTCGAGGATTACAGCAGCGCAATGTCGATAGTGATGCTGCTCGGCGGTTTACACAGAGTCGAACGATAGCCTTATTTGGTAGGTTAGGTTGTCGCATGTGGGATTTTCTCTGGCGCGACGTGCGGCGTCATTACGCGCAATTATGGCTGCCCATCTACCGCGTGTGGAGCCCTTTCCCATTTAAGCACAGCGCTCGTCCAAGACGCGCCTTAACACTTACTCAATTAGGTTAGTATCACCCCGCTATGAAAGTACCTATGGTAAGTTTACTTATAGTAGCTAAATAGGTACCGTAGCTAGCGCATACGGGTAAGTCCCAGGTACTGTACAAAGTATGCCTGCTGTACTGTAGGTAGGTACTTCTAGTTGCTGGCAGAGAGTCCCAGTTTCAGCTAGACCACGTTTCATACACAATTCTACCTATGTATTGAATTGATAATACCTCCCATCTATGACTTACTAGATTATTCTGTTTAAATTCTCATCTGCAGCTGTTAAAATCGGCGGAGTGCCTACCTACTTACTTACATGTGTTGTTGAATAGCAAGCAAATTACATGTGCTTACCTACTTCGTACATAGGTACGCCGCTAACCACTTAAACACACATACTATGTACACACGCGTACTGTAGGTAGTGTATGTGGGAGGCCGCAGGTATGCTAATATTAGGACTGAAGCACCGCCCCAACACCTGCAGAGAAAACCAGCTACCTAGCTAGGTACCTAGTAGCCTGGTGCTACAGTACTTACGAAGCATGTAGGTGAGGTAGGTACTCACTTACGAAGTAGAAGTACCTAGTACCGTAGTACCGTAGTACTGTTCTGTACTGGTCTTACGGTATTCGCGGCACTGAAATGTCTCCAATTGAAATGGAAGCTGCGACGCTACGCTAGCTAGCGTACCCTCCCTAAGTACTCTGTCCCTACCTAGATTCTGCCCCTTGTACAATATCCAGGAACAGCCCATGCAATTCGTCCCACGATTGGCTATCGCTCCCAGACAAGAGAGACCTCAGAGTTCTCGACTGAAGTGTTACAGCTGACAAGTCGTCATTTCCTCACTTCTATTTGCTATCTCTTCGCTATCTATTATTTCTCTTCAACAATTAGAATATTTACACGACTGTATTATACTCCCTAGGCTTCGAACTACGACTCACTTACGTCGTACATCACAGGCTCCACTCTCGTTCAGAAGTGCTTTATGCATTGGTCTTCAACGTTCTGCGACTTTATAATATCCTTCGTTTGAGACCCCAGTCGCTCGTTCAAGTTTCCATCTTGTCAAGCTTCACCGTCGAGTTGGATTGTGACGCTCTTAGTTGAAGACATCAGACGACGCCACGACTTTCGAACGAACTGCCATATGTTGTCATTATTTGGAATGACATAAGCTCTGCAATAGGTGGTTTATGCGACCACGTCTTGCTGGCTAGCCGGTCTTCATGTGTACTGCCACCTAGGTGCTCAAACATCATTTATATGAACGAAAATCAACATGGCCGGGTCGCCGACCTCCCCTCGGGAGTCTCAACAGGCTGCATATCTTTCCCGCCCACAGTCTCCATCTCTACGAGAATTTGAAAGGCAGCGAGACCAACAGCAACAGCAACAGCAACAGCAACATGAAACTGGCGCGGCTGGGTCCCTGGCGGACCGCAATCTGCCCGCCATCTCGACATATTGGGAAGGTAGCCGGTTTCAACACGAACATCACGACGATTACGAACTGAGTCCTAGTTCTCCCCTCGATGTTTCTGGGCTTCAATTCGCCCTCCCTCCGGACATACATCCGCCCCAGCCTGCGCTGCCCGAGCCAGCTCCCCGCCCTTCAAACCCCTATGTGACCCAGACTCCCTACTATGAAGAAGCCCCCCAAGACGATTACTTCGATTCCGACCGTGCACCCCTTACCTCGACCGCTCAACCCATCTCTGGCGCTTCGTTGAGCACACCCCAGGCCGAGTCTCAGCCGAGAGATAGCTTTCAGACTGTGTCAGATATCGATAACAGTCCCCGACCGCGTGGGCGGTCTTCTAATTTACTTGGTTTTGGTTTGGATAATCCAGACTCTAGGCATCGCAGCTATGGCGACTCTCTTGTGCCTGCCGACCATCGGATCTCTCGGATTCAAGGCACATCTGATGCGCTACATAGGGCTGGATCCATTGTTAGGGCCATGTCCCAGCGTGTTGTCAACATCGGTGGTGAGGGCGAGTCTCTCGAGCAACGTTCAAGATCGCCAAGTGCCGATGGACGGCGAAGTACCGATGGCCGTCGCCCATCAGCGAGCCGTACGCATTCGCAGATTGGCATCGATACGTCCTATCAATCCCAAGTGTATCCATCCTCGCCTCTCGAGAAACGAGCCCAGCCTGATTGGGATACCCCTGCGCCTGCCCTCCCACCCCGTCGAACTGGACCAATGCCCAATCCACTCAAAGGCCGCTCACTCGGTATATTTCCTCCTGACAACATCCTCAGACGAAAGTTGTGTGATGTTTTGGTCAATCCGTATCTGGAACCGACGCTTCTCGTGTTGATAGTATTACAGGCTATCCTACTTGCTGTCGAGGCAGCAAATAATGTTAATGATGAGGAACATGGACGAAAACCATTGTGGGACCCGTCTTCTGCAATTAACTGGGCAATCCTCGTTCTTTTTATTATATTCACTGTTGAAATTATTGCACGCATCATAGTCTCTGGATTTGTATTAAATCCAGCCGAATACAGCACTGTCGATCGTAAACGAGGGATTCGAACTGTCATCTCAGATCGATACAACACTGTTTTCAGGCCTCAACGCCATAAGTCTGTTCACGCCCCCCGGCAAGAGGCTTATGGCCCCTCGACATTTGCTCGTTCATTCACTATGATGCATAGCATGCCAGAGACGGTTGAAGAGCAAATGAGGCTACAACTTGCGCGTCGTGCATTCTTACGCCATGGTTTCAATCGACTTGATTTCGTTGCCGTTGTGTCTTTCTGGATTGCGTTTCTGTTAAGCATTACTGGCATAGAGGCCAAATATCATCTGTATATTTTCCGAATGCTTAGCTGTCTTCGTATCATCCGACTCCTTGCTCTCACGAATGGTACTGCGGTAAGTTGACCTCTCCACTGCTCGGCCATCATCAGGCTAACTTTTGATTCGGGTGTAGATCATTCTAAGAAGCTTGAAGAAGGCAGCGCCGCTACTCCTTCGAGTTTCATTCTTGATTGGTTTTTTTTGGTTATTGTTTGCGATAGTCGGAGTTCAAAGCTTTAAATCAAGCTTTAGCCGTCAGTGTGTCTGGCTAGACCCTCAGGACCCCAACAACCTCACGGCGGCATATACTAATGAGATGCAATTCTGTGGTGGTTACATCCACAATGAGACACTCAAACCCCATGTTTGGGTTAGGCTTAACAACACAAATACGAACCCAGACACTTTAGACCTTATTCCTGCGTCTGGAGGTGCCAAGGGATACATTTGTCCTCGCAATTCCATTTGCCTGGAACAGAAGAGTCCTTATAATGAAACAGTCAATTTTGATAATATCATCCAGTCCCTGGAATTGGTGTTCGTCATCATGAGTTCAAATACATGGTCTGATCTTATGTACTACACTACCAATTCGGACTTCCAGGCTGCCGCCCTCTTTTTTGGCGCTGGCATCATTATCATGATGCTATGGCTTATTAACCTGCTGATTGCGGTCATCACTTCTTCTTTTCAAGTTATACGTGAAGAGAGTAAAGCGAGCGCGTTTACCGCCGATCAGGATCCTCTTCTCGTGGATCCCCAAGAGCCACAGGTACAAAGGGTATCGTGGTTGCAAAGAATATATGATAAGACGTCGCTGATATGGGTACTTCTTATTGCATATGAAATATTTGCCCAAGGTTGGCGAAGTGCAAACATGGGACCGCAACGCAGGAACTTTATCGACGCATCTACTTATCTCGTTACTGCTTTACTCGATATTGAAATCGCAATTCGAATTATTGCCAACTGGAGATATTTTCATCGGAGTAAACGCAACCTAGTCGATCTTTTTCTTGCTCTTGCCAACACAATTATTCTCTTACCACCAATCCGAAACAGCGGCCAGACTTACGCTTGGCTCACAATATTTCAAATTCTTCGTGTCTACCGTGTGGTACTAGCAATTCCCATAACCAGAGACTTGATCTTGTTAGTCCTCGGAAATGCCAGTGGTATTGGGAACCTCATCATATTTGTTTTCTTGATCACATTTATTATGGCTATCTTTGCGGTTCAACTTTTCCGTGGTGAGATACCGCTGCATGACGACGGCGGAGAGCTGATCGAAGTCTCTTTTTACAACATTTACAACTCGTTTCTGGGTATGTACCAGATTCTCTCAAGTGAAAATTGGACGGCTATACTTTACAATGTGACGTCGTACACAACTTCTCGAAGCACCGCCTGGTATGGTGCCATTTTTCTCATTGCTTGGTTCATTCTTGCTTTCTTTATTCTTGTCAATATGTTCATTGCTGTCATTCAAGAAAACTTTGATGTATCCGAAGACGAGAAACGATTGGAACAAGTTAAGGCCTTTCTTCAAAGAAAGGAGCTAGGCAGCACAGCTGGAAGTAACGTTGCTCTATCAGAGATATTCTCGTTCAGAAAACAAAGGCAGAGACGAAATCCATTAGATTACGGGCCGGCTACAATGGAAATGCTTCTGAAAGACGCTGTCGTCAGAGAGTTTCTTGACGACTCCCCTGATGCTGCTTCTCATCAACCACCCAATGGTGAAACACCCGATACCGAAACTCCTCCCCCTGGCACCATGGGCACGGAGAAGAAACCCAGCTTTTTGCGTTCTGTGACCAGAACATTTGAGAAAAATACCCGGAATAAAGAGCCAAACCCGTTCTACTCCAATCTCCAGTTTCAAGGACCAAGTGATACGCTGGATCCGCGACAAATGGCAAGACAAGTCGTGTCTGCTGCTCTGGAGCGTCGCAAAGCGCAGAGGGAGTACTTACGGCGTCATCCAACTTACAACAATGCACTCTACATTTTTACGCCTCGAAATCCTATTCGAAGGCTTTGTCAGCGCATTGTTGGTCCTGGAAGGGGTAGCGAGCGATTTGATGGCGTTGAACCAAACAAAATTGTTTGGTATAGCTTCTCGGTCTTTATTTATGCGGCAATCATTGCTGTGGTGGTCATTGCTAGCATTACGACTCCGCTCTATCAGAAGCTATACCTCGAAGAACAGCATTTGACAGAAGACAATCGTAGTACTTCTTGGTTTGTATGGATTGACTTAGCGTTTGCTGTATTATTCACAGTCGAAGCTGTGATTAAAATCATCGCTGATGGTTTGTTTTTTACTCCTAACGCGTACTATCGAAGTTCGTGGGGGTTCATAGACGCTGTGGTCTTGGTCACGTTATGGATTAACGTTTTCACTCTAATTTTCAATGACGGATCTGTGTCTCGAGTTGTAGGCGCGTTCAAAGCCTTAAGGGCTCTGAGACTGCTTAATATCAGCAACACTGCCAGGGATACATTTCATTCACTCATTATTGTTGCAGGCTGGAAGATTATTAGTGTAAGTGTACTCGTACCTACAGCCATTATACCGTCATCCCGCTAATGTACAAACTAGGCGGCCCTAGTCTCACTTTCCCTCTTGATCCCATTCGCAATATATGCCGTGAATCTTTTCTCTGGAACGCTCCTCAATTGCAATGACGGCGATGTTGAGAGGCTTATTGACTGCTTTGGCGAATTTAATAGCTCACCCTCCAATCCTGATTGGCCGCTACTAGCTCCCCGCGTTGCCGATAACCCATTCTTTAACTTTGACGACTTCGGAGCATCTCTCTTCATCCTTTTCCAGATCGTTTCGCAAGAAGGGTGGATTGACGTGTCGTTTGCTGTTCAGTCAATAACAGGAATCGGTCTCCAGCCTCAGGAGATGGCATCACGTGGCAATGCGTTATTCTTCGTTGTATTCAACCTCCTTGGTACCGTTTTTGTTCTGACCTTGTTTATTTCTGTGTTCATGCGCAACTATACAGAACAGACTGGTGTTGCGTTCCTAACAGCTGAACAAAGAACTTGGCTTGAACTTCGAAAGCTACTGCGCCAAATTTCGCCTTCGAGAAGCTCCTATGATGAGTCTAAGAATAAATGGAAGAAGTGGTGCTACAAGAGAGCTATCGAAAAACGCGGAAAGTGGTATACTGGCATCACCATCGTCCTGGTCCTCCATCTAGTTCTGCTGCTGCTCGAATATTACCCTGAACCGGAGTGGTGGACCCACACTAGGGACCTCATTTTCCTTCTTTTCACGTTGATATATATCTCCAACATAATCATTCGTATCGTCGGGCTGGGCTGGACACGGTTCAGAAGAAGCTCGTGGGACGTCTACTCACTTGTAGCCGTATTTGGTGCGTTCATAACATCACTCGTGTTGATTAAAGAGGACGACCAGGAGACATTTGTGCAACTACACAAAGGCTTCCTCGTTAGCATTGTACTGCTTCTTATTCCCCGAAATGATGCCCTCGATCAGCTTTTTAAAACCGCTGCCGCAAGTTTGACAACCATCATCAATCTGCTTGCCACCTGGCTAGTGTTCTTCGTTGTCTTCGCCATTGCTCTGACACAAGTATTCAGTCTGACACGCTTCGGCCCTGAAGAAGATAACAATGTCAATTTCAGGAATGTTCCAAACGCCTTGATTCTTCTCTTCAGAACAAGTCTTGGCGAGGGATGGAACGCAATCATGGAAGACTTCGCACAAATTAGAGGGCCACTTTGTGTTCAGAGTCGATCATTCTTTGAAAGCGATTGCGGTGACATAGCATGGGCTAGAACGCTCTTCATTGCTTGGAACCTCATCAGCATGTATATCTTTGTCAATCTTTTCATCTCGCTTATTTATGAGAGCTTCAGCTACGTGTACCAACGCTCGAGTAGCATGGCGCACATCGATCGTGATGAGATTCGAAGATTTAAAGAAGCCTGGCGGAGTATTGACCCAACTGGTACTGGCTTCATCTCTAAAGAGGCATTTCCGAGGCTGTTAGGAGAGCTCTCTGGTGTATTTGAGATGAGGATATACGAACATGAGGACTCTGTCAGTCGAATCCTTGAAGATGTGCGAGGTGGTGATTCAAGACCCGGTCGACATGCATCCATCACTACAGCGAGTGATCTTAGTGGAGTGGATCTTCGGAAGCTAAACGAAAGACTTGCGTTGATTGATGTTGAAGGTGTACGAGAACGACGGCGCCGCTATAACATTTTTTACGAGGAAGTTATGGTAGCTGCAGATGCAAGCCGTGGTATATCTTTCACAACTGTATTGATGATCATGGCGCACTACAACATCATCAGTGACAGCAAAAGTTTAAGGTAAGCATTCACATATTGCATTTCGATGGGAATACGTGTCTAACGCTAGCAATAGGTTAGAAGAATTTCTCCGGCGCCGTGCTAGACTTCAACGTGTAGAAGAGGAAGTCAACCGAAAGATTGTGCTAGGCTTCTTTAACACACTGTAAGTCCTCTATTTTCCTTGCAACATATCGACATACTGAGTTTTATAGTTATTACACTCGCCAATTTAGGCGCCACATGGACAAGAAACGATCTGGACGCATGACGGCTATTCCACAACTTGACGTGCCTGAGATTCTTGTCGATGATGAAAGCGATCGAGCTCGTAATCGCTCTCAGACAGCGCAACAGCAACAACGCACAACACTAGCTGTCCCGCCGACCCCAGGGACATCATCAGATTTCCTAACGGTGTCTGATGGCGCACGGTCGCACAGAAGCTGGACCTCAGGGGCGGACATATCTACATATGATGTGACACAGTCACATCCTTTAAGCGCCCCCCGAGCTACACCTACTGCGTCCGGTAACCACCCAGAGAGGTCGGCGTACAGCTTTGATATACAGGAAAGCAGCGATTCCAATGGCCGCCAACGACAAGGAAGTGATGTTAGTCCTGCACAGGTTCGGAGCTTCCTAGATGATTCGGTATGGGCTGAAAGCATACGGCGTAGTGCGACTGTGCGCAAGTCAGTAAGACGGTCAGACTGGATGGGCCGTCCTGGATGAAATTTATTGGCCTTATAATCAGGACAACAATTTTCATATGCGCGAATGAGCACATTCGTCGCGGTGGCTAGGCTATAGACGATTACAAAGACGAACTGGTGGCACGAATCTATATATGCCGCATGAGTAAGCTTTTGGAATCCCAACCCTCGAAGGTTACTAAGGAGGGAGGGGGAAAAAGGATGACAGTGGCTGCGTATTTTGATGTGCCAACTTTTTAGCATTACGCAGCGCGGGTTAGCATGTACGACACAATGATAGATTACGGACGGACGAGCTGATGAAAGCTAAATCCGGGAAACCTCAGGCCACAACTAGACAGAGATAGAGGTGAAGCGCTTGTATATCCCGGAACGATCCAAGGCGGGCTGCAAGGCGACGCAGATGAGCGATGCATTTAGAGCACATGAATTTATCTTACCTATAATAATCAAGACAAATCTGAGAATAGCAGTAGCGGAAGTTGCTGTTCTAATACTCTACAAACCATCGATCTATTGCCTTCTTGTACGCCTATATATGTAGCCAAATTAATGATAGACACGCACATCCCTGAGGTTAAAATGCTAGAGTAAGGTGAAGCCTGAACAGATCGTCGTTTTCCTTCTAGAAGATTTCGGTCCATAAGTAGGGAGAGGTCACATACTGGATACTTATCAGCAGGTAATCTCAATGCGTCACATCCCATCGGGCTATTTCGTGTCTTGTCTCCGATAGAGTGATACCTGACAGATTGAGGACTGCCCCTCTTGGTCTGAAACCCTGGTCCCTGCAGTTGGACCCCCTGACTTCTGCCCTGATTCTGCCCCGATTCTGCCCTGACTCCTGACAAAAATGGACTCGGGTTGCACGACAAGAAAAGGCAGCCCCCGGTCGGCGATCATACGTGATTCTGTCGCGTTTGATAAGCCTCGAAACCAGTCCTTTCTCCTCCTGTCCTGTCTTAGTAAGTGGAGCGGTGGTACTCTACTGTAATGGTGATGAGAAGGAGTCTGTCGCTTGTTTCACCACGCAAACGATAAGAAACCGAAACAAATTGCTACCCACTACTAAATCACCGTCACGTCTCATTTGGCATTCCATCGTCGATACTTCTCCGGCTAGAGAGTCATTTATCGTCCCCTGCATTCGTCGATGGGAGGAGAGCTTCCCAAGACCTCGTATTTCATGTCCCTACACCACACCAAAACAATAGTATCTGCAATGTATGTAAGTATGGAACAATCGCCGTCGCCCGTCCCTTGGCTGGCAGCTATTCCGTGGGCATGAATCTCGGCTTGGAATGAATGGATCAGTGTGCGAATCAATACCGTCGTATAGTCTATCAATACTACGGTCGGTAAGTCTAGAAGGGCGCTCGGATGTCGAAAAGAGCCAAGCCAAGCCAGAGAGCATGAATCGCCATAGTGTACCTACACAACTGCTGGATGCGGATTCTATCCCATCCCATGCATGAACCTGAGTCTTGAGCCACCCCTGAGTATGGGCGATCGACGCCTTGCTTTCATAACACGGTCCGTTATACCTCCCTGCCTGCTTGTCCTGCCCATACCTACGATGTAATGGTAGTGTAGCAGCAAGCAGTAGCAGCGAATGTCATCGCCCCGCGCTATTCTATTTCGAGGCCCAGCTCGTGCGATTGAATGTTTTAGGTTGTCATGCGGCCTTGTAGGTAGGCAGACAGACCCAAGACATACCCTAGGTAGATGGTGGATGGATGGTGTAGTAGTTGTAGCTATGTTCGTTCGTGATGTGCAGGACTGGCTTGGCTGTTATAGATAGATAAGTCAGCTCACCCAGCCAACCTGGCTCCAAGCCGACTTCTCAAATCTACGTCTTTTCGCTCCCATTCCACGCTCTTTCTCCTCTCTCTCTCTCTCTCTCTCTCTCTCTCGTTTCTTTCTCTCCAGACTCTCTTCGAGTGTCCAATCCGATTCAAACCTACATGCCTGCTTGTCGGGAATAGAAATAGATCGTCCTATCGTTTATTCATCATCCGGATTCGAAATCCATACCCATCCCAAAACGGGCCAAAAGCTGCCAGTCAGTTCAAAAGTCGGGTTTCAGTCACTCGCTCACCAGTTTGAAACAACTACATTCTTCAATTCTTCGATACATTGGGCTGAGCCTTTATTATACTTTTTCCGGACATTACGATAGGATATTTCTATTCGACAAATCCAATTCCCCGGATTTGTTCTGAGAGGGAAGATAAGAAATCGCCACTAATAAACGACGAGCTTAACTGGAGAAATCCCATCAACCACACGAGTCGTCAAACTCAATTGCATTACGTTATCCCGCCCAAGATGCAGCAGACATCCCGCTTCCATATGATCCGCACCCGCTTCTCGCCCAGCAACCTGCGGACGTCGCTGCGGCGGTCCTCGTCGGCGTCCACAGCCACCACCTCGTCCAGACTGAGCTCGGGCTCATCGGGCTCGGCGTCGCCCGTCCACGCCATCAACGCCGTGCTCTTCCGGCAGCCGTCGATCCTCGACATGGAGGCGGAGAAGAGACGGTCCGGCGTCGAGCTGAGCGTGCTTGAGCCTCGGCCCATCGTCTACTGGGGCGGCCTCGAAGAGCGAATGGGATCCTTGTAATTGGAGACTCCCTTGCCTTCTACAAACCATCTCATCACACCTCAGTGGTCATGAGATCAATGCTTGCGGCTTTGAAAGTATAACCGCGAGTTACTTCCTATGAAGAAGCTCTCTCTTCGATTTCTTCGCATCTTTTTCTTCACACACACACCTTTTACGTCTACCAGCCGCTTACGGTGGACGTGACAAGGATTTTATTCATCACTGATCAGTTCGGATCACTCAGGTATGGGGGCGGGAAAACCCTGGGTATTGATTTGTTCGCTTTGCTTGCTTCGGACGGTGCGGTGGGATTAATGATACGTCTTCGGTACAAGCTTGGCGTTTGGTGGTACTAGGAGGGCGTTAATGGGCGTCTGTAGATTTCTTCGCGGGGAAGGGGCCGCTTTATATTACAGCTCGGTTGTCTTGCTTGCGGAAGGGCATCATGAATTTCTGAGCCTGGCCATAGATACTTGAAGTGAATGTCATCGTGCGGCTGCCATAGGACTAAATATGAGATACACAAAATGAAATAAAGTTAAAACAAAAGATGAAGAAATCCTCCTCTTCTCTTGCCTCTTCATGATCTGTCTTTAGTCGCGATTTAATCGATATAAGTCTGCTAGGTATGCCGTTGTACTAAATTGATACTCGAACTGCTGAAGCATAATTCGCCACACTGAGTAAATTGAGTTACGCATATCACCAAGTAATAAAGCAAACCAGTGCTGATTGTTATTAAGATTTTTTTCCCGTCTTTATGAGAGCAGAAGCCCTTTATCTCATCTGCTTAATACCAAGTGACCAATAATCATAACGTGCCAAGGCATAACAATCTGGTCATGATGAGCCAAAACCACCACTCTTAAGTAGTGAGGACCAATACGTATCGTAACTAATGGTTTGGCTAACCTTACCCTTCCACACACCAGAGCAGATGGCTACCTAGATCTTTTCTACTCTGCCCTTACACCAACGCATGCCCATGGACTTTGGATGAGATAGTCTGACGTAGCGGTAAATTCCCATGAAGAACCAACATGTTCAATATCCGATCAAAGCAACCTCGGCCGAGAGTGCCCATCTAGCTTTCCATCATAAGGAAGAGCGGTGATCCACGCATGTAGGGACTCATATCTGTTAAATTAAGGCATGGACATTTTCTCAAGCCGCGGCAACGCCCTCCTTCGCCGCAACATAGGCCTTAAGGAAGTCAGGGTCGTTCTCGATTTCTTCTTTGATCTATGTAGAGCGGGTATTAGTACTGGAGATATTCATATAGTATTTGTAGTATAGAGATCATTGCGCCAGAAGCGAAGAGAGGAGAGGAGATGAGGCGTGATGACTTACGATATCTAATCCACCAACCAGTTCTCCATCTACCCAGAGCTGTGGATATGTCGGCCAATCCGCGAACTCCTTCAGTCCCTGTCGCACCTCGTCGTCGGCCAGGATGTTAAAGAAGCCATATTTGACACTGCGTTCCCGCAAAATGCCCACCACCTGCCGCGAGAACCCGCACTGGGGTGCGCTGGGTGTGCCTTTCATGAACAACATAACGGGCGCGGCTTTGACGAGCTCGCCCAGCCGTTTGTTGAGCTCCTCCTTGGCCTTCACCGGATCTGTCTCTGCCTCGACCTCTGCTGGCTTGTCCGCGGGCACGGCGGCCGATGTACCGTTTGTAGCTGCGCTCGCGGCGCCACTCTTGGCGTGCTTTTCGATCGCTGTCCGCACCCTCACGGCGCTGCTGCCGCTCACGGTCTCCAGGACTTGGTCGTTGCGCTGCAGCACAAGGTAGGGCACTGCAGTCACGTCGTACGTCTCCGAGATGTCGCTCAGCTCCTCGGCGTTGAGCGATACCCAGCTCGTCTCGCCGTTCGCGGGGTACTCGGCGGCGAGCGTCTTCAGCACGGTGGCCATCTGCGCGCAGGGCGCTGCCCAGGGGGCGTGGAAGGAGATTATGAGAAGGGTGGACGAGGAGAGGGCTGCGACGTGGGCTCGCCACTCATCTTCAGTTGTGATCTCTTTTATCGTCGACATTGTAAACGTGTGATGTCGAATTGCCGAGGTAGCGGTTGCGATTGCGATAACGGCGGCTGGGTTTGGGTGGCAGTTTTGAGCTTGGAATTGGCGGTGGAAGCCTTGAAAACAATGCAACCGGCGATAGTGTGAGCAAGAACAGTGAGTGTACTCCTAACGTTAGCTCGGTTCACAGCTTGATGAGAAAACAAATAATGGTAGGAGGAAATGGAAATAATTAAATAATTTGGGAGGTTTGTTCCCGCGTCTAATCTGGGTTAGATAGTCTTGTCTGCAGATGGTGTGGTCGAGATGCGACAGTGAGGGGCACTCCGATCCAATGGAGGGGCATTTGATTACCATATCTTTTTAGCATCAGTTCTGGGGTCTGCTGAGGGAAGATTGGGTGGCCATTGCGTCATTTGCTCCATCCATAACTTTCAACGCTACCTCTACCGTCTCTACTGGTAGACCACAGTCCGCTCACGTGACCACCCTTACTTTAAACAAGTCCGCCACACACCTTCTGTTGTTCAATGTTGGCTATAGTAATCATTTCAAGCATCTTAACTTATTATACCTTTATCTGCATAGCCTATTGAGATTGTATACCGTAAAAAGCTAGATGTTGAGTTGATGGGAAGTTGCTGTACCTGCCCACTCTATATCCCGACTTACACGAGCTTCAAATCTCAGCATTCCTGGATGGAAAAAATTGTAAAAAATCAGAAAAAGATAGTTGCAATTCCTAGTTAACCAGGAAGCATCAGGAATTGAGCCCGATGCGGGGGTCGAACCTGCATAATTGTGAGATCGACGACCGAGTCGGGCCAGAATCCTGGATTGTGGAGACACTTACCCGCAACCTTGAGATTAAGAGTCTCACGCTCTACCGATTGAGCTAACCGGGCAGCCGAAGCTGCTTGTTGTTGAAGACGTGGAGCCACAAACAAACCTATCTTTGTAGGGGAAAAATTGAAAATTTGTGTAAGTGGGAATTAGGCTGGGAGAATTGTCTAAGTGGGCCGCTGTATTTCCCTGATGTATATATTAGAAATGCTGCGTAGAATAAGTAATACAGCTGCCTCATTTGATGCCATGAGATGTCCCCATGCAAAACTGATTCTCAATGAGCTCTGCTTGGACAATGGAACAGGATCAAGGTGCCCCATATCTTGTATGACTAAGAACCACGGAATATTCCATAGGAAGAGATACCACCCATCTGGTACATAAGTAATGTATACCTAGAAATACAACTCTTGCTGTAAACCCCTGAACAATGTTCCCGGGTGTTGGCATATATAGCAGTATTACTAGCTATTTGAGTACCCGGTGCATCGGTTTTTACTCACACCGGGATAAAAGGTCTGTATCAAAGCACCTGAGATACTCTCTTGTCCTATTAATTCAACAAACACATGAGCAGTATTTGAATAAACTACTAACGCACTTGAGCCTCCCCTCTCACCCATGCGCCGTATCCCATTCCGGGTTCATTAATCCCATTAAGGTACAGAGTCGTTGGTGCTTGTACATATGAAATCTTATAAAAATTTGCGTTCTCACAGCTAGAGACCGCAGTTGCGGACCCAAAGCGTAGTTCCTGATGGATGTTGAACCTTGTTCGTAACATGCCGTGGAGGAGAACTAAAATCTCCCTGGCTATCCACCACGATTCATGAATCATTTTTCGCTGTAATTCTCTGTTCATCGCCGCGTAACTATTACCTCTCTGCTGGCTTGTTACCCGGCACCTTCCCGGTGACCACGGCGGATTTGAACGATGTAGCGTCTATGGGTATTATAATCTTCGTCTGCTACTAACACCTCATATGCCAATGCTTTCTATACCGGTTGGCTAGTGCGAGGTGGTCGATCCTCGTGTAAGGAGTCAATGGCGTCGTTGCTGTCGTCCTCGGCAACCTCGTCATTTTGCGCCTGGGGTTCAGCTTCAGCAGCAAGCACTGCTTTTCGCCGTTGCCACCAATCTTCCTCTATCTGTACGGCCTGGTCAACCAGAGCTTCCTTCTCAAGCCACTCTTGGCGATATATCTCTTCAAGTTCTTTGCACTCCTCTCGTAGTTCTTCACCTTCCTGAGTGGCCCACTTGATATTGGCGACGCAGAGTCGCCATAGGGAATCCATATCCATAGCAAGCTCTCTGCTGCTGAAGCCTTGTTGCTCTGTTAATGGGGTAAAGAAATCAGGGGTGATTTCATCGCTGTTGTCACCGTCATCGACAGCGTCGTCTTGGCCCGTTGAATGCGATTGCGGTGTCTTGATTATAATCTTGAGTTTGTTTCCCTTCTTCTCACTACCGTGCTGCATCGACTTTGGTACCGGGTCAGAAGGCCGTAAGGCTTCGGTTTCATGCACTGTCCGCATGTGCTTTGCCAATGCATCTGATCTCGTGAACGCGCGATCACACTCTGGCGGTGAATGGGTCAGTTTCATTCCTTCGTATGATGGGAGCAGGCAAGACATACCGGGAAGATAGCAGTAGAAGGGCTTCTCGCGCGTATGGCTACGCATGTGTGCCTTAAGCGCATAGCCGCTAGCATGGGGCAAACTCTTTCTGGAGCAGCCAATCCATTCACACGTGTATTTTTTCTGGCGACTCTCAATATGGTCGTTGTGTATATGCTCCACTAATTTGTCCATGTTGCCCAAATCACCAGCACGGCAATTGTCCCACGCACAAATAGTAACTTGCTCCTGGAATTCGTCTTCGTCTAATTTGGCATTGATAGGGGAGTTGGGCACATCGCCCGATGTGTCGGAAGAGATGTCGCCATCGTCAAGATCGTGTTCCTGGTCTGGTTCGGGCTCAGGTTCTGGGTCTATATGGAGCGAAGAGGATGCCCGAGACCCGTCTCCGAGTTTCTGTCGCTTTGAAGGAGGCAAAGTAGGTTCGTCGATGGTGTTGGCATCTTCGTAATCGTTCTCAACCTCTTCCGACTCATCGGACGACAGCTCGCTTATACCCGAGGAGGAATCTGACAACAGGACCATCGTGTCCAAGCAATCAGGATGTCTGTCTGTTCTGTACGTGGCGCCGTAGAGCAGGGAGGGATAAGGTGTTGATACCTAAGTACCCGCTCGTATGGGTCTCCTTGGGTATATCAGGTAAAGTTTACGGATGCAAAGAGATGATACAAAGGAGCTTGAATGGGGTATTGTAAATGACGTGAAGATGTTGTGAAGCCAACGGAAAAAGAGGTGGTCTGGTTTAATTGGAGGATAGGTAGGCCAGGCCAGCGCGACGCGGCGCATTGTGCATTGTTCACCTGTCGCTGTCGCTCTCAGCCTCTGCGCGGCAGGTGGATGCGGCGGGCGGGCGCGTGGCAGGCTGTCGGTCAGGCTAAGAGGCTGCCTGGTTAAGTACCTACTGTAAGTCACCCCTTGGGTCTGCCCTGGGATGGAGTGACGCACCCAGCTGCATGCCCCCTAGCCCCCCTAGCCCGCTACTGGACTAGCAACGGCCAGCAACCTCTTTACTTAAGTAAGGTGTCCCTCCAGGCTTTACACATCAGTACAGTACAGTACAGTACAGTACAGTACAGTAATGCTTATCATCGTCGCCTAGCTGGCCTAGGTTCTGCTAGGTGTACAAATTACAGATCCCGAGCTAACGGAGCCCTCCAGCGAACTTGACCTGCGTCCTTCGTAAGGCGATTACGCAGGAACATGGCTAGGCAAGCACCTAAAGAGCTAAATAAATCGAATAAAATAAGAAACAAAAAAAATTAAAATAACAATAATAATTGCTAGCTGAGCCCACGTGGCTACATTGGCTATTCCTCGCGTGTCGCTTCATATGTCACGAATGCCGAGCGGAAAGAAGTATTTCTCTACCCTCACTTTCCCGCCCGTCCTCTCCTCCACCGCATCCGCCGCACTCCACTTACTACTGAGCTGTCGCCTGGGGGAGCTCTGACATCACCCCCACCCTGACTGACCGTAGTGTAGTTAGTAGTGTACACTGCACTCCTTTCTTCTTCTCGGCGATCGGAACTTCTTCTCTTTTCTATTCGACATAGTTTTGCCCAACACTACGAACGACCCCCTCGACTCCTCCATCACCCTCTCATAGACGACCCGCAAGATGGCGTCGCTCAATCTGTCCGTCAATGGGCCCTCCATCAAGAGCAGCTACCAGGGAGTCATCAACGCCCCGGCACCACCAGCTGGTAGCTCTTCCACATATGGCCAATGGGCCTTGTTCTCTGTCCAAGCACCCCTCGCCAACGCTTTCCAGGACAATGGTAGCAAGGAGAGTGTGCTCAAGGTCCAATCAACTGGCGATGGAGAGTTAGAAGACTTGCTCGAGGATTTCAATGAAGGAAGGATCCAATTTGCCTTTCTTAAAGTCAAGGACCCTAATACCGGGCTGCCCAAATACGCTCTGATTGCATGGGTTAGTTACACTCACCTATTCCCAGCCGCTCCAATCTGTAGTAACAGCACTGACAAGAATGCATTGATCTAGTGCGGCGGAGGCGTTCCCGAGAGGACCAAGGGTTATTTCACAAGTCATCTGAATACCGTATCCAAAGTTTTACATGTGCGCTGACCGTCCTTGCGCTTTCGGCAGAGCTAACGTCATACCAGGGCTACCATGTGCAGATCACTGCCCGTACTGACGCCGACCTCGAGCCTACGAACATTCTCAAGAAGGTTGCTGATGCATCTGGCGCGAATTATACTGCTGGAGGCAGTGCACCCGTCAAGCCAAAGGGGCCACCACCTGCCGTGAAGTCGAAGCCTGTCTTTGCTGCTTCGTCGGGTGCCACTATTTCATTCAATCCCATCGTTGCTGCGCGCAATGCTAGTTTAAGACAGAAGTCTGGCGATGATGGTTGGGGCGACGACGCACCCCCAGTCTCCCGGAGTGAAATCCAGAAAGTGCAGTCAGCGTACAAGCCCACAAAGGTCAACATGGATGAGCTGCGGAACCAGAAACAACCGCCGTCTAGATTCAACGGAGCAGCTACGAACAATTTCGACGACAGACCTAGTGATGTCATTGGAGGAAGTTATAAACCTGTTGGAAAGGTTGACATCAACGCTATTCGAGCTGCCGCCAAAGAAAAGAAGGACGACAGGCCCACCCCCGTCAAAGGTGCTTATGAGCCTGTAGGAAAAGTCGACATTGCTGCACTTCGTGCCAAATCTCAAAAGCCGAGTGAAGCTGAGCCCGAGACTGATTATCAGCCAAAGTCGCTAGCAGAGCGTACTGCTGCGTTCAGCCGATCAGAACGCCTTACGGAATTACCTAAGCCTAAAGTTGCCAAGAAATTCTCTGGGGCATCATCTTTCATGGGAACTAAGGCGCCTACACCCGGAACACTGGGCTTTGGTGGACCATCCCCGGCCACTGCCGCACCTGTTGGTTCGGCCAGTCGAACCTTTGCCGACCAAGGTGGGAAAACGCCGGCTCAGATATGGGCCGAGAAGAAAGCAGCGCAAGGTGGTACGCCTGTCAAGGTTGCCAGTCCTCCAACTGAAACACCTATTGCGTCCGAGAAGACTGGAAGTGGCTGGCAGAGCGGTTATAGTGGTAAATCATGGAAGCCAGTTGAGACGGGCGCTTACGGACGCGGAATAGCTGGAGAAAAGACGGACGACACTGTTGCCAGCGAGGACATATCTACAACTTCCGCAGGTGGTATCAAGTCTATCCGGGAACATTTCAATGAGGCACCACCGCCTGTTCCCTCAGTTGCACGACCCCGTGAGATCACGGCAGATGATGAGCCTGCACCACCTCCGCCACCTGTGTCTAGCCGCCCCTCCGGTAGCGGTGTCCCTGGTGGATTTGCCTTGCCAGGCATGCCGCCTCGACCGGAACCAGCTGCTGAGGAAGAGCCCGAGGAAGAGCCCGAGCCTGAGCGATCGCCATCCCCAGTACGTATTCCAGTGCCTGTCCCTCGAGGACCCGAACCCGAGATCGAACCTGTTCACGAACCGGTCCAATCGCTTCCTGTACGACAGATTGAACAGGAAGTCCCCAAAGAAAGAGAGATCCCACGCGAAGAAGAGACTCATGATCCCCGAGCAGCCGCCATAGCCGTAGCCGCGGAGCAATTCACTCCTGAAGCAGTGACTCAGGCACCGGCTGGTACGAGTGGAGGGAAGCGAGCTCTTATTCAATATGACTACGAGAAGGCCGAGGATAACGAGCTAGAACTACGGGAGGGTGAATATGTGACAAACATCGACATGGTCGACGAGGACTGGTGGATGGGCACCAACTCTCAGGGCGAAACAGGATTGTTCCCCAGCAACTATGTCGAACTCGTTGACGACGAACCTGTAGACGACGCTCAGGGGGCTGCACCACCGTCACCGCCACCGGCACCGGCAGCTATCCCAACACCCGCGCCTGCTCCTGCTGCTCATCCAGAACCTACACCGGCACCTGCGCCTGCGGCAGCAGCAGCAGATGTCGGACGCACTGCTACGGCTCAATTTGATTACGAAGCCGCTGAAGACAATGGTGAGTCTACTCATTAGCTTGAGTGAATATGAATATTTGCTGACGATTTGAACTATAGAGCTGAGCTTCCCTGAGAATGCTAAGATTACCCATCTCGAGTTCCCCGACGAGGATTGGTGGTATGGTCAGTACAATGGAGAAACTGGTCTGTTCCCGGCCAACTACGTGCAACTTGATTAAATCCAACGGTAATCCCTACCGACGACTACAACAGTCATTTGGCTGCATAAGCGAGTATCGAAAGAACGAAGTAACGATGGTGTAGATAGACATTGGTGGTAAGAAAAGCAGACAAAAGTTGGAATTTTTAATGCAATGTTTATTATATCTAGCTTGGCTTTATTAGCTTGAAGTGCCTACATAATGCTGTTATCTTTTCACCCACCGGGAAGCTGATGCCCAAGAATCAGTAGTTCAAGTCTACCTATGTGACGATGTCGGCCATGTTGGAGGCGCCACACACACACACACACATACCATTACTTGCATACTTAGTAGATCGGATCTGCAGCCTCAGACTCGAGGCCTTGGCTAGATTTGACTTTCAGCCCTATGGTCGTGAACGCTTGAATACTTGACGTCAATTATCTATCAGCGAATGGATGGCGCGTCCCGTGACTTTGACTTGGTTTCTCTTTCCAGATAAGGCTAATATAATTATGAAGGCTTGTGAGTGTTATGCGGGGACATTAGTCGTAACCTTTTACGAGTCCTTTGTGGCTGAGTAAAGTATCAGCCTGTCGAATAATACGTAGTAGGCACTTTTAAACCTTACCTAGGTAGGTACGTCCCCCTTGACCTCCGGATCTTGTTTCAGAATGTCGTTTGAGCTGTGGCGTGAGTGGCTAACAAACGACCCTATGTAACTGTACTTGCACTTATATTTTGCTTACAGGACTCCGCCGGCACTGCGCATGTACAATGCAGGGACTTGAGACCCCTATCCTGTTCCCTCCCTTTTCGATGGATGGATGGATTCTGGATGGGTGATGTTCTGTGCGATAGTTGGCTCCCTCTTGAAGGGGGTGGGTAATTCTGGGGCAAGATTGGCGCATCTCTACCCAGTTAAAAGCCGAGAGTCGCATTCTTACAAAACCATGTTGTTTTCAGTCTCTACCTACGTACATGTAGCAAGCAGTGAGTGACACAGTTGGATACTGCTGAAGAGACCAAGTCTTCCAGGCTACCCACCCAGTCAAATTGGAAAACTCTGACATGTGTCAACGGGATCCTCGGCCGGACTCGGCGATAGGAAAACCACACTTAGGGATACATACAGGTAGTATATTTCCTTCAGGGAGTTCCTGCGGATAGCTTGGGGCTAGTGAATATTTGCGATGGTGTACTTAGGTAGGTGATCCACATGCTCGGTAAAGCGGCATCTAGTGTTAGTGTACCTACATAGTAGAGTCGCGGTGGCCGAAGATTGTCTGCGCTGTCACCGCTGCATACAGGTTTTGTCTGGAAGGTGTCTGGATTGTGTGAAACGAGCATCCTCAAAGGAAGAAATCTGCTGACTAATATCTAACAGATCAGATCGTCTGAACTGAGAAAAAGGTGATACACACCTACCTATGTGAAGAATTGAGTCTGAGTTGAAGTAAATGATATGACTGCCAGACATCAGTTATAGGTACAGGTACATATAGGAACTGTTAGTGACCTAAGTATGTATGTAGTGTTATTAATAGCTCCCAACAAGGGATGGTGTGGGTGGAGTGACTGACTGCCTTAGGTACTAACTTAGGTACTGATCAGTGATGGGTATCTTTTCTACTTCTCCGTATGTAGCTGAAGCCTTATCCTTGGCCTGGGTACATGAACAGCCACCATGGACGCGCGGTGGTGCATGTATTCGCAAGTATTCGCATTTATTCACGGCAAATGGCATCCGATATTGTGACCACATGATGCGGTCAGTACTAACCCTCTGCAATTTTTCTCATCGAGTGCCCAGTTGCCATTGCAGCTCAACGAGGCCTGCAAATACCAGCTTCTCTCTCTCTCCATCTCGGCCTCTGCTGTACTTACGTGTTACATGTTATGTGTTAGGTGTTATGTAGATGGCCAGGTTGTGATACATCCGTCCCGCCCATTTAGTAGATACCTCCCTCCCTTTACTTCGTAGGTAGGTAGCCCTTTGATCCGCATGCAGAATGACTTGACGGGCAGACTGTTGCGGCGTTTAATCAATCAATCGAGCCAGTCCCCAGAGTCCCTAGGTAGGTACCTATGTAGGTATTACCCACCGCTACAGACAGCCCGGCGCCTGCAAGACTTCAAGTATATTCTCCAACCCAGCTAACCTTGTACAACCTTTTCTTCTCTTCACATCACTTCATCTTCTCTGCCTCGCCTGAGCGACTGTTTTCACAGTTGCAAAGAGCTCTTCACATTCTTTCTCTTCCCGGACTGCACCCAGTTGTTCCGACTGCCACATTTGCTCTTTTGTGCCTAAACTCGAGGTCTGTGTTTCTTGCCTCCCTCGATACCGTGACACATAGATTGAATCCTACTGTTCTCACTGCCTTGCTTGGCTTCATGCTGACCATCATCTGCAGTTATAGCTCTGCGGTCTGCATCGCAAGCCTATCCCATCTTTGAACAGACATCGACCATCAGGCAATAATGTCGAGCCACGACTACTACCAGCAAGGCCCGCCTCAGGGCTACGGATACCCTCAGCAACCTCCCCAGGTATGTTGCGATTCGCTGCGATCTGTTGCGATCTACATCCCTAATCATGTCTCACCGTCGGTCGCGAGACCTATCAAATATGCCAAGAATTACTAGCTATCCCTCACTCCCGCGTGCTCCCTCTCTCAACAGCTGTCCCCCGCAGCATAGACTGGTTCCCCAATTTCTACCAGCTCAACTTTCCATATTGCTTGCCAAGACGGCCTAAATGCGGTAGCGGATGCCACTCAATGTCATCGTCTTCACTACATGCATGCCTCGAGTTTATATTAATCCAATTCGCTCCAATCTTTCCCACTCTTTGCTCTTAGCACACCTTCTCTCCTCCCACTGAGATGCTAGCGCAGCTTTAGTATCATCAAACTAGTTCTCTCCTATTGTGAATGTGACGTATTGAAGCTAACTCGCCTCGACCATAGGCCTACGGTGGCCCACCACCTCAGGGACAGTACTATGGCCCTCCCCAGCCCATGCAGTACCAACAACAACCTCCTCCTCAGCAATCTTCTACTGGCGGTGGATGCTTTAAGGGTTGTCTTGCTGCCCTATGCTGCTGCTTCGTCTGTGAAGAGGGCTGCGAGTGCTGTTGCGAATGCTGTGAATGCTGCGCCGAATGCTGCTAAGTCAACACAAGTATTGAACTATGAGCGCATATTTGCCGAATACGAACTGAAATACTACCACGGTAAAGGGGATACCACAGTACACCCAGGGGCCGCTTAAGATACGGTTGATTTCAGCATCTTTGAAGGTTTATAATTGTAGCCGTGGAGGGTGCTTCAGCTTCGGCAAGATCTTAGATCTGCTACAATATTTGTTGGTCTTCTCAGAACAGTTACAACTCCAGCAAAGTATGGTTATCTCCTTGATCGTTCCAGATCCGGATATTCGGGGCTTGGTTTACAGGGGCGTAAACAACGGCATTGATTTGGTCATCGTCTGTCGCTCGGGATTTTCTTAGGATTCATGGGAATCAACTTTGTTTTACACAATTTCTTTTCTGAATTGATATCTGTCTTGTCCGCGCTTCTCATACACACCAATGAAACTCCAACTGGCATTATGTGAGGCCCAACAGATTTTGCTTGTTACGTACCCGCTCAAAACACAACGTACTGAACCTAGATCAGGGATGATGGAATACGTGTTAGAGACTGCTGACATCGCATATGCATGTACTTCGCCATACAATCTATGACCTAGACCTAATTTTGCTGTCTCTTGTTCATCACAGCACAGAAGATAGTCGCAACGATGCATAAAATGAGAGACTAAAATCAAACAAACTCTCAAAAAGAACTTGAGAGCAGATGCTGTACTATTACCCTAATGTAGAAACTCATTAAGTCATGTTTATACAGAAGAAACATATCGAAGTATGTTATGTGCTCCTAATGGAGTTTGCTGAGCTTGTTTTCAACAAAGGTCGCGTTCGGGTAGCAAATTTGCACATTGATCTAGCCATACCACAACAGAGGTGCAACCCAGCTCCTCTCTAACTCGAGAGGCTATGCTACATATATTCTACACAAACTTCCCTCTCTAATCAGTTAGAAGAGGTAAGACATGAAGCCTCTTCTACCGCACTTTCCGACGATCAGCCTCAGCATTGCGGAACGGGAACCCGCTCGTCCGCTTATCGGCACCCGTGCGTCTGCTAATGCGACCTTTCTCGCCGCCGAAAAGGAGACACCAGATGCCGAAGGCCGCGAGCACCGCGCTGCCGACGAAGCCGAGGAAATACCCGTTGCGCCCCGTCGCGGCGTACCGCGCCCAGCTGTGGAACGCCGTCGAGCCGTGGTACAGCGTCGTCAGGAGGACGACGGGGGCTGCGTAGGGAGAGGGCGATTCGGCGGTGTCTGGGGGTAGAAACGGGGTAAGTATTGGATTTGGATTCGTGAAAGGGGAAGAGTGAAGGGGATGGATGGCTTACTGTCGAGCGCCGATCCGACAGGGACACTCCCTGATAACGCGACGGTCACGAAGCCTAGCGCTAGGAGTGCGAGACCTAAGCTACGCGCGAGATATTGCGAGGCTTCGCCGACTGCGGAGGTCGATGTTGCTGCGGCTTGGAGGTTCTCTTCTCGCGTGAGGAGGGTGATTATGGCTTGGGGTCCGACTTTTGGGGTGTTAGCCGATTACTTGGGTAGGTAGGTATATAAGTAGACAGATAAAGATGGGTATATGCAGAGACTCACTTAGTAGCGATATCGCTTGGATCGCGTTCCAGCCGCATGAGGCGAAGCTGTAATATGATATGGCCTGGAACGGTTTGTTTGCATGTCAGTCATGATACCTGGGGTAAGTATGACTGTGGAAGAGGTTGCTGCATTTCGGAATTGAGTCTCAACATACGTCCATCTTTGGCAGGAGATGTGGCTTTCGAGTAGGTAGCTCTCTAACTGCTGCGAGCACGTTCTTAGGAAGCTCAAGTGATCAATTGAATAGGAGTACGGATCACGAGATTGTATGAATGGCTTCTTGATTATGTTTGTCTGCAATTTCTCTCTAAGAATACCAAACACAGCTAGCATCACAGCTTTATACCTAAGGATATCTGGAGCTGTCAACTCGTGATTTGAAACGGATAAAACGGACAACATCACGACGTCATCGAGCATTGTGCCAGTGCTGTTTAATGTATTACATATGATTGGCCGATTGTTGATACAGTGTGTATCTCCGCGGAGGTCCTTCACACAGTACGGACTTCATGAGCTTTGCCACCTGTTCGGGCGCGCCGGCCAGCAAGAGAAACTCAGTCCCGTACAGTGCAACTCAGGTAATGTACGGAGTAGGTACCTTACAGAACACTCCCCACTAGATTGGAGGCGTAACTTTCCAATCTGAATCTGAACCCCACGGACAAGCCCCGGTCTCGCATTGCCAAAAAGTCGCATTTCAAAGCACCCTCCTACGCAACCAGATGCCCTTCGTCTTTTACATTTGACAAAGTTTTTGTCGAACCTCCAGCAGGCGAATTCTACAGGAAATTTGCGAACTTGATGTCGCGAGCCTCGAATCTTTGATACCGTACCATTTATTCATTAAGGCTGCCAGAGGCGCTGAGCCGATACCTATCAAAGGGTTGACTATTGTTCACCTGGTACCTAGATACTCAAGAGACGTCTTCGCCACAGCATCAGTATCCTCGCGCCCATTCGCCTTGGCAGTCCTCATTTTTGATCGCTATTATATCCTCTGACAAACGTGCGCCATGTCCGCTATACTTTCCGCTGATGACCTCAACGACTTCATCTCGCCAGGGGTCGCATGTATCAAGCCCGTCGAGACGCTTCCAGCGGCCCCTGAACAACCGAAAGAGAACGAGCTTGAACACGAGGTCGTCATCGATGGCCAACACCCTACACCATCCACAGATGCACCAGCTCAGATTTCTTTGACAGACTGTCTGGCTTGCTCTGGCTGCGTAACCTCAGCCGAAGCGGTTCTCGTCAGCTTGCAGAGTCATAACGAACTGTTGAGTGTCCTAGATCAAGCACCTGGGCTACAAATAAGGCGCAACGATGCCGATGGAACGTTCAAAGTAGAAGGCTTAGAAAATCCCGATAGCAAACTTTTCGTGGCAAGCGTGTCGCCCCAGACACGTGCCAGCCTTGCCGCAGCCGCTGGGCACGGTGTAACGAAGCGCGATGCCGGACGAATGATTACACAGTTATTAGTAGGACGTGACGGCTTGAAAGCTGGCGGGAAATGGAACAATGCGTTCACATGGGTAGCAGACACGAATGCGGCCCGGACAGCATGTCTGGTACTCGGTGCCGAGGAAGCCACTAGCGATAGCAAACTTGCTAAACCAATTTTAACTTCCAGTTGTCCGGGTTGGGTGTGTTATGCCGAGAAAACACACCCATACGTCTTGCCTCATATATCGAAGATAAAGTCGCCACAAGCCTTAATGGGAACGTTACTGAAGACAACTTTGAGCCGCACATTAGGTATTTCCCCTGACCGGATATGGCACCTTGCCGTCATGCCTTGCTTCGACAAAAAATTAGAGGCTAGCCGTGAAGAATTGACCGACACGATATGGAATGGAAATGGTCAACCGGGCAGGGGAGTCCGCGATGTTGATTGTGTTATCACCAGCAAGGAAATCCTGATGTTGACGGAGTCCAGAGGTCTCGATTTCTTCAACTTATCGAGAGAATCAATACCGGTGTCATGGCGTATGCCCTTCCCTGATCCGGCTCTGGATAAGTTCATCTTCTCATCCCCTAAGGGTGGCCGACCAGATCCCGCTGCCAGCACGTCGGGGGGTAATCTATATTATACGTTGCAATACGTTGCCTCTCGGCATCCGGGATCACGTATTGAAACGACCCGTGGCAGAAATGTAGACGTTGCCGAGTTCTCAGTGGTATCCGCAGCCGGGGACATAATATTCAGGGCCGCGCGATATTACGGCTTTCGGAATATCCAGAATTTGGTGCGAAAGTTGAAACCTGCGCGGCCATCGCGGATGCCTGGCGCAAGGGCTATCGGGGCCAGCAGGAAAGCTGCTGGAAAGCCAGCTGGATCTGAATACGACTATGTTGAAGTTATGGCTTGCCCTGGTGGCTGTACCAACGGCGGAGGTCAAATTAAAGTCGATGACCCTGTAATTGTTGAGCGCAAAGGGTCTGGATTCAAGCCCGGCCCTCAGGAGCAGAAACAGTGGCTTGCCGAGGTGGACGAAGCTTATTTCTCGGCCGACGACAGTGAATTAGAGAGCAGAGAAGGCAAAGTAATAACGCAAGAGGGAAGAAGTGACCTAGTCGGCGACATCTCTCCATCCTATATTCAAGATAGTCTGGCATATTGGAGTAGGATAACGAGCATAGACATAGATAGACTAGTATCCACCAGTTACCGCGAGGTTATTAGTGACGTGGGTAAGAGCAAAATGAACGACACAGAACGAGTGGTTCAACTTGCTAGCAAGATTGGCGGCGGTTGGTAGCCGTCTTTGCTCATAGTTTAGACCTCGAATGAAGAATTTTCAACCAGCTTTCGCGCCCCGTTTGGCAAAGCCTCTGCTATTCCCATCCGGTCCTCTTGGTGATCGGATGATTTGATCTTCTTCTCGTTGTGTAGGTCGGCTGGGGACAGGTGTGCCACCGCCCCTTCTCTCAAACGGGGAACTTGGCTTCGGTGAATAGTTGGGATCGTATAGTTCTCGTCCATTGTGTCCTGATTGGCTTCCTGGTCGCTGGCTGCTACTACTATCGCCTCGACTGTCGTTGTACCGGTGTCCGCCACCACCTCCACGTCCTCTTCCACGACCTCTTGGACCACGCCCATCAGCCGATGATCTCGGCGGTGTGGCATTGCCTGGCGTAGACGTTCCTGACGAGGGATTCGACCCGTTCCCTGAACTAGACGTGGCGGCTGTGGTGCCAAAGATCTTAGCCCTGACCTCTTCATACCGACGCTGCTTCTCTTCGCGCTCGCGCTGCTGCTTTGCACGGATCTCTTCAGGACTCAGCTGCACCTTGGTCTTCTCATCATCGGACTCTTCGTCATCCACTTTGAGCTGGGAGAGCGCGCCGGTCAGGGGATCCCGTTTCGTGATCATCTTGGGGGCCGGCTTGCGACTGAGGACCTTCACAGCAGGCTTGAACTCGGTTGTTAAAGGGGGTTCTGAGCGCGCGGCTAGAAAGTGAAAAGGTTCCGGAGGCGCTTCCCTGCATGGAGAAACAAGGTCTTTAGTTAATTTGAATTCCTATAAAAGACGGGCGAGACGCGCCGAACGGGTATCTCCTGGGTCGAATACTCACGCTGATTGCCAGAGCCTCTTGTTAGATTCGGCATGTTGCGCCAGACGCTCCGCTCTGGTCATTGAGGCCACTGACTCGGCTTCTGCCTCGGCTTCCGACCCTGGGCCACTCGCTGACGCTGCTTGGTCGGCTTTGACTTCCCAATCATCATCGTCCCAGGCATCGGGAACCTTGGTTCTTTTCCCCGCCATGAATTGGTGGATTGACGGAGAATTGGAGGGTGGGAAATACTGAAATACACCTAGCTATGGGCGGTAGGCGTGATTGAATACAATTAACAATTATATACGGCGGCACTAGAAGCGTTTTCTAAATACGAAGTAATGTGCCAAAGAAATAAGTTCCAACCCTTCGCGCATTTCGTCTGGGGAATGCTATTTCTTTCTATCAACTGTCTGATTGAGCTTAGATGAGCCAGCCAATCGAGTTCACTTCCAGGTACCCTGTGGGGTTGTGTGGCTTCCCTACAAATCCAATCAGTGTACCCAGAGGGAACTTCTAGTGGGTCACTATCCCTACCGTAGTCACGACTAACCTTCTTGCACCTCTCGGTTTATATATTCATACACACGGCTCAGAGTTTCAATATCGTCAAATCCTATTCTTCGTATCAGACAGACATCATATAGGCTTGAATACGGCACACAGAGAACAAAGCCCAAGAAAGGTCCAATACCGTCAGGCCTTCAGCACTACTAGTACTAAGTATCAGGTGTAAGTCCACAGCCATCACCCATCGCTACCGTGCATTGTCACTCATAGCTCAACACCAGTATCGACCGTTTAAACATATACATCGGCCCAATACTGAAGGCTCTTGAGATCTCATCATGCAACACGCTGCCAACTCATCTCAGCAGTACGCCCCGCGGCTGCCTGGGTCTCTCCACACGCCAACTCAGTCCTTCAGCGCAGCAATTCAGACTCCTGATTCCCAGGGCGCAGACTGGATAGACAGCAAACAGTCCAAAGACAAGGAATTAGACTCTGTTCGAAATCGACTCCTCGACCCGAAATTTAATATTAGTAAGGAGTCATCTAGCCTTTGCCCCTACCTTGTTCCACCAAGCAACTGATGAAGACCCTACCTGCCTTAACGTGGACAGTTTCTAACAAAATGTGCTTAGGAGATTACGCAGACCCTCTCCGGCCACGGCAGCACCCTCCTTCTCATTACTACCCCAAAGGTGTCACGGCTGAGATGGAGAAAAATCTGTTGAATCTTGTTGCAAGACTCGAGACGGAAAATGTCTGAGGCTTCCATTGTGCCAAAGTTGAGGAGTTGCTCGAGATGTGTGGGCTCTGGAGCTGACTTAAGATTGCCTCTTTGAGATTTCGCCGCATATTATCCCAAATGATGTTGGCTGTCCATTCGCTGGCCATGTCTGATTCAATGAACAAGCAATATGAATAATATCGTTATCTGAATGGGCTTGTGGAAAACAGGATCACCTTCAGAGACAACAGCTGAGGTGTCTTACCTCGAATGTCTTCAAAGTGACTTTTCCACTCCTAATAGAGCCTCAGTTTCTCGCAGCAATTCGAACCCACTTGCCGCTCTGGCGACCGTTTTGGCTATCATTAGCCGCATTCACGTATGAAAAGGCGATACAGCAGAGGGGAGTACCCAGTCCCCTCTCAAGATTACATCCGGGAGTGCAGCGCGAACTATTATCTCGTTGGGATTTCTATTTGGCGCTTACGAAGTTTACTCCAGTCCTGAGCTTGCCCAGCCTGCCTTCACTCAACTTTATCCCTTTTAGCAGACTCCGTTATTGCAACCGTATTGTCATATAGTGTTTCAATGAGGCTATTGGTAAGCTTTGCTAGTTCATGTCCTAGTGCTCAAACATAGTTTCAGCTCATTATCTCACTTTGGTGCCAATTCAACCGTGCAGCGATAGTATAAACCTAATATTGTGATAAAAACAAGTCCACGCAGCGACTCATAAGGTTTGTTTGATACAGGTTATTTCCATTGCGCTTGGTGTGTTTACATGATAAAGCGGTGTGGTCGACCCAGCCCATTCGAAATCTCTCTTCTCTTCTTTCCACCTTTTTTCACTCACACATACTCTACTGATTGACCACATACCTAACGATCAGGGACCCCCAATATTCTTCTTGTTGATCACATATCTAACGATCACATATTACAAACAATTTACCTTCCATTTACATACCAAGCATTCAGAGACTACCAATAATCTATTTGTTGATCACACACCGAACGATCGACTTTAGAAGGATGACACAAATCATGGAGGCAGTCCGAAGCGCAGCGCGCGGCCTCGAGCCTGACCTTGAAATCCTCTCGAGGACGGATGGTATAAAAGGGGCGTATGATCAACAGACACGCCTAATCATGCAACTCAGCTGTCGCCTTGAGGAAGCAGAAACTCGCGAGAAAGACTTGGAAAATCAAAAGGCGAATATCAACAAGATCCTCCAAAGTTATCGCCACGGCTGCCGACTCCAACTACGCAACTTGTGCAGCAAAGAGGCGAAGGCGAAGTTCCAGAATGAAGAGACAAATATGAAAGAAAGATATTTCGAGGTACGGATTTTCTATTTATTTATTTATTCCTTTCTTGAACAAAACTCCTTCGTGAGCTAGGGATCATCGAGGCTAACCATTCGCAGATCGTTGAAACCTTAGAGATCGTCAAGATTGAAAAGGAAAACCTCGTCAACGAGAAGAGCGATGCCCTTATATTACAGCGCCACCAAAGACATGAAATTAAGCGCCGCACCTCCTCACAAAAGAAAATCGACGATACGTACAACGCCTGGTTCACGGGTCCTACACCACCCTCCGTCGAAGTCCATCTCGCAGGACAACGCGTGCACAATCTTCAAGCAATAATTCCAACGCTGAAATATCAAATAAAATGCCACAAGGAAGCTGAGGGCTTCTTGAATCAGGCCAACGTGCAAATGGATCGAGCTCTAGTAGCCTTCGAGAAGGCTAAGGACACGATCCCATCGGCATTCGTTATGGGCTATTCGAATTCGACTGCCATAAATAAGCGCAAACATCACCTATATTCTGCCGACAAACGACTAGGCTGTGCCAGGGCTGAAGTTAACCACGCACACAAAGTCTGCCCTTTCACTACAGATCTGCCGTCTTACAATAAGTCGGTGGTCATCGAGAACCTCTCCCAATCGGACATGGCGTGTATGCTTGGCGACCTGAAGTTCTATCAAACGGGTATACACGTCTTACTCAAAAATTCGAAGCGTTTAACAAAAGAACGGACGGATCAATTGCTACTTGCGACTAGCTCCCTCGCCGATGCGAAGGTTGAGCTCAACAAAGCGAAAAGACAAGTCATCAGACAGCTGGCCTGCGACAACTTTATAAACATGGATGCGCCGCCCCCGTACTCTTCATTACTTGATACTGGCATGGCGCGTCTCGGAAATCAGGAATGAATGGTTTACGTTGAACTTGGATGAATACTTGAGGAGGATTTGAAATGGCAACATATTATGGGATAGAGGATCTCACTGTTGCTTCACTATTAGTATACCATCAGGCACCTCTTGTAGGTATTTTGATACACCGTCTTGTATTCCAATGGATATTATCAGACAGCAAGAAACGTTGAGCATTTTGGGCGCCCCCATACTGGGTACAGCTGACCTGTTTGTTGTGTTTGTGGCTGCATACGTCATTCGCCGCATAATGGCATGTGAATGAACATGAGAGTTTATCCCAGCAAATGAATTTCTTTCATATATACTTTATGTGGTTTCTAAAACCTGAATAGAAATACACAGAATCCAGACACAGAATATACTAGACTTGTCTACATGCAGCATAAATTCATGTCGCCCATACCACTTACTGGGTTGAGCTAGCACCAGTTTGAGTGCTTGTGTGTGATATGTCATATTGGTTACTCACTTTTTCCCATGTGAACATCGGAGAACAGTAGCGGCTGATGAATACATGCCTTTGAAGAAGAAGAAAAAACAGGAGAAAGACCAGGGAAATCACGGCCGTGCCTGTTGGAGAGCTTCTAGTTGATAATAAACAAGACGTCCCTTCATTAGGCCCCTTGTTAGCATAATCCAATGCAGAGATGACTACCTAATACGAAAACCAGAATTATTATCCTCATACAAGTAAATACTCATCCTAGCAGTCTTGCTTGATTTAAGTAGCTATGTCCTGTAGGCATTCGTCATCTTGTTTCCAGCAGATCCTGAGTGGGAGTTGGAGCATTCTTCTTGCATACTATATGCCATGATACAGGTGAGGGACCAGTTGCCAACTCACACGGTATGATATCAAGGCTTCTCAGGAAGGTACCGTACCTACCTACCTACCTAGGTAGGTTTGGCAATATCTTTCTCCCAGCCTCCTTCAAGCAGTCTCGGCACGCTTTTCTTTCCCAGAAGACTTAGGTACACAACGCTCATAACACCTACTGCTTTTTGAGGGGTTCTTGCTTTTGAATCTAAAGAGTCTAGGCAACACGCAGATTACATCCATCATCTATCTACCCGTCCCTGTTCACGATCTACCATCCACCCTTTCTCAATCCAAGGGGGGGGGGGGGGGGGGGGGGGGGGGCGGGGGGCCCGGGGCGGGGGGGGGGGGGGGGAGGGCGCGGGGGGGGGGGGGGGTGGGGGGCATTGGGCAAGCGGGTC